GGACACAAGTTGTGCCTACTCACTGCCTCGGCAATGCTGGAGCTTCAAGCGTACATGCAGGGATGCAACCGTTTCAAGTCCTTCCCCATGCCACGGGGGTGTAGCTTGCTTAGGTCGAAGAACAGCTCGGCAGTGTCGCCCCTGCAGCCATGCAGCCAGCAAGTGTCTGCTGATGTCTGCTGGACGCTTCCGGAGATCCGGGAGCGTCTGCTGGGCGCAAGACTTCAGCCAGCCCATAACATCGTAGCCTTCAGGCCGAGCAACCACAGCCTTAGTGCCGGTTCCGCCAGGCTCTGTGAATATGTCTACACGCACAGGTATGTGTGTAAGAACATATGTGTATGTTTCGGTAGTAATTTGTCGTTGGAACTGTTGTTATTATTGGTTCTGTTACTATATCAATCATACCATTGTTATTATTGTTACTGATGACATTACTATTATTAGTAGTATTAGTGGGGTTTTCCTATTTTTTTATTAGTATTGTTACTGTTATTATTAGTTCTACTGTCTATTATCATTATGGGCAGCCGAGAACAGCCGCCAAGGCTTCAAGCTCGTAGATGAGAATCTTCTTCCCATCAGGGTTGATGCTGCGAAGGACGTCTTGGGGGACGGATTCCCCGAACCACCCGATGCACAGACCATTGAAGTCGTAAGCAATGCCGCCGAGACCATCGCCTACATGGTCGTAAGAGGCATCGGTGTACACATGGTACACAGGCCTGCTCATTCTTCTCACTACTGCTTCTATTACGAAGATTCTCGCTGGTACACATATTGGTATTATTCTGCCGGCTACTTTTCTATTCCTCTTTTAGTCGTATTAATATTCTTATTATCATATCTGCTGTTAGCCTTAATACTATGTGTAGTAATATCATTACTATTAACACTTTTTTCATATTATCAACTTTATTACTATAACTACTGTTATTACTAGTACTCCTATGGAACTTTTGTTTTTCTTGGGGATGTTTTTGTTTTTGTGCGTTTGCTGGGTCTGAGGGGACGGGAGGGAGGGAGGGACGGAGGGAGGGAGGGACGGAGGGAGGGAAGGGCGTGGATTTCCTTTTGCGGGTGGGTTTGTGTTAGGGAACCACTAATTCCCTCACATTTTTGACGGATTTGGTGCCATTCCCCGTAGATTTTTCCTGAAAGCGTATGTTGCCTAGGTTTTCCTAGGCAAACGACAGTTTTCCTTACATCTTGGACGGATGTCGTACCATTTCCAACGTTTCCTGACGAAAACCTACGTTACCGCGGTTGTTGTTGTCCTGACAAAAACCGACGTCACCTTGGTTGTTGTTGTTGTTGTTGTTGTCACTGTTGTTGTTGTCACTGTTGTTGTTCTTGTTGTTATTTCTTGTGGTTGCTGTTAGCCTTCTTATTAATTTCTTGTGGTTAAGTTTACTGTATTATTATTGTGCAATTTATTCACGTTTTGTTAGTATTACTATCATTACTTTTTACTGATATTGTTACTGTTGCTGTTGTTGTTGTTGCTGTTGTTGTTGCTGCTGTTGCTGTTGTTGTTGTTGTTGTCGTTGTGGTTGTTGTTGTTCTCGTTATGCTTAAGCTGGTGTTGCTGCTGTTGTTATTCTTCTTCTTATGATTATTCTTCTTCTTTTTGTTATTGTTGTTGTTGTTGTTGTTGTTGTTGTTGTTGTTGTTGTTGTTGTTGTTGTTGTTGTTACTATTGTCGTTGTCGTCGTTGTTGTTGCTGCGGCTTTGGTTGTTGTGTCTCTGTTTTTTGTCGTTGTTGTTGCTTTTGCTACTACCCGAATTGTAGTAGAGCTTCAAGCAGCAGCAGGGTCTGCAGTTCAGCAAGGCTGGGGGGTAAGGGAGAGGGGGAGAGCAGCAAAGTTTGCAATTCGAAAAAGCGGGAGGGTGGTGGGGGGTTCGGGGGGGGGGGGGGGGGGGGGGGGGCGCACCCCCCCCCATTTGCAAACCTTCCAAAAATGACTTTGTTTTCTTGGCTGTTACCCCCTAAAGCGATTTCGCGTGGCTTTTTCATCTTGTGTGTTGGAGAAGACGCTTTTACTCATTTGTTCGTGTTACAAAGGAGACTCCCTTTCACTTTACTTTGTTTTCTTGCCTTTTTGCTCCCAGCCGAATACGTCTTGCTTTCGCCTTCTTGCGTGTCGCTGAGGACGTTTCATTCAGGAATAGTTTATTTTCTTCGCGTTTAGCCCCCTGAAGCGTTTTCGTGTCGCTTTCTCCTTCTTGTGTGTTGGAGAAGACGTGTTCATTAATGTCTTCACGGCATAAGAGAGCGGGGGGTGTTTGGGTGGGGCGCAGCCCGCTTCGAAGAGGGCTCCGAAGGCGATTTCGCAAGGGATTTCCTTTTGCGTGTTGGAGATCATATTCCTATAGTAATCGTAATAGCAATGGTAATAGTAATAGAGATAGTGCAAAGCCTTAAAGCAGAGCAGCGGAGAAGGAGACAAGAACAAAAGCTGAAAAGCAAAAGGAAAGCAAAGGCAGAGTAAATCAATCAGCAAGAAAAAACTACAAGCAATCAAAGCAAGGAAGAGCTGCAAGCGAAAACTGAAAAAGAGAGAAGCGGAAAAGCGCAGAAGCACAAAAGCAGAGATGCAGAAAAGCAGAGAAGCAGAAAAGCAGAGGAAGGCAAAAGCACAAAAATCAAAAAGAACTAATAAATATTAAAGCAGGGAAGAGCTGCAAGCAAAAACTTAAAAAAGGAAAAAAGCGAAGCTGCCAATCAGGTATTTTCAGTATTTTACTATGATTACTATGATTACTATTATTGCTACTATTACTAGTATTACTATTACTACATTATTACCATTACTACTAGTATTGCTACTACTACTAATATTACTAGTCTTACTATTATTACGATTATTATTACCATTATTAATACCGTGTTATTGTGATTATATTGTTTCTTGTAATACATATTATATCATATTACAACTAAGATTCTTGATATTCTTGCTATTACTATACTCAATTTTTGTGATTAGTAGTAGTCGTCGTCGTAGTAGTAGTCGTAGTAGTAGTAGTAGTAGTGATCGCCGTAGCAGTGGCGGTAGCAGTAGTAGTATTGCTGTTGTTGTTGTCGCTGATGCTGTTGCTGTTGCTGTTGCTGTTGCTGTTGCTGTTGCTATTGCTGCTGCTGCTGCTGCTGCTGCTGGTGCTGGTGCTGGTGCTGGTGCTGGTGCTGGTGCTGGTGCTGGTGCTGGTGCTGGTGCTGGTGCTGGTGCTGGTGCTGGTGCTGGTGCTGCTGCTGCTGCTGCTGCTGGTGCTGGTGCTGGTGCCGTTGCCGTTGCCGTTGCTTTTTTGCTGTTGCTCTTTTTTTTGCTGTTGCTGTCGCTCTTGCTGTTGCTGTGTTGGTGTTGGTATTGGCGTTGGTGTTGGCATCGGCGTCGGCGTCGGTGCTGGTGCCGGTGGTGGTGGTGCTGGTGCCGGTGCTGGTGCCAGTGCCGGTGCTGCCGGTGCTGCCGGTGCCGCCAGTGCCGCTGGTGCTGCCGGTGCTGCTGGTGCTGCTGGTGCTGGTAGTGCTGGTAGTGCTGGTAGTGCTGGTAGTGCTGGTAGTGCTGGTAGTGCTGGTAGTGCTGGTAGTGCCGGGAGCGTGCTGGTAGTGCTGGTAGTGCTGGTAGTGCTGGTACTGCTGGTACTGCTCGTAGTGCTGATGATGCTGGTTGTGCTGATGATGCTGGTTGTGCTGGTAGTGCTGGCAGTGCTGGTAGTGCTGGTAGTGCTGGTGGTGTTGGTGGTGGTGGTGGTGGTTCTGGCGCTGGTGGCAGCATTGATGCCAACGTCACCATTACTACTATGGGTAGTGCTAATCATATGAATGTTATACCCAAGTATTCTTAGTAGTATCGCTGTGATTATTTCTACTCTTTCATATTGTATGCATGTGTCAACGTGGCCGGAAATAGTCGGAAATTGTACGCAAAGCCACATCCCCAAAATCCGCGAAAATCAACATATCATATGCCGACACGCCTATATCCAGCCTTGACAGACAATTATTTGGCTGTGTTGTCTATGCCGATATGACTCTGATACCTTTATCTCTCATTCCTTTAAGCTACATCCTAAAACCTAAAATACTCCTCGAAACTGCCTGCAATGCGGACATTGGGACCGAATAGATTTCAAGACGTGCTGCGGCTGCACAGCTTTAGAAGCAGGTCTCCGGACCGGAAGTTCAGATTGGGTTTGAGCTGGCAGTTTGAAGCCCAGAGTCTCTGGATCGGCAGACTGGTGCAATGCATCCCAACAAACCTGCAACCCGGCAGGCAAACGTGAGCAACGTACACAAAACTGCACGTAGGATGCAGCAGACAGAATCTTCCAAGAGACAGAATCGGCATGGGTTGTCGCCATGCAGGAAACCATAAGGGGTATGTAAGTGCACGCGCGCTCAGGGAGGATCCACCAAGAAGACTGGGGTCATGTGGGCGAAGAGCTCCCAGCTAACAATGAGGTGGTGGATGTTCCCCCCGGCTAGCAATCAGGAAAAACCCAAGAGCGGAAGCAGGACAAAGCCCAAGGCCGGCAAACGTCGCCTCGCATCAGCAATGGTTGGCCATACTACTAGCAGGAATGGATGTCTGATGTCGCAGCCTGCAATGTGGAAGGACTCTGACCCTGTACGAGGCGGCGGAGCAGGGTCAGGATCAGTCGCTGCCACGGAGGAAGCAAGACCGAGCAGCCAATCGCACGGCAGCGTGACAGTTAATGCACGAGCATGACAGCACATCGCGGAGTGGACCATGGTCGCGCTCGCAGCGAGTGGCAACTCGCCGAGGGCCGAGGGTCTCCCGTCTCGTCTCGTCTCCTCTCCTCTCTTCGGTACTGTAACGTAGTTCTGGAACCTACTGCAGATGTCAAAGGCCAGAAAGAAAGGCGATGCGATGCATGTAGAAACGAGGCTAAACATGCATTCTGAAAGACGTGTCAACCCAAGTGCCCTGCAGATGGACCAAGCTCGACGTGGAGCACCTGGGAGCACGTGATGCTGATCACGAGCATAAGGCCACGACCCTCCTTCTTTCTACCGTTTCGAGATCGAGTACTTCATTCACGAAGGTCGGGCAGCGCACCGTGCTGGTAACCCACCGGCAGGCGGCACCAACGCCGCCTACAGCGACCTGACCGCTCCAAACAACAAGTTTGAGGTAGAGCAAGAAACAGCAATGGTGTCAGGCTCCAATTTCTGCATGCATGGCTCATGATGGGTCCGACACACAGTGCATTGTGGTGAATTGCGAGCAGTTAGTTGTTGGTCTGCTCCAATCAGAGGCGCCGATTGGCAAGTCAAATCCCAGAAAACCGAGTTCCTCGTTTTGGCACCGACCTGGGAGGTCTGCCAGAGGATGTGGCTGCAAAAGAATGCCTTAGGACATTTTAGGAGTCGCGACTGGGTAGCATCTGTTGGAGGACTCAACAATGCGCACCTTGAATAACCCGGCCTCATTGAGCGCGACTCCTGCTGGAGGCTCCACAGGCGAGTCGAATTGCACGATGGTAACACCTTAACAGACAGTCGACGGAACGTCTCTAAAAGCTCAGCTCTTCAACTCGACACCCTGCCCGCCTCCTGCATCATATGCATGGACCGGCATGGGTCTGTCCACCTGCGAAGCTGGTGGCTCGTGCCACTCCGTGCCGTGCCGTGGCACACGTGGATCAGTCGGCCGAGACCCTGCAGCCGCTGCCTCGGTGCAGATGCTGTTCCCAGGCAGCTCAGAAGCATCCTTTTGGATCTTCCGACCTTTCGAGATCTTTCGAATGAAACATCTGATGGAAGCTGCACAGTCTCTGACACAGAGGTGAGCAACTCACAGCACGGTCGGCCTACGTGGTACTGGTCCGCGGACACACCGCCCTCCATGGGCCTGACGGATGTCGGACGGACACACTAGTGTCGCTAGCATGCACAGTTGCAAACAGTCTGAGGTTCCCCGCATGGTGTCACAGCCATCCACCAGCTGACAGTGAGCAGAGCAAAGCCTCGAAAAGAATGCAAGTAGTGCCAGAACCGTTGTCCGCACCCGCCGCGCCGCCTGCTGTCCGGTCCACACTCCTGGCCGCCTCGCAGGAAAGCAACTTTTTACCTTGGCCTTTACAGTGCCGAGTCTCCGATGCTAAGGGCCAGGGCCTGCCGGATCGTCCACGTGAAACATCACCGCCATGCATTCCTGCGCAGCGGCCCACATGCAGGATTTTGCCTTCATGGCAACATCTCAAGCGAGAATAGCTCAGGCCCTCTCCACCACCTCGGAGACCTTTGAACCTAAGCTGAAATGGTCCGCTGGCCTGGTCGTTCTCGCACATCCGGGCACAGTCGTCGTAGGTGTTCAGCCTGAAGAACCACGTCGTGTAAAGGATTTCGGGGGCTACCGAAAGGATCTCGAGTGGTCAGAGCTTCAGGCGGAGGGGGGTCGTCCTGCGCCAGACATGACCCTTCAGCTGCCCTCGTGGCCAGTGTCGTTCGGTTCCAAACCGTCATCGCTTCTTGGCTCATGGCAAAGTCGCAGGAGGCTGCCATACCCGGGACGTGTTGGTCAGGTTGCACTGGAGGTTCGAACCTCAGTGGCCATGCAGAATTACTCAGACATCGATGCCATTTCAGTGGAGTGCTTGGATGCCTGGGGCTGTGAAGGCTGCTTGGGGAACAACCTCACAACACACCGATGGGGGGCATTCGAAAAGTGCCTCCCCAGTCACGAGACAATCGCAACATGAGACAGAGCAAGCACGGGAAAGAGCCTTTCGGATCCTTGTTTAAAACTGCAGTATGCATTTAGGCTATGCCAGCCTCCGCAAGGCTGACTTCGGGTACAGACAGTACTGATCTTTCCTGCAGGAGGTTTCAAGAACAGCTTCCCTCCTTCAAGGACAGGGCTCTTGGGATGTTTGATGTGTTTGGAGCTGGGACACCGAGACCGGGACCCACATACTCCATCCGGAAGCTCTGGCAATCGACCGTCGCTTCATCTGCAGATCGCTTCAAAGTGCAGTTAGCTGACACTGCGTGTCGTCGCCGTGCTTCGTATCCATACGTTGCTACTGCTGAGAGGCGGAAGCTGACACAACATGAAGCTCTGATTGACACTTGGACAGCACTGGGCTCTGCACCCACAGGATCGAAGACCCAGCTCATGAGCGTCTGAGTTTCCTTGTTTGCTGGGCAGAGCCCCCTCGGCGGTGAAGTCATGCCGAAGCCGGTCACAACCCTTCAAGTTAATCTGTTCGCAGACCGTCCATGCTCTGGTTTAGTTGCCGTGCAAGAGTTCCCTTGGCCAAAGCGATCTGATCCAAGACCACGGCGCTGGCGGGAATATCTCCCTTGGAGCGGAGCAACCAAGGAAGCGGAAACTTCTGCACTGTGTGCAGTCAATTAGGCAGTGCGGCCGCGAATGGCAATCTTGTGTGTGCAGGCTTTCTGTACGGACGCATGTCTCCTCAATCCAGAGCTCTGGGCAGTCCGAACATCACTGAGGCAGTGGCGCATTTCGCCATAGGAAACATACTCGAGGCCAGGACTGGGCGACAACGTACACAGAGTGTCAGATCGCGGCTACTGAATGGCTGCAAGTTGTCCAAGTCTCAGAGCTATAGGTATAGTTCCAACATGTTCCAAACCCGAATCCACCCTCGCCCTTGCAAACGGCACCATTTCCGTCTGCTCGGTGCCTTTCTCTTGCCCCTTCGTACCCGCACAGTTCAGCCCTACAGAAGGCGAGAATGACCGAGCAAGCGATCCACTGGGGGTACAGTAAAACTACTCTGCACACAGGCGCCACAATCTGCGGTCGTTGAGGCGTCTGCCTTCGGCGCCTTGACATGTCAGGGCAGATGCTACAAGCATCACGGAATCGTACTTATCACCTTGCCAAATCTCTGCCCACCGGACCTTGTACTGCAGCGGCGTGTCGACCGAGCAAGTTGCCCCCAGGGAGGACATCTGAGCAAACTCCTGCTCGCCTTGACATCTGCAGAGTGAGGCTTGTTCCATGGCTGGCGCCGATGATGCTGCTAACAGCCTTGCAAGGCAAAATTGCCAAGCCCAGCGCCATAGAGGGGGAACAGTCCCGCCTTCCTAAGCTGCGCGATTTGACAAACATACTCTCCGCCTGGTGGATGATGCACATCAATGCACACCAAGAGCGAAGCATTCCATTCCAAGCCCTGCCAGTGTCAGCATCACACAACCTGACGCCAGGCAGCAGTAGTCGTCGTATGTCGTCGTGGCAGCAAGTAGTGGCGGTAACGCTGCTAATAGTAACTGTTGCCGTCATTGTATCACAGGCAAAAGGCTGTAGGGGTAGTGTTGGGTTCAGCAAAAACGCAAGGCAAAACTAGTAAAATCTGCTACTGGCACACCACTACGGCTGCTACTACGAGTACTACGACTATGACGACTATTATGACTGCTGCTGCTGCTTCTACTAAGAGTAGGAGTAGGAGTAGCAGTAGCAGTAGGAGTAGCAGTAGGAGTAGGAATAGGAGTAGGAATAGGAGTAGGACTAGGACTAGAGGTAGGACTAGGACTCGGACTAGGAGTAGGTGAGTAGCAGTAGCAGTAGTAGGAGTGGGACTAGAAGTAGTAGGAATAGGGGTAGGACTCGGACTACGACTAGGACTGGGAGTAGGGGTAAGAGTAGGAGTAGGAGTAGTAGGTGGTGAGTCGCAGTAGCAGTGGCAGTAGCAGTCGTTCTCGCAGTTGCAGGTGTTGCCGAGCCTCAGACGTCGCCGCAGCTATCTTGCTTTTTTGCACCACTTGTGCGCCTCCTATGCACCAGGCAAACACTTCCCGCCAGAACTGCCCACCCAGCCGCCCAACCACCCAGTGACCCATCCGCCACCCGTTCCCCCCAAAACCACCACCCACACGCCGACGCAGAAGCTGATGCTCCCGCCCCCTTCCCAAACAACAGGACTGATGCCCATGCTGTAACCCTACACAGCCAACATCCAAACCAACGTGCGCACCTTGCGCGCATAGCCCTGAACCCTAAGCCGTAAAACCTCAACAGCCTAAACCCTAAACCGTAAGACCCCAACCCCTCAGACCCTAAACTCTATAATACTAATACCATCAAAAGACCCTGAGCCCTAACCCTAGACCTGTCGACCGCACGTGTCGGGCGCGTGCGTAACCCCGGCCGGACCCTAAACCGTAAAACCCAAACAGCGTAGACCCTCACCCCAATACTCCAAACCCTATACACCCGAAACCCTAATTTACTAACACTAATACGTAAACTCACACTATTTATTATAGTACTATAACAACAAACCTTAAACCCTCACCCTAAACCCGTCAACCGCACGTGCCGGGCGCGCGTATTCCTGAACCCTATAAGCCCTAATCCGCAAACCTCCAATAGCCTAAACCCTAAACCTAAACCCTAAACACAAAACGCGAAACCCTAGACCTAAAAACCCTAAGCCCTAGCGTACTACTACTAATACTAGCTTTAACCACTCACTACAAACATCAAACCCTAACCCGTAACTCGAACCGCATGCGCCGGAACTCGAACCGCATGCACCGGGCGCGTGCGCCGGGCGCGCGTGACCCTGAACCCTAAACCCGAAAACCCCAACAGTCTATACCCCAAGCTTACAACTGCTAACTACAAGCCCTTAACCTTAAAGAAACCGCAAGCGCCCACTCCAACGTATAACACTAAACCCTAAGCCGTAAACTCCAAACCCTAAACCTCGCAAACCCTAAACCCTGTAATACCACTACTCATACCACTTGTATAATACATTCTACAAACCCTACACCCTACCCCCCAAACCCTAAACCTAAAACTGTAAACCCTAAACGGTAAAACCCCACTCAGCCTAAACATTAAACCCAAAACCGCGCAACCCCAAAAAACAGCTAACTGCAACCCCCAAACCCTGGCCCTAAACGCGTAAACCACACGCGCCGGGCGCCCCTGATCCTAAACACTTAATCGTAAACCGCACAACCCCAAACCCTAAACCCTCAGAGGGAAGGGGTGGGAAGGGAGGGATAATCTTGATAATCTAAGTAATCTTGAGGCGGCGTGCAAGTGGCGCAAGTTGTGCAGATGATGCAAGATTGCAAGATTATTGCGCCCCTACCCCGGCTTAGGAAACTCTCGAAAACCAAGATGACCAAGATTTCAAGTTGGGTAAGATTGCCGGTAAACCCCCCCCCAGACCAACATTACAAGATTGGCAAAATCTTAGTCTGCCGCGACCCTCACCAAGACGGGCAAAATTGGCAAGATTAGCAAAATGAGCAAGATTGGCAAGATGGACACAGGAAACAGCGTCCCTCAATTCCCGGCACAATGCAGTAGTAGTAGTAGGGTCCGCCCCCGACGATTGCCCACACTTCTCCTTCTTCTTGCACATGTCTTGCAGTGGTTGCACATGTCTGCAGATGTTGGTTCCCGCTTTTCTTCCCACCATCAAGGCGTTCGTGTGCGCGTTGCAAGCAGCCCAGGGGCCAACCATGTTAACGTCCAGTCAGACCTCATCCGTTCCCACGCATCCTATGGGCCAACCATGATAACTTCCACTCCGACCTCATCCGTTCCCGCGCATCGAATGGGCCAACCATGATAACGTCCACTCAGACCCCATCCGTTCCCGCATAGCACCCGGACCAACCATGAGAACATCCACTCAGACCTCATCCGTTCCCACGCATCCGATGGGCCAACCATGATAACGTTCAGTCAGACCTCATCCGTTTTCGCCAAGCATCCATGGACCAACCATGTTAACGTCCACTCAGACCTCATCCGTTCCCACGCATCCTATGGGCCAACCATGATAACTTCCACTCCGACTCCATCCGTTCCCGCGCATCGAATGGGCCAACCATGATAACGTCCACTCAGACCCCATCCGTTCCCGCAGAGCACCCGGGCCAACCATGAGAACATCCACTCAGACCTCATCCGTTCCCACGCATCCAATGGGCCAACCATGATAACGTTCAGTCAGACCTCATCCGTTTTCGCCAAGCATCCATGGACCAACCATGTTAACGTCCACTCAGACCTCATCCGTTCGCGCGCATCCAACGGGCCAACCATGCTAACGTCCACTCAGACTCCATCCGCTCACGCGAAACATCCAATGGGCCAACCATGATAACGTCCACTCAGACTCCATCCGTTTCGCAAAGCATCCATGGGCCAGCCATGTTACAACGTCCACTCAGACCTTATCCGTTCCCACGCAGAGCATCCATCCCCCGTGAAAACGCAAAAATGCAACCAGCCCCTTTGCTGACCCTGCCAGCATTTCGTCCACTTCCATCTTCAGAACTCAGCAGTTCCGTGACTTAGTTTCCCGAAGCAGCAAATAACGATTAACTGCACCATGCCGTGTCCCCCGACAGTTTGCCACACGAAAGTGTGGGCAAACGTCGGGGGCGCACCCTAGTAGTAGTGGTAGTAGTAGTAGTAGTAGTAGTAGTAGTAGTAGTCGTAGTAGTAGTAGTAGTAGTAGTAGTAGTAGTAGTAGTAGTAGTAGTAGTAGTAGTAGTCATAGTAGTGATAGTAGCAATAGTAGCAGTAATAGTCGTCATGGTAGCAGTAGTAGGTAGTTGGTAGTAGGTAGTAAGTACTAGCTAGTTGAGTATTAAGTAGTAAGTAGCAAGTAGCACGTAGCAAGTAGTACATAGTATGTCGTAAGCAGTAAGTAGTAAGTAGTAAGAAGTAAGCAGGAAGTAGCAATTAGCAAGTAGTCAGTAGTAGGTAGTAGTAGGTGTAGTAGGTGTAGTAGCGGTAGTAGTAGTAGTAGTAGTAGTAGTAGTAGTAGTAGTAGTAGTAGTAGTAGTAGCAGTAGCAGTAGCAGTAGTAGTAGTAGTAGTAGTAGTAGTAGTAGTCGCAGCTCCTCTGGCTTCGGAGTTATGTTAGACACATGTATATACCGGGATCTTAAGATACGTCAATAGACGCTACAGTCGGCTCCATGAGCTACCTGGTTGTTTAAAATCCGAGCTTGCGGCTATTGATGAAGTATGCACCGAGGCGGCCACGGGTCACACAAGTCATTGGGCACTGATCTTGAAATCTTCGTGCTTACTCCAGGACCACCACATGCAAACCACCAGCCTCGGCCAACAGCTGCTGGGAGCATCAGCGAAATTGGCGCACTCGAAGCCGGATTCCACCTCAAGTGTCCCACGGGTGCATGAAAAAGGAAGGCTGCTTGGGGAGGAGGGTATTCCTGGGTTCATAGGGAGGGAACAGTCCTGGCACGTGAGACTGCCTAGGCTCCTTGCAGACCATCCTGACGTCACAGTGTTTTCCTGAGATCCTGCTACCAGCCCTTGTTGCTGGGGTTTCTTGCCTGGCAGCGGCCGCTGCAGCCATCGAGACTTCGCAGGTTGCCGTCGTCGCACTGTTCACCCGGCTGTGCCTCGTGGAAAAACTTTTGGCTTATTTTGGCTTCCACAGAACGATTCGGACAGCAACGTCCCGGAATGCAAGGCCACAAGCTCTGGAACAGCACAGATGGGGTTGCACCTGGCCGTCGCCACAAACCGGTCGGCACCTGCGCTTGCAATTTGCGGCCTGTGCAACCGCCCTTGCGTCCTGGTAAGGATGACACGCAGAGCCCGCAAACCAATGCTACTAGTAGCCTGCATGTATCGGGACGCTTGTCCAGTAGCTTGATCTTCAGACACATCCACAGCAACCGAAACGCCGAAACTCTGGACCATCTTAGACTTCCAGGCGTTACCCTGTCGACCTTGCAAGGTAGACGGCCAGGCGAGCAGCCTCAGGATCACCTGGGTAAGATGCTCCAAAATGAAACCGCTGTGCCCGAGCCCAGCATGCTGACCTTTGTGTCTTCAAGATCGCGACTGGCACCATCCTCGTCCCAGATCAGGCCCAGCAATGACTGCCAGCTCGATGCAGGGCTCAATTCACAATTTTTTGTAGAGTCAATGCGCCGCTGGTGGCAACTTGACTTTACGGCACGTACGAAACCGATGTTGCTTGATCTTCTACGATCCTATCATCTTCCGTGAACGGCTTCGTGTGCTGCGGAGGCCCTGTGAACAAGTCAAAATCCAGTGCTCGATCTGATTGATCTAATGGCCGGTAGGCCTGTTGGGAGTTCAACCAAACATCGAGTGGGGCCAAGCCTCTCTTTGCAGCCGCTCGACCATTGAAGCTTCTTCCTGCGATTCCGGGAGAAGCAGTTGTGCGCTTGGTCGCCGTTGGAAAAGACTTCGCCCAGCATCTGAAAATGGTGAGCTCAGTCGAGATCGAAAGTGTGGCGAGATTAGTGATGACTCGCAGCGGGAGTTATAGAGGCATGGCCAAGGGTTGAACCAAACCTACCCAGTAGCAATGCGAGCTTCAGGTAAAAGTATCAAGATAGTAGGAACTCAACAACTAGCTTCAAATTCTTGCCGCTACAGGTCTCGTTCAGACGCTCATGCTCGGCTAAAGGGCCTCGTGCACTTCCCAACGGATGTCTGAGGCCCTGCCTCCGTGCACTGGAAGCCCGGCCGACATCCACCACAGGCGTCAAGGACGAATGCATGCGATTCCCAGAGCTCCACCTGCAAAGGCCGTCACAGGCCCCTTCGGAAAAAAAAGCGCCTCATCCTCTTGAAGCAGCATTGAATCCGAGGCCCACAAGTTTCCTCAAGAGCCTGCATACGTCGACATTCCTGACTATGCCATGTTTCACAGCACGAGACACGAGCAATCGCCCCTGATATTGATCCCCCGACAATGCGAACAATGACTTTGAGGTTTCAGGGTGAACCAAGAGTCTCCGAATCTGCACAGCATCCCAGGCCCCATGATTTCAAGATCGAGTCCGTGCTAGAGGGTGTGAGTTGAGCTCCTTTCCCAAACCTTCCCCTTCCCGAACTCTCAGGACTTAAGCACCGCAGGAGGCAGTGCCACCGGATAGCACGAACTGCAAGCAGCAAGGCAACACGAATGCAGCTCTCCGGGGACTGCAGTGCTACCGCCGGCTGCATGGGCATAGGACTTTAACTTAACCATATGGAGAAACGCATACTAGCAGCAAACCATTGTGAACCCTCAGCACCGAATCAGATTTTGACTAGCAAAGGCTCTGGCAGTTATTACGTAAGATCAACCCTGAACCCTCGAGGCAGGCGTTCGGAGCCGGCAGCATCGTCGGAAGCATCGGCGGAGGCTGCAGCCCCTGTGTGACGTAGCGGACCTTCCAGGCGTAAGAGAGTCTTCACATCGTTTCACCCTGAAAACATGTTTGTCTTACTCAGCCCTCAGCCCTACACCACAGCTTCATCTACCCCGCTCGTGCCCCGACTGAGTGCAGGATGTGTAGGATCTGCTTGCGAAGATCTCAAGCAAAAGTATCCCGTCATGTCGACGCCTGGCGATCTGCCGGCGAGGCCTCGAGACTTGAGGGCTTCTGTACTCATTTCGTACCTTCTCCGATGAGTACAAGCGGAAACCAGGTGCCAGACCGTCCATCCTTCCATCTGAAAGCGGTGTGAGCCGATTCCTGAACCAGGCATCGCGCTTGAGATTCTCCATTTCAATAATGCCGTTGGGCAAGCATCTGGAACCTTGTATTACTCTACGGCTCCACGGACAGAGCACCTTCGATGTCCACTTCGATCCATTCCGGATACCAGGCATCCATCCTGACAAACTGTGGTGGTCGGCCCACTCTACTTTTGCACTCCTAGAACCAGCACACTTTGCCTTTAACCAGCACGATGCGCCAAGGTCAGAGCGAATGGCTCACCACCTCGATGCCATGAGGGTTGCCGTCCACATCCAGAAGAACGGGCTGGCAACGGGACCAACGAGAAAAGCCACAACGCCAAACTACGGAGCTTGCGGTTTCGGATGCCCTAGGAGAGGCGGCAAGGGTTCTTCTTCCTGCGGACTTGAGAGTTGCACCTTCTCGAAGCCTTGAAGCTGCCCGGTGACCAAATCCGTCAGTTGGAAGGTCGCAAGGATTGTCATCCTTAGAAATGAACAGTCAAAAGACTCTAGAGTTGGGTCAAACGCTTTAGACTCACAGGTTCGCTGCCGAAGCAGGTACAGTGCTTCTCGATCGGACAACTCAACAATCCAATCCAGTGCAAGCTCCGATGCAGTCTATCCATTCTGGAAATATTCATCTCCGTGCAGCGAGAAAGCGCAGAGTGTCAGGCTCAGTCCAGCAGTCACTCAGGCGTCAGAGGAGACTCTCTCTGATCGGGATTTCCCTTGGGCCGCTGGCGATGGCCAAACTTGGAAGATCTTCACCTGGACAGAGCTTCGCGGGAGCTGACTGCCAAGACGCCGCTTCACGGCCACGCCTCGATCGGCCCAACCGACCCGGCGTGGGCAGGGCTTCCTCGAGTCTGGGCTCGAATGCGGATCGTCCGCCTGAGAGAAGCCGCAAGCGCTTGGCGCGTTCGCAACAAGTTATACAGCCGCTTGCACACTGAACTGCTAGCAGCTTGCAACCGTGCTCGGCGAGTGCTGAGATTCTGGCGTGATATCCTGTTGAAAGGTGCCAAACAGAAGTTGAGCTGCGAGAGACCCATTACAGTATCAGGCACAGGAACGGCTGTGTCGGCAAATCACAAGCTGTGGGTGGCCCCTCGTCTCACAAAGGAAAGTACCTAGAGGTACAGAGACACACGAACTGTCTGCCCGTCCTTCGGGAAAACACCCCACAGACCAGGAGGAGGATGCATCCTCGTTTCGGGCTAACTGCGGCACTTTGAGTGCCTCTGCTCCATCTAGCTGCTCTAGCCAGCACAGTTCGAACATGTTCTCGCCGACCCCACGCAAAAGCTTTAGGTCTTCGCACAGACATTTCACGAGATCATGCCCATGCAGCGATTCTGACAACTCAAGATCGTCCAAACTGGAACAGAAGCCCAGGGATGCCCAAGACCAAGGTGGCCACGGACGCATGTCGGGCACCACCATCGGAGCCTGGAGCCTTCGGAAGGGATGGGCCCACGGGATGGGGGATGGGATGGAAGGATTGAAGATGAAACGCACGTGCACCGACGTTCACATGCAATCGACGTACCTTGACGCAAGAACTGTTCCCAAGATGACGCAAATTCGAGCGAATCTTCAGGGTACGGGAAGTATATCCGGCGAGTTGGCTTGAGATGTTCGTTTGGAATGGTGCGATCAGAACCGGAATTTGATTTCTGGTGTTGATGTACATGGTATGATAGCACGGTAGCATTGGAGAGGTTAGCTATGTCAGTTAAACCTTCGCTAAGCCACCGCACAGTTGAGAGTGCTGCATCTGTACATCACTGTGATATCTTGCACAACTTGCACTGCAATGCGCAGGTTGAGACAAGTGCCGAAGGAGTCAAGTACAGGTTGTGCGAATCCTGCTTTGCCGGAGTTTGGGACTGGGCGGCTGCAACGGGCGCTTCTATGGATCTTCAAAACTCATCTTCGAAATGGGCCAAGAACGATTTTTACTGTAGGTTCGCAACTTTGCAAACCCAACAATCGCTAATTCTGACAATCTGGTACCTAACCTTTGAGAACAAACAAGGGATGAGCTCCACGCACAGGCTCCGTCCCAGCTTGCCGCGGAATTGCCTCAGAGTTTCTCTGCCCGATGCAGAAGCTAACCGAAGCAATCGAAGAAGCAAGCAGTTTTGGAGTTTCACCATCCCCATCAGAAGTCCAATGTTAGCAGCAGTTTACAGGCGCGTCGAATTGCGAAGTCTCAACGAAGCTCCAGATCTCCAATGCGAGGTTCCGGCAACAAAGATGGTGGCGATGTCAGTGTAGAAGTCCTTTGCCAGTGTAGCATGATCCGAAGCGTTCGAGCCCCGTCAAATGTAATGCTAGCACGGAAGTGAAGTAGCACAAACGACAGGCAGTACATGACAGTACTCCATGTCGTGGCCATTCAACAGTGTCTCAGAGGTTTGGCATCCGAATTCTCCTCGCCGAGCTGGCAGCATTGTCCAACGTTCTTTCCCTGGCCTGAGAGATGAAAATGGGTTCTTGCATTACCTGCATTAGACATAGCACTCTTGAGAGCTGAAGCTGCACCCTGGACCATAAGCCTGTAACATCCTGTAACCGCTGTAACCACGGTGCCAGTACCACCTCTTGCAATTCTTGTGACCCCATCAGCATGTGCTTTGCGTGGTGCCGAGATCCACACCACAGTAGCAATAGCAGACTCTGTACGCTGCCGGCCTGGGACGTCGTTGCATCCCGACTGAATTTGCATGACTCCCTGCCTAGGTCTTGAGATATGGAGTCCGAACTAAATGCTGAGTATGTCCAGTCGGTGACAGTTTGCGAGCATAGATCGTCGAATTGTCAGTACGGAATGCACCGCACTCTGAAGCTGTTACACAAGACCCAAGTTCTTGGACATGACAACGGAATCAAAGAAGTTTTCGCGGAAGCTGCGGATAGCACCTGCTCTTCCCTTCTATGTACTATTTCCTATTCAAGCTTATGTTTTTCAAATCGCGTCCGTGAGAAATAATAAGAGTCATGGGCAAACAAAGTCTGCATTCAGCGCATGCGCCCCGTGGCTCGTTGCCTGAGGAACTTGATGTTTCTCCACCTGCGCCGCTCAGAAAGCCACCCTGATCCCGGAATCACACTGTGCGAGAGACCCTGGTGCCTGATTCCTCGGCCCATGTTCATGACTTGGCTTGCTTGGTTCGGCAGCAGGCCGGAGACGTCAAGACCTCCAGCCAGTCTCGCAGCTGTTCTGCACCGCATCCAATCTAGCTGGAGCCTGCACCGCTCGAAGCCTCTGTGCAGCCCAGCCGCTGCTTTCGTCTGAAAACCGGCTTCCGCAGCGCGTATAGTCGTCCACAATTCTGATGTACTCCTGCAGCAAGCTCTTGCAATTTTCCAACAAGAAGCGCTTTGAATGAACAAGTTCCCTTCGTGGCATGTACTTCTCAACGAACTCTGTGTGGTCCGGCTGCAAAACGGAGAAAGCCGGGTCCCTCCCATCGAAGCCGATGCCAGCAAGCTCCACGTCGTAGAAGGTGCCGTTTTGCGGGAACTGTGGCAGCTGCAGCGTTTGCAGGCAAAAAGCTGGTGGCTTGGCGGGCAAGCTCCTACCTGGTATGGACACAATGTTTTCTCTCCTCGCGAAAACGATCTGTGGATCCGCATCTTGCAGACAGGGTAAAGGATGTAAAGGGCTTTTCACCCTGAACTGAAGTTGAAACTTTGAAGACGCCGTACTCCCTGAGCACTTCTGGAGTTTATCATCGGTGAGGGCGCCTGTAGAGCTCAGACGGCTTTTTGCTTGGAAGGCAAAAGAACACAGCTCTCACTCTGCAGTACACCAGGTGACTAGGCAGGCCTCCATGATCGCATGGATTGAAACCCCGCATTTGGAGCACAAGAAGGTAAGCATTGGTAAGCTCTACCACGTCCTGCCTGCAGACTGAAACTCACGAGTGACGAATCCCCATAAGTTTGGGACTGGCTGCAAGGAACTTGAAAGTATCGCTCCCTTGTAACAGATGTTCTAATGTGGCTGGATTGCCACGCTGCGAAGCCCTGAGCTCGTGCCAAGCGCAAGCTATGCGCGCGAAAGGCGCATCCGCCATATGTTAAAACGCGGCTGGTTTCGCACATCGTGCACTGGCATGTTCCTGACCTCCTCACTTCTGGTAAGCCCGGGAGCTGCGCATGGCACGCGTTGCTTCTCCCACGGCCTCGCAGTTCGCAAAGGTTTCGGGTTTCAAGCAACAGATCATAGATGCCCTGTTCTTTTCTACTTCTTTGAACTTCTTTGCCAAACACTGTCAGCAAGTTTTCAGTGCGTTCTGGCAGGAAGGCATAGCTCCTGCACACAACCAAACGATGGTTCTGCTCGTCGTAGGGCTGCATGACACACTCAGGAGTTGACCGGAGGGCTCACAGGAAGGTGAAGTTGCATGAGAAGATCGTGCTCGTGGAGACCACGCAGACGATACAAACATGAAATTTATAGGCACAGCTCGAACATGTTGTCTCACTCCCAACCCATCCCGGTGCCGACAGCTTGGGAAGGCCCGACACGCTGCCGTCTTTGAAGTGCTTGCCTCAGGTTCGAAGCACTCAGCTGTTCCGGAAATTTGCTGAGCACGAAGCCTGTGGATTCTTGCTTGGCCAACTCTTTGCAGCCGCACCCTGTTAGACCCCGCCGTCCTGGTCGCACGGATGCTTGAAAGTGTCCGGTTTCCGGTTGACAACGTGGTTGGGTATGTCTGAGACGGATTTACGGAATCAGGCTACATTGTCTACGAATCTCCGTCGAACGAACTCTTGGAGTACCGACTGGTTTGCTCGATAATGTGCTGCGGAACAGCACAGGTGTGCATAGTTCAAGCTCTGCCTTCCCATACCCCAGCGATCCTGTCGACATGGCTGGGTCTTTCTTCGCTCCGATTGGAACATGAAGCACTACGTAGACGGACCCAACAAACTCAGACCAGTGAAGTCGCAAGCGTTCAATGAGCATTGCGCAGAGTTTCAACCTCAGTTGAAAGAAATGTGACCTCTCTTCCGGACAAGGTGCTGGTCACTGTGCCCTGGCTCAGGAAGCAAGCAAAGTCCTTGGCCTCCGCAGACCAGTCGGTCCACTTCCTTGGTTACACGAATCTCACTGGCTCACTACAAGCCGCATTCCAAGACCTCTCCTTAGAGAAGCGGCCAGGCTTTGCACTGCCCCTGCTGTTCACAGAGTTGGCAGCACACCCTTGGATCCTGCCAGCACCAGCGCGGAGTTGGGTGGACTCACCGAAGCCGCCGCTTCGACAGCACAGCCACAGCCCGAGAGCCCCGAATGCGGTCTCCTGGACGCCTTTCCTCATCCTCAGCTACGATCGGGCGAAATACGGTTCCCCGTCTTTGCTGCGAGTCTTACTTAAGCAAAGAATTTGGCTCTCATCGATGCGAGAGACAAAAAGCGACCGGGGCTCTGGTACCAACCCCCTTGCACAGAGTACTCCGTCTGGGGCTCCAGGAGGCAACCATCGGAGCCCTGAGCCCGGTTCAGCCTCGATAGGCTAGAGATCCATCTTTGACTGCCAAGCATCCTTCGGAACTGCACCAAGCATTGTCAGCTGAGCACCGCACACTTCGACTGAGAACTTGGATCCATCCTGATCCAGTGTCATCAGCAGGGTCGCCGAAGGTATGGAAAGTCATCAGGAGTAAGGCTCAGATTTTCCGAGAAGCGAAGACCTACCGCCAGCTCCAGTAGCGCATGCAGTGGGTACTGGATGGATGGTGGCAAGTACATCGTCGCCAATTCAGCAGATGCCCCGGTATGCTGATATGATATGATCACCCCCGTTTTTGAGGAGCGAGGTCTCAGTAGTTATCCCACTGGGAGCTTGTGACAATATGCCATAGTGACAGGCGCCCACGGAGATACATGATGAAGTGGATTCCTAGGATCACGTGAAGAGACGACCAACAACATCTGCTTTCTGCCAGCTCGCAGGATGTTGGATTGCCAGTGAGCATCAACCTGATCCCAACTGAATAAGCGCTGTCCCCGCAGTCGCCTCCAATGGCCCCGGACTGGCGGACACCGGCGCCACGGCAATGCCGCAGGGCTTCGGGCCTGTGGCGATCTGCCGTGCTATGGACGGCTTGTGATACCTTCTCAAACTCTCGGACGGGTTGTCTTGCGGCGCTGTGAGAAAGTACTTTAGGGACTGGCACCACCTAATCGCTCAGGGCAGGCTCGAGCATGTGCTGACATGCAGCGTGGCGGAGATTCCGAGAACAGTCGAGTGCGCCACGCGCCCAGGGCTCCACGGCTGAGGTCTTTCCTCCGGCCGGGCCGCTCCCTTCGAGGTGGACGTGAAAGCGCGCGCTTGGCGACGGCACGTCTTCCGGCCAAGCCAAGTCTGCTGGAGCGTCACTTCTTTTTGCGATCTGGGTTCTATTTTTCCTTTGTGGACGTGTGCCATGTCATCGGCTTCAAGCCCTCTTGTTGATTCTTGGGACGCTCTGGGAGCTTCAATCGGTTCTGCGTAGCGACGGACTGCGAAGCAAATCCGACAGACACTAAAACTCAATACGTAATTGATTCCAGTACTTAATTTAGAAACCAACAGAAACAAATTTCCAAAAACCCTGGCAAAGGGTCGGAAAAAGGCAAAGCTCAAATGACAGAGACCAACGCTGGGAGTAGCACGACCCGGAAATTCAACAAAAAACGCAAACTCGTTGGCGACAAATCGGAAACAGGGAGGGATGAAACGATCCGGAAAAACACTAGGAATGTGCATGACATCTTTGGTGGCGAGGTGGGCGGGAATACTTTCTGCGTTGGGGCCTTTCGTCAACAAGCTGTGGGTCAGGTGGGAGTGATGAGGTGTTAATGTTGACCGAAAACCCTGAGCTCAGAACTTCTGGAGTTGGTTCTACGGTGTGAGGTCTAGGGGGGCTGGGGGTTTACGGTTTTGGTTCTTTTTTTTGGGGAGGGAGGGAAGGGCGGGTTAGGGTTCACGGTTGCCCGGTGCTTAAGCGATGTTCAGGGTTAGCGAGCTTCTTGCCGAATGCGAGGGGAAGTGCTTTTCCGTGGAGGTGGCTTGGATGGCATGATGTGATGCTACTGAGTTGTCACTCCAAAGTTAATGTGTTTCAAGACACCGGGCAGGGCTAGCAGCGGCTGTCGCAAAATGATAAATGGCGATGCCCGTATGGTGTCGTAACGATTTGTCGTGGGATTTTGCAACCCTCTGCTGGCACCAGGGTGTGCGGTTGTCCCGAACTGACAACGGTCTCGGTGGACGTGGCGTGTCCGCAGACTCCAATACAAGCGCGATCCATGGTAAATTCCAATACTTTGATTGGCTCCTGTTGGTCTCGACAATCCCGCCGTGCCCGCATCTTCCACCAGCACATGGCGGAATGATGGATGGCTGGATGGATGGGTGGCTGGATGGACGCATGGTGGAGCGAGGGATGGATGAGATGATATTCCATTATCTAGCATTAGCATTCGGGGTTTAGGTTCTGTTTGTACAGAGATTGCTTCAGGATTCAATGTAACAGTGGAAAGACTCAGTACAGAGATTTGGGCCGAGCGTTGCATGGGTCACATGACCCAAACAGAGTCGTCCGTGCAGCCTGAGGACAAGATCCCCTCAGCCAGCCTATGCTTGGGAATGAACCAAGCCTGAGGCCTAAGAACCCTCGAACCATGCTAAAGCTAAAGCCACAACTCCATCTGCAGAAAGCTTGCGCTTTAGTTCCAGCGCAATGCTGGCAGAGAGCTCAGCATTCTACAGCTTCAGGCTGGGTTGTCGGCACTTGCCAGGGTTGTCCTGGTAGACCACCGCCTGGAAGTGCTCCACGCTAGAGTCGGGCTGAAGGTCGGGATACCACCTGGGTTTCTAGCAGGACCATCCCAGAAGACACGCCGGACTCACACTCCTCGCAGGCCCTTACCCACAACACTGGAGGGTCTCAGTCTCCCCGTACATGATTTTGTGTTTAAGAGTGTGACAACACCAGGGGTTCTTGTGGAAGCAAAGGGGATCCATCCTGCTGCCGAGTCCTGTATCAAGCAGTCTTCTACTCCCTACGATTCTGCAGGTGATGCCTTCAAATCGCTCGAAGTGTCTAAAGTCCTACGAGTAGCAGGCCACTCTTATCGGCCTCGTCTCGGGATCTTCCACACGCTGTCGTTCTACCCATCGTCACTTGGGGTTTAGGGTGTTTTGTGTGGGAATGGGCTCAGCATGGTCGTCGTCCGCGGTGTCTCACTGCTTGGGGTCTTCCCTGCCCCAGCACGTGTAGTGTTACAGCTGTTTATCACGGGTGCATCTTGATCATCTTCGATGTGCTGGAATGAAGCACAACGCAAGCCCTAGCTGCTTTAGAAGTCAAGGATGTAACTTGTCATTCAACTCCTTACGTAATCAAGAAAGCCGGGACGCGGCTGCTACCTGTGGTTTTGAGCAGCAAAGCCGAGGCAGGCATTCCTGAATTACTTAAGTTCATCAGTTAACCTCGGCCATGACAAGGAGGCGGCCGTCGTGGCTCTGTTGCAGCAGCAAACAGCACTGCAGCAGCATCTGGATGCAGGCAGGCAGCAAGAGCAGGCAACAGGATCTTCTGTCATTGCTCTTCAGATCGCTTGGTTCATCTGGTGAGGCAAGACGGAAAAAAGCTGCACAGGTAAGCCAACTGCAAGACAGACTGTAAGACTGCCAGCCAACAGCTCCTATGATCAGCGGAAATCAAACTTATACGTCCTTATGACAGGCAGACTACGGGACGGAGAACCTGGACGCAGCGGCTTCAGCAAGCCAGGTCCCTTTTCTAGCTGTCGCCATGCTTTAGGCCATGTGCAAGCAACTGGCAAGTATGCTGTCTAGACAGACAGCCAGGGAGGCAGACAGTCAGTTCGTGTTTCATCTACATTCCCGGACACGACAAAGAGAGATAAAAGAGCGAGAGAGAGAGAGAGAGAGAGAGAGAGGGACAAAGAGCACAAAGGAAGAGACGGAGAGGGCGGCAGGCAGGTGGGCAGTGAGGCAGGCAGGCAGGCACGCAGGGAGGGAGGGGCTCAATAAGAATGCTGAGGCTTCCGCTCGGGGTGCTGGAAGATGCCCTGCGTCATGGCCCAGTTCACCTCATCCCAGCATGTCTCTCCTGCAAGGCAAACACCGTGTCTATGGGCTTCCTTCTCAACGAACATCAGTATCATACATATTTTCTGTGGCTCCCCAGGGAAAGATCGTGTTACTAGAAACTGAAAAGTTGGAGTCGGCATGCCAGCGGAAGCCTCTCCTTGTTTGGTGGTGTGGCAGTTGGTGTCAACAGACATTGCCTGAGCAGCGGCTGCCAGTCTCCGCTTGCAAACGATCCTGCCTTGGCAGCCTTGGCAGCTTTGACCGGCGGGACGAATTCCTGACAGGATCAAGTTTGACAGCCGGCTTTGGCTCGATTCGGGCTGGGAAGCAGAGTTGTCCTGAGTTCGACGTGGCCGAGACCCCACGTTGATCACCGCTGAGATTGCCTCGCGGTTTGCAGGGCCCAAAAGCGGGCAGGCCAGGGCTGCTTGAATCTGCTTGAGACTCTTTGGCCCTGGGCCGCTGGCATGGTGGTCACTACCACCCGAACCGAGGTCCGTGGTCGACACCACATCCTCCTGGGTAGAGAGGATAAGTTGCAGCAGGCCTCGTTTCAAGACTCTTCGATGCTTTCCTGGCTCGCAAGGTTGGCGAAGATGTTGTCCACGCCACCAAAAGACTGGGAGTTGTACCTCGGCCCGGCGCACGGGAACAGCGGCACCTTGAGTTGTACATCTGGCCACATACAAAGCCGGGGAGGGCCACGCAAAGTTATTCTGTAACTGGTATGAACCTCCAACAAGCCACATCCAACCATAACAACTGATCAAACACGCAACACTTGGCCAGGACACACATGGTGCAGGTGTGGCCACATTGCCTGTCATGCAAGAATGGCCTTCGGCACTGAAACCGTACAGATGCACGTCCAGACTGGGGTTTAACTTCGAGGTCTTGGATCTTGTGGAAGCAAAGGTGTCGTCAAGTGGCTGCACGAATTTGCATGCGAAAGGCACGGTCACAGCTTCTTGCATTCAAAATCCTGAAAATCCTGAACAATCCTTGCAGACACCCATCGAAGAAAAGCTCACAGCAGGAATACGTCTGCCATGTTTCTCAATGTCTGACACTGCCTGACCAAGCTTGCATAGTTCTTGAAGCTTTGAACTTTCAACCCAAACATGCCGCTACTGTGCACATCGCAATTATTTGCGGGAGGGTACAGGAAACAATTGTAATGGATTGCCCATCTTGCTTGGAGCTATCCAGGGGCAGCCACCTTCTCCACTTCCTCTGTTCTTTATATTCAACTGGAGGGGATGCGCAAATCAAGAACCGTTCCGATTCGAGGACACCAGACAAAACTGAGACATGCAAATAAAGAGCCTGCAGTGTCCGCGACGCCGCGTTCGCGTTGAAGTCTCCAACCAATACCAGGGTGTCGCCCACCTGCGGGAAAAGTCCGATGCCAGGCTCCGCGGCAGGGGATAGCGGCAAGGGACTATGCAACTACGTGGCTCGTGCCATCTCGTGTCTGTGCGACCCATCCTCCGAGTCGGGGATAAGCAGGGCTCTCTCTGCAAGCTTGGCTACGACACCCTTCAAACTCTTGGCATGCAAGGCACTCTGAGTGATGTGTTGCCCAACAGGGAAGCCCACCCTGAAGCACTTGCGTCCATCCCCTCACGTGGAGCTCGCCTGCCCGAAACGTGCCATGACCTGCAGGATCTTGTGCGCCGTCGCCTGCAGTGCGGCCCACAAAGTTCGGGCTCCGAGGTCTGCTCGAAAATCCGAGAAACTTCATGTCTCAATGCCTTGCCACCGCAGAGGCCCCCGGAGTTCACGGATAGTGGGCCGTGGTGATTCCTGAGAAGAGGACATGGGATGGCCTCGTCTACTAGCGCTATAACACTCGGTATACAAGAAGTTATTCTTCGGGTCCTTCTCAGGTTGTCGCACGCTGCCTTCTCCAGAATGTTTCATGTACAGCGCTTCTAGGTTTAGGGATTGATGTTTTGCAAGATCGTGAAGAACCTTTGAAGGCAATTGAAGTGAGAAAGGAACGAGTCGGTTCGCTAGCCTTACTTCCAGCTGTGGCAGCCCCACATCCGGCAGGCTCTAGACGTCGACGCCAAACATGCATCTGCAAATCTCGTCAGAGCCACACGAAGAGCAGCTTCCGTTTCGTGTCCTGTGCTGCACACAGGGATGAAGAATCGACATCACCCACACATTCACCATATATTCACCGACTCTTTTGACGAATGCACCTCTGCGACCAAACTTTTAGGTGCATCATCGCTTCAGGCGCAGCTGGAACTACAGTCACCTCATCTCAACGGTTCGTAGACGGGAGTGGCATTCACGGCACAAGCAAGGGTTGGGAGCTTATGGTTGCGGGCTGCCCTGGCAGACGGGTCGTTTTGTCGATAGGAGGGGAGGGCGGAGTCGGGGCTGCTGTGCATGCAGTTGCCCTGTTCCCCGCGAGCGCGTGCCTTGTGCTCCAGTCTAATCCATTGTGTGCCGCGAGTCCCATAGTACTCCTCAGTTGCACAGCGTACCGGCTGCTGCGATGCAAAATGAAAGCCTTGGGCAAACTCTTGGGCTCTTGATGCTCTTGCTTCTAGACATGCAACCGAACGGCTGTCCGCATGTCTTGAGCCACATCTGCCTCCTTGGTTCAATGAAGTGTCTGTGAGTCTTTGTACATCTTCGCGACAGCTCGAAATCATCTTGCTAGCTAAGCTGCACCGTGACCCAGCAAAGACCTGAGCAAGCCCACACGAAGCAAGAAACAACACAGGCTTGACAGATTTTTGTTGCTTTGCCAGCGTTGAGCAACCAAGAGACCACGCGGCCTTCCGATAGGCCACGCAAATTGCGTGGTTGCCTTGGAAAGCCTCGTACTGCCTCGGCACATGGACTGACTCGCTGTTATGCGGAGAGTCTGGGACTGGACAGGGCTTCGGCGTTTGCGGTGAGGCCATCCTAGTCCTAGGACTGAAACCGAAACAGACGTGCAACTGGCTAGAAGGCCCTTCCATTATGCTCAGCCGGGCCGTAGGAACTTCAGCTGGGCGATGCAAACAAGCGCTCACCCGAATCCAGAGAATCGATCCGAGATGTCAATTTGTCTGCCATTGCTCTCTTGAGCTCGAAACCAGGTCACAGGTACTGCAGCGACTATGTCATGCTCCTCGGCCAACAACTCATCAAGCTTTCGCCATCAAGCGGCTCTAGCAATCCAACGTGGCCCAGCACCTGAATCGGATCCTGCCAGGATTTGCACGCGGCACAGGTTCGGCCACGGTGACGATTCAAGTCTCAACTACCTATTAACCTTTATGGTAAAGTGCCTGCAGATTGAGAGAGGAAAGCTTGATTGCTTTCCGTCAGAACCTCATCTTGTCAATGGGGAGTTTTGGGTGGGTTGAAGGAACTCAAGGGCTGCGAAGTCCTCGCACTCTTGGAAGCCCATAACCTGAGCTCTCCACACGCACGCTTGCTTCGGAACAAAGCTCCAACGTTTCATGTAATGTTAATTTGTACCGCACAGCGTGTAAGCGAGAATCGAAGCCAATGCATAGCTGGTGGTAGCTGTGCAAGAAGCCAACAAGCAGGCTAATAATGTAGCGAAGCTGCATCATACGGCGGAGTGCTAGTGTCCTGAATCAGGTGTCCGGCACTGTCACCTCGTCCGTGCTCCACCTGACTGAGCATAGCCCAAGCTCAGCAGCATCTTCTGAAAAACCGACCATCTGAACGTTTCCTAGCTATGACTCCTTGAATGTGATGGACTTCATACGCCCTTTGCGAACTCACGGGATGGGCCTTGAACAAATGCCACCAGAAGAGGTTGTAGGACAACACCTGACGTGTCACTTCGGATCTGGAAACAAGACCCACGCGTCCATATGCGCATCATTCGTATCATCAAAGGCGATGACAGTCGCTGATGGTTTGCGTGCTTCTTGTCCCGTCTGACGTTCTTTGCATGCGGGTACCGGGCCACTCACGACCAGCCGCACCCTGAGAGACGAGGCGGACACAGCCACATCGCCGGTACATCGTCAATTGGGAAAAACATATGGCTGCCTTATTCTTGCTCACACTCTCACCTGCACATCTAGATGCGGTGAAATGCAGTGCAATCCTTCGTTTTGAAACGGGGGGAGCATCTCCGGTGATCCCTGCATTGACAAGAGCAATCAAAGTGCAGCAAGCTGGCGACGTTTAGCAGCCAAGCAAGCTAAATCCATGGAGTTCCCACCCGCCCGCCTACACCAGATGACAATGTAAAATACAATCACTCTGCACAGTAACGCAGGACGGTTGCTTTCAACACAACGTCCACCTTGTGCTCTTGAGAAGCGGAGCTAGAATAAAGTGTTATCAACAAGTAGACTACAGCAGGGAACACCGGACGACGACAAGCTGGCACATCCATACCACCTGAGCCACCACATTCAGAACAGCCCGAGTTCGTGGCCCTCCGGCATTGATCCGAAAAAGCTGCACTTGAAAACCATGGCACGGCAATCTGTAGGTCACTCCACATTCTAGACGATGCACCCCACAATTGTCAGAAGGAACCCAGAAGCAACGACTTGAGCGCAACATCATCACGGCGTACGTGCGCTTGCACCAGGGTCAAGTATGCAAGCAATCGACTTTGGTGGGGAACAGCTGACGTCACCAGCCCAAAGGCCGCCTCACAAATGCTAACATCAAAATAGATTTCGGTCCTTAACCCGGAGCACAAACAATGTAACAAGGATGACGTTGGCTGGCAAACCTCTAAACCCCCACAGGAAGATGTTGAAGCAATGCTGGTTGCAACACCTTGGCTGGCAAACTCTATTGTTAACCCTAAGAAGAGTGTTGGTCCCCAACACTGAACCCTAAAAATGAAATGCTGTTTGGCTAGCGCTTAAGCCTTAATCCCATAAGACTTAAGAAGATGTCAAGCAATATTCGCTGGCAGATCCCCAACCACCAAAACAAAAGAATGCTGGCCCCCAATCTTAAACGTTTTGGTTCAGAAGCCCTGTAACCCCAATGACAAACGTTGAAGAGATGTTGCGTGATTTGGCTGGCAAACCCTAAACTCTGAAAGAAGATTTTGGCCCCTAGTGCCCTGACCTTAAACCCTGGGAACATATGTTGGCAACCCATTACTAAGCGAAAAGGAAGCTGAGGGGCTGTTGGTCGGAAAACCCTAAACCCTGAAAGCCTTGACCCTCGACTCCAAGAAGGGAACTTTGCTTGGCGAACTCTTTGCCCTAACGGAAGATGCTAAGGAGATGGTCTCTGGCAAACCTTTAACCCTGAAAAGAGATGTTGGTGCCCCTAACCCTAAGCCGAGAAAGAAACAATCTTGAGGAGATGTTGGTTGGCAAACCTTGAATCGTTGGCAAATCCTTGAACTTGGTTGCTTGAACTTCAAGGCAAACGTTAAGGAGATGTCGGCTGGCGAACCCAAAGCTTATGAAAAAAATGTTGTTTGGTAAGACCTAAACCCTAAAACAGAGCCCAAATCCGAAACGAATTTTGGCCGGCAAACGTGGCCTTGACCCTGACAGCTACAGACACTAGAAGCAGACGCAGGCTGGGGGCCCTAAGCCCTGACACAATGAAAGGAAACCGATGAAATGTTGGCGTTCAAACCCTAAATCCCGTGGCGGGACCCTAAACCGTACAAGGAGATGTTGGTTGGCAAACCCCGAACCCGCAAGAAGATGTTGGTCGGCGGCAGGCCGCGGCCCGTGCACCGGCCGCACATACATGATACTATTGTCAGGCTTACATGTTGATCAGATCTGAACAGTCTAATCATTCTATTCAGCCCAGAATCTCAATTGGAATTCTGATGATGCCACTCAGGACCCAAAGTTCAAAGCGGTGCGGGGGGTTTGCTGCTCGCTACGGCAGGCCTTGATCTCAAGGCTGGCTCCTGCTGCAGGCTTCCAGAGCTGTGGGGCCGGCACGTAGTTGCACCCGCCCTGGACAGCAGCGGAAAGCCGGTGGCTAAATGAAAGGGACTTGTTCAATGTCGGCTGCTCCAGTGACGTCGTAATTTTTGGCTCACGTGAGCTATTTCAATTGTGCTCGGCCTTCGACAGTCAATGCCCAGCAGAAACAACATTTCTAACGAAGGCTCGAACTCGAGCACCCACTGCTGCCATGTGCGGAAATGCTTGTATGGACTGGAACACGATTTAGAGTTTAGGGTTCAGGGTTTAGGCTAGAATTGACTGGGAGCTTCGACGCCAGGATGCGGGCGGAGGGACCGAGCAGGGCCGAGGGCACTTCGGGTGCCTGCCAAAGCAAACGGACAACGGCAGTCTACGTGGCGTTGGTCGTTTGGACCCTCTTGCAGCCGTGGTACGTCGTGTTGTATGCCACGAATTGCCATTCGGACAATGGGGAGTCCTCCGTCATGCCCGGGTACCAGTCCGGATGCTGCGGCATGCCAACGTTCTTGCCCCACATTATGGCCTGGGCTGTGAACATCATCTCACTTGAAATCCTGAAGCCAACGAAACCAAACTCGATCGGACCACAACTGGTAAGGAGATCGAGAAGCAAGTATACTGGTATGCAAACCATGCCGACTGTCAGACTGCATCGGCAGTAAGTACCTTTGCACAGGCCTTGACTCTTCTTTGCTGCTGTATCCAGCAAGATCATCGGACTGCAGGAACGGTCGCTGCTGCCAGGCTACCTCCCAACAGGCACCGCCTTCTCCTCGCGAAATTAACGTAAGTGCAAGAACACGCCATGCAGCTGAGCCAAGCGGTGTATCGAATCAGTAACATGCAAAACACGGTCCTGGCTGGATGTCATGGCAGCCGGTGTCTACTGAAGCTTCGTCCTTTCCAAGGTCACGCTAAGCCTCTAAGCGTTCTCTAAGCGCTGCTGAGAAGACGTGGGTGTCCACGGTTGACGGCCTGGCTGCGCTTCGCGCTGCGGAGGTGAAGGGCGGAGAGGGCACAGCCTTCCTCCACGCACTCGTCGTCTGCCTCTGCTCCAAAGAGCCCGTCAGAAGATAGAACCCTAAACCCTTTCCCTCCCGCTCGGAGGCGCACCGACAGCTCGCTGAGCGGTGCAGCACGCACGGCGCCCAAGGTCAGAAAAGCCAGGAGTCTGAACGGCATCGCAGGTGTTTGGAATCCTTCGGGATCAAACCGGAACCGCGGTTGTCCGGTTCCGAAGCAAGAGACAGGAACAAGCGCTTTTTAGCAGCTAAAGAGGATAAGAGGAAGAATGAGCTTGAGCCGAGGCGTGGCATCAGGTCACTCTCGCAAAGGGCACCTCTCAAAAAGCTCTGCGAGCAACTCGCAGTGCATCTGGCGCGAGATTTCAGGAAGATGTTACCTCATAGCATACACCCTCTGTGCCCAACCGGTTCGTGACATTCGATACCAGTATACGCGTTTCAACTCATTTCCAATTCGTCCAGGAATATGCGCGACACTTCTTGCAACTCATCCCCATCCAGCCTAACCAAACTTATTGAAAACGCGCTCCCGCAGACTTCGCCCGCAAACGCGGGTGCCACACTCTCTGAAACCGATTCTGACATCCACTACACGACCCTAAGCACCAACACAGGAGGGTTTATCCGGCTGCGGTTGCTCAGAGTAGAAGCGCCACTGCCCCTTTTACCCCGTATGTCGTAATTACTGAGCCTCCCGCTTTTATGCTCGGCCAAAGCTGCCAACACGAATATCAGCCTACTGACAATCCCAGAAGCACTGCCTCCAGAATCTGCCGAGGGTGTGTGCTTGGGCCCAAAGGAGCGATCAGCGCCGCATCGATCTAGGCCCACAAGCAACAAGACAGCAGCGCACAAACCAGGAATGAAATCTGCAAACCTTGGTCGAAGGACGTCGGCTGTTGCTGGCTAGGGCTGTGGCAACAAAGTCCTCTCCCCTGCTGCCTCAGCCGTCAACCGAGTCTGTGATCAACATGACCTGTACCAGTACCGACAGGGAATAGCAACAAACTGTCTTTGTGGACCCGCTGTGCTGGACGACGGCATGGCCCGACCAACTTCGTGCGTGCGAAATCAAAAAATGAATACCTGAAAAACCAGATATACGTATACGCACACATGTCATCTAACATCTGCATATACACATATACACATACACATGAATCTACATGTAAGTCTACGTGTATATATATATATATATATATATATGTATATGTACATACACATACATATACGTTAAATGCATATACATATAAATACATATACATATATATATATATATATATATGTATGTGCACACACCAACAATACATACATACATACATACATACATACATACATACATACATACATACATACATACACACCCCCACATACATACATACATACATACATACACACCCCCACATACATACATACATACATACATACATACATATTACATACGTATGAACTAAGCATACATATACATGTACATTTACATATATACATATACATATGCATATACATATACTTGTACATATCAATACACATACATGATCATCTACATATGTGTACAGATGTGTATAGTGGACAATGATATCTTAGTATACACTGACACAAGTTACTGATGTAAGCATGATGCATAAACATGTGTATATAAAGACAAACATGGTATACATATACAGCATATACATATGCATATACATATACATATACTTATACATATACACATACATATACAAATACAAATGAATATGCATATGCATATACATATACAAATACATATACATAACCATACACATATACGTATACATACACATATACATATACATACATATATATATATATACATATACACACACAGGTATATATATACCCATAAACTCATATACTCATAAACTCATTTCTTTCATAAACTCAAAAACTCATACATATATTCATCTATTATTCATTTATATACAGGTATATATATATGCACATAATAATGAGATATAAGTTTATATATAATGGTAATTAATGGTAACTTTAAAAAAACACGGATGGACGCATCAAGCAAATTCTATCTATCACTCCGTGGATTCGAGAGTACCTGATTGTGGAAACAATCAGCAATCGCAGTAGACCCAAATAGCCCCAAGGCAGCGGCATGCTTCCGTATCACCACACCAGCACACCCGCAGCGGCTGACTGGTGCGCACCTCATGAAACAGGGCCGCAACCATAGCCAAGCCTTTTTGTGGGGTACTCTGTGGCAAAAGAATCTAGAATGTAGAATCTGCTCATATCTTGATGTCTTCGAAGTTCCCACCTTGACATTGGTCCACGTCACGGAGTCCGCGGTGATGCGGTGTGGGGCGCCCGATGGCCTTGTCCGATGTTTTGTTCAAGGAGCTTCGGTGCCGTTAGACACGGCAATGTGCCCCGGTGGCCCGTCACCAAGATCTGGGCACAGCGTCCTCCTGCTCGTTTTCGATGGAGCTGCTGAAGGCCTCGCGATGAGTCTCCGACATGAGACAGAAGGAGCAAACGGTGGCAGCAAACGGGAATCGCCGGCGCCGGCCAGGCCTGTGCCTCCACGCTGCCGCACTGTACGGTAGCCGCATCGACGAGTCGAATGCGATCACTGGAACCTGCCGAAGAACGTGGGCCGAACGTGGCGAGTGGCGAGTAGGGCCAGAAAAGCCCTCTCGTTTTCTGCGGCTTGGTGGCTGAATCCAGCCAGCTGGCCGCCTTTCACTGCGATCTCCTTTCAGGTTTGCAGCGCTACAGGCTGGGTCTGTATCGTGAAAGTCGCGTCTGTCAGCGACGATCCAGAACCTAAAGCTCCATCTGAATACTTGACGGTTGACTGGAGACAGGGAACTGGAGCGGCAGCTGCATTGCCGGTGATATAGCCAGGTTGGATGCTTATCCTTCCGCCAGGGCTGCATGATGCTTCCGTCCTCGTAACTGCCCGTCTTGATCGTGCCAACGTACTGGATGGGGCCTGTCACAAGAGCGCTTTCGACTCTGCGACTTTGCGGCTTCGTTATAGGAAGCCAAAGTCCAAAGCTTTGGACCGGCTCGCAGCGCCTCGAATGTTGACACGCGCAGCTTCCACGCGAAAGTCCTCACACAGAGCGTGGCCCTGACAAAGCCTGGCAAAGCACACTACGAGTGCTCTGGTCCTCTCCGCGCTCGCACCGCAAGCGAGTGCCATCGATCCTCGCACCCTGGCACCAGCCTGAGTGCTTTCCCAAAATCTGCAAAAGACAAGGATCCTCGAACCTCGCTATCTCCAACGCCCAAAACTAAGACCAGCACGTTGCTTCCTTGGTTTACTGGTTTGCCTCTGACTCGCTGGGGTGCGAGCATACGCGGAAGCTGCCAGAGGCTCGAAGTGTTACGTTCACCCAAAGGCTGAAGGACTCGTTGCCCTGGTACCGCCGCCTGGTGCAAGGCTTCGAGGCCAGGCTTGCCCAATCTTGCCGACTTCCCCTGTGAGGCCCAGGCCCCATCAAAATGTCTCGGCTTTGAACTTCCTCGGCCAGGACCTTAGAGAGCAAGGGCTGCCCTCCATGCGCAGTAGCATCCAGACGCTTCCGGCCATCTTCCAGCCTCTGCACCGGGAACGCCACAGGGCTGCGAGTCGTTCACCTCCCACTGCATTGCTGCAATAGGTGTCAGCAGGAGCAAGATCTTGGGATCCTCTTGGAATCTCTCTAAACGTCGGCAAACGTCTCTGAGATGCTAGGCCGGGGCCGCCGCTAGGCGCACGCGGTCGAAGAGCGAGAGCTCGTGGCCGAAGATGGCCAGGGCCAAAGGCCGGCCGGGCTGAGCGGAGAGTGGCGGAGCGGAGAGTGGCGGAGAGGAGAGGCGAGAGAAGAGGAGAGGAGAGGAGAGGAGAGGGAAGCGCTCTGACAAAGCACGCTCTTGCGGAGCTTGAGTTCAGGCAGAAGGGCCCTGGGCCCCGACCATCCCTTCGACGACTTCGGCATCATCGATACGACTGTCTGGTCCCACAATGCGAACCTAAGAACCGGTCAGGTCCACGTCTGACATCATCACAGCCATTGTGGTGCCAATGCACCGCTCTCTCACGCGCAACAGTGAGGTGCCAGCAGTTCCGGCATCATGGATGAAGAACTCTGCCGCATTGCACGGTGTTATCTGCCCGAAGACCACCTCAGAGTCGCAGCACAGGTGACCGCTAGTGACTGCTAGTGGCAGTGCAGGCAGCAGGTGTCTTGAAAAGCGAATCCTCAGCGCTCGACGGCATCCTTCACGCAGAAGCAAAGCCGATAGGTACCGGTGCGAGGCACCTGCAGCTGGCATCTGGCAAGTACTGTAGGCTGGAATCCGGCTCGGAAGAGCTTGAAGTGAAATGCCACTCCAGCATAACAGTATCAGGCCACTGAAGGCGGTCCAAAGTTGAAGGTCTTCTGGGTGAAAGATGGCCTTGCATGGAACCACGAGGCTTGAGCTACAAGGTTCAAAGCCCCTGGGCCCGCTGGGTACACGACGAGGGAATCTCCGTCGTCGGGTTCATGGCCAGGCCCATTTGGAACATGACACCAGGCTGCCACGGAAGAAACGTCGCGGGGACGCTAGACTACGCACATGTCCCTGGACCAACCTGTGCTGTGTAGGAGCTCTAGCGACGGGGTAAGGCAAGGTGCGGTTCCCAACTGAGTAAGTGCCTGCCCGCAGCTTTGCTCCATTGGAATCACGGCCAGCTTGTTGCCCGGTAACAAGCCATTTCCCATGATCTGCACCTGAAGAGGTCTGTGTCTGTATCTATTCCCATAAATGTTGCTGCCTGCATCGGCCCCCACCTCGCAGACCAATCCATTCGTACAGTAGCCAGAATGATGAACGCCGGGACCTCGGCAGCGGAGGTCTGCGCTGGCCCCCCATGGTGCTCAGACCCTCTAAGATCGCCCTTTTGCCGATTGCACATGCCAGAGGCCGCTGCCTATCTGGCTGAAAATCAGACGGATACGGTTGTTGCCGGAATCTGCCACGTAGATGTCCTACGCATGCGGACCCAGCACACATCCCAAGCAATCACTAAGCCGAGTTTGTCAGTCGCGGTCAACATGATGCCGATGAATTCTACCAAAAGTTATCGTGCTGTCAAAAGCATACGTGATGCGCCATACCCCACCTTTAACCTGGACTCAACCAGGAAGTGGCCGCTCGGTGGCCGAGAGCGCGCAGTAACGGCGCGCAATCCCGATCCCGCGCTGTTACTGAGAAGGTTGGCGGCCAAGATGAGTGCAATCGCGCCAGGCTGTCCAAAACTGGCAGACTGGGTGTCTATCAAATTGTTGACACAGACTGTTTCATGACACCGCTGCAGTCAAGACCAACTACAAACCCTTGATGTAACAACACTGTCCCACGTCCTTCGTCATGGGATTTACGCCCAAGCCGTTGGGCCTGGCAGGAGACCCCAAGTTACAATCAGACCAGGCTTCGTACCTGGCTCCGAAACTTCAATGAGCCGAGCGCGATGCCGATTGAGCTGTGTAACCCAAGCGCTGCCTGCGTGGCACGGGCGCGGCTCAAGGCGCCGCCTAAAGGACGTCCTGCACTTCTGTGACCTGCCTTGGTCACCTGCAAAGCCGGCATCGCCTTCCCTTCCTGCCAGGACGTAGACCTCAGGGACGCGCAGTCGTCCCCGGAGTCAAAGGCTAATCGAGTTACGCATGCTGAAGACTGAATCAGACCTTCAGCGAGTTTCGGTGTTTTATATTGGGCATCTGCTCTTGCCGCGAGGCTGCGCAAAAACCCTGGCAGGATGATCCCTCAAGATTCCAAACACCCCATCTTCAGATGCTGAGAACAGAGTGATGATAGCCCCTGAGGGAAGGACCAATCCTTGCTGCTGAGTCATCATCCCCTGACGAGCAAACCTCCAGGCATCACAGTTCGTAGATGCACGAAGATGGAGCCTCATATCTTGCATAGTTTGGGGTTGAAGGGCTCCTTCGAAGTCAGACCCGGCACGACGCAAGGCCACGGTGTCACACCCGGCCTGTAGACTGAGTTGTCGCGAGCTCCACCTTTTCCCTGATCACAAGAAGTCGAAGAGCCCTCGAACCTCAAGACCGGGACGTTGATGGTTGTCGTGACACGTGCAGCTTAAGGGTCATTGTCCCCCTCCCTGAACTCATAGCAAGCATCACTTTTTTTAACGGAAGCTCTTTACATCGCATGTCCGTTGCCGCTAGCTCGGCACAACTTCTATGAGCCTGAAGAACGCTCCAAGCTTAGGCCCCCGCCGAAAGTAGAGGTGGGCATCCTCACAGAGTACAGTGCGACAGCCGCGCCCGCAGGACAAACGGAATCTTGCCCAGCCAGAGCGAAGGAAATGACTGTTAATTCAGACTGGAGTGGCCGCGCAAGTCTGGGACTCCAAGTACACACCTCAACGCCAACGCCATAGCCCTGCACCTCTGTGCACCCAGTTTCGCTTTCAATCCGGTGTCCTTTGAGGTGGCACACACTCCCATTTGACGAATGGCGAACACCTCGTAGCCCAACCGCAACGTAGCCAGAGCGCACCTGATGCGGTTTCACCACATTCATTGCACAATGGATGAAGCAACAGCGGCTGTAGGCTGATTCTCGATCGCCAGGGGAGGAGGAGGATGAGGAGGAGGGGGAGGGCCCCGAAGAGGCCGCAGACCCCTGGCCTTTTGTGCCCATGGCTCATTCAGCTCTTCTGAAAACCTTCCTTCGCACCATCGGCCGTATAGCTTCATCGTCATCACCACCACCAGAATCGCCACAATCATCATGCTATAATCGTCGTTGTCGTCAGCATATTGACAATAACCATCGTACAAACACACCATTGTCAGACTGTCAGACCATCACTTGCTTCCCCGTTTTGAGCAGCATCAACAATATTTCATTCATTCACACGCAGCGGGGGAGGACTGTCTGTGGTGAAACTTATCGTCCACGCTTTGCGAGGGATCGACCTAGTGCCCTGCTTACTACTTGCGCGGTCACTCTTCACGGCAAGCCGTGCCTCAGCGCTGCACTTGCACACGCTCCGCCCCTCAGGGCTGCAAGCTGTGAAGTGGGAAGCGAATGTGTCTTCAGAGTCTTATGCGGCGTTATGATTTCGGCACTAGCTTGAAAGCTACCCGGCTTGGTTGCAATGTATCACTGGCTGATTGGCAGCAGATCATTTTGCACTCAGCTGCTGGGGAGAAACTCCACCAGCTGTGCGAGAAACTCCTCCGATTGTTGGGGAGAGTCTCCTCCTAAGGGAGCATCTCCACAAGGCGTCTGGCTCAGGAAGAGGCTGCCATGAGACGATCTTGTCCCTGCTGAGTGTTGCCACTGTTCCCATTTTGGTTTCTGGCTGCTCCATTCCCTCGGCCTCCGCTTCCTCGTGCCCCGGTTTTGCCCCCTCGCTGTTGTCCTCTGCCTCGTTGCTGGGGAGTACCTCCACCACGCTGTCGCTTCAGGGGAGAATCTCCACCTGACGGACCTGCCTCTCCCCGTTTAGGGGCAGAGCTCTCATCCATCGATACTCGCTGGAAGAGCTCTTGCAGAGACATTACTCGGGAGATTGGCTACGTCCTGGGGCTCGTGAGAGACGGCGCTGCGAGCTAGGAAGATGACGTAGCTATTTTCTTGAAGCAGGGGATCTTCGAGGGTACAGGGACTAGGGGGGTGGGAGTCATCACCAACATACCAGGCATCTGCTGTGCGTACAGCTGCACGGTAATGGCCACTAGTGGACTCCATTCCTAGGTGAATGATCACTGCCTCTACTGTGTAGGTACAGAACGAAACTCGGGATGTGTGGTCCAGGAAGACAGGGATCTGGACTTGCTGTGGGATTGTGATGCGAGTGTGATCCTTAGCTTCACCTGCGAATCTCGGCAAGGCTAAGCACACCTGCTGTGCAGCTTCTATGAGAGCACATGAGCGCTCCTGAGACGACCATGCCACTAGCATGTCCTGTAGGTTGGTCTTGATCGCCGTGGCAAGATGAATGGGAGAGCCCCCTTCTTCGTCCACTATCACGCCTTCCGGTACTGAGGCTCTAGTTTCCCACTGTCCAAATCTTGATGCAGAGAGATTCCGAAACACTTGCTGCAGGAACTCAGCAGAGTCGTGCTGGCCTCCGTCAAAGAGCCAGCCCATGGTGAGCTCCGAGAAGACTCTGTGTTCAGGGGTTATTCTCGCAAGCTGACTGATCCGGGATGCCTCTTGGAAAGTCGCCTCTGAAGGATCTGATAGCCAGTGGAGACACTGCAGACCTGAGTTGGCATAGCAGTGGTTGCGAGTATTGGCTAGCAGGAGAAAGCCTTCCAGTCTAAACACGGGGTGAGGAATTCCTGGCGTTGAATCTGAAGGCTTCTTTGTGACTGTCTTCGCCGATGCCGTGGACTTTGCTCGAGTATATTCGCGGGGCTGCTTGCTGAGCTGCTGGCGCGCTACCTCCTGCAGTACGTGCACCTGCAGTAATGGAACGCACTGCTGAGCATGTCTACCCGGGGCATCCACACGAAGTTTGCAGTATCGACAGCTATCTCCTTTGTGGAAGAAGACCTTGAATTGATTGAGTCTTGGTTGGAGAGTTTTCTCCAGCTTGGCCATCACCTCAGGATGCTGCTTGTTTAAATGCTGTTTGGCTCCTTTCTGGCCTACGAGGACCTGACCACAGAGTGCGCAGTGTTCCATCAGGTAATCATGGAACGCCGGATTTCGAGCGGCGCCTTCTGGATTGTCCTGGGCATCAGACTGTAGACTTTCTACGAGTGAGATCCGGTTCTGTGCTTCTAAGGGTAGCTCTTCCTGCTGTCTAAGCAAAAGCTCTACCCTAGGGCAGGTAGATGCTTCGACATGTTTGCACAGATAAAACACTGTTCGGAATGTTGCTCGACAGGCGATGCAAGTTGCTGACCCTGGCATTGAATGCAAAATAGGATCAAATTTGGGTCCTTTCAGGCACTGCTGAGAATCTGGGTGAGCCTTCTGCAGGTGGCGACGGAGTGCTCCGGTGCCAGAGAGACATGCTCCACATTCACCGCAGGTCAGAAGCCTATCCTCCACATGGTGCGAGGAGAAGTCCGTGGGGAGAAGCTGGGGATCGGAGTGTTGCTGTCTCTTTATAAACTGGGTCATTCTCTTTTGCAGCTGCTCCTTCAAGTGAGGAATCCGTAATCTCCGGAGTAACTCCTGGTTTGATTCCTTCGTTTCCTGGGAGTAACTCCGCAGGACGAATCTGAGTTGGTACATCATGTGTGAATGGAGCTTTTGCAATCCCTGCTGTGTCATCCCCACCACGTGGAGTGCATACAGAGCAGAGGCCCACGCAGTTATTGTCCAAATCGACAGACGACGTCTGTCTGATAAGACTCGGTGGTTCCGAACTGCATGGGCTACTTCTGACATTGCAAGCTTACTGGATGACAGCCGATGTTTGAGAGTCTTCATTTCATAGTCGTGATAAGAAAGAATGACCCCCAAGTATGGGACCTGATAGCGCAGCGATATCAGCCTGCCCGAAGGGAGTTCAACATACTTCGCTCCCTCGACCTGGCGAAAGAGTTTCTTCCTAATGGTCGAGGCTGAGCCCCGTTGCAGCTGGAGCAGAATTGCTGACTTGGACGGATTGAAATTGAACCCAAGCTCTACCAGCTGATCCAGAAGCAGGTCGCAGTACCCTAGTGCTGTCATGAGGCCGGCCTCAGAGTCGAAATGCGACTGGATCAAGCTATCATCTGCGTACATTGTGAGGAGCTTCACTAGTTCTGCTGGGCTGATTTCCCCAGAGAGCTTCCTAAAGAGAAGCCCTGATGCAAAGGCGAATAATGAGGGTGCTAGCTTACATCCCTGCTTGATTCCCCTGCGTGTGGCTATCTCAAAGCTCTGATCGCTGGCTGCCATCTTATACAAGGCTTTGATGTGGAGATGGCCTACCACCTCTATCAGAAGAGGATCTGCTTGTTCGGCTTCCAGGGCCTCTCTTAATCGCAGCCTGTTTACAGTGTCAAAAGCTTTGCTCATGTCCACGCTCATGGTGAGACTGCCTCTGAGCTTGAGCCCCTGTTGTCCCTTACCTGCAGCCCTAGTGGTGAGGGCCTGTCTGAACCTGGCCTGGTCCACATGTGTGAGGGCCTTGCAGATAGCCTCCTCTGTGCCCCTGCCTGGGACAAAGCCGAACTGAGAGACGCCGGTCATTGCTAGCTGGAGGGTAGACTTGAGTCTCTTCCTCACGAGTCCGGCTAGGACCTTACCCTCAGGTGCTATCACCCCGATCGGACGGAGTGAGGTTGGTTTGTCTGGCTTCTTGGGAGGCTTTGGGAGCCAGGAGATCTGTGACGAGGTGACACTGTCCGAGAGCCTTCCTGCAGTGACTTCCCTATTAAGGGTGTCCGAGATTAGCCGGATTGCTTGGGGACCTAGGGAGCGCCAGGCTACTACGGGAGGACTCTCTTTAGGAACCGCCTTGCCCAGCTTTATTGTGCCAAGCTGTTCTTGCACTTCTTGCTCAGTGATGTGCAGGCTGCCTTGTATCCCTGAAAGCGGGAAGTCATCCCCTGCTCCAAACAGGTCTAGGGAATATTCCTCTAATTGTCTTCTTTCTTCCTTGGCAGTAAGGAAGCGACCCTCAGAATCACGAAGCTGAACTCTTTCCTGGGGCCTCCCCGACCTGAAGCGCTTGATTACCTTGTAAAGGGAATGACTCCCGTCCTGCTTGGACTTAAGCTCTGCCTGCTGGAGTTGTTCATCTATTTCCTGCCGCCGCCGCTCCTGCTTGTGACGCTTTGCTACCCTCGCCTGTGCACTTTGCTGGGAGAACGAGCACCAGCATCGGAACACCATACGGACCTGCAGCTCGGGCAAGAACTCTGCTAAGACCTTGACTGCTAGTGGGAGTGAGCGCAACACAGAGCGCTCTTCCCAGATGCTGAGATCTGATCTTTGTGCTGCTTCCTTTCTCTTGGGAAAGTGAGTCGCGAGGGCTGAGTTCATTGCTTGATGGAGACTCTGCCAGGTTTGGGGATGATCCTGAAGGAGGGAGTCTACCTCCCTGGCAAATGCCTGTATTTTCGGGGAACGGTGTCTGTAGCAGTCCTCCATTGCCTGCTGGTCATAGGGTTTTGAGGCTTGGGCGGAGTATCTCCTGCTGTGCCTCAGTTTACCAAGAAGGGGGAAATGCCTACTACCATCCCTCCAGGATGCAACTGGGAAGGTCCTTAGTGGCCGGCAAAACCTGGCGGGGCCTTGGGACTGTGCAATCCTGACAAACGAGAAGTCAATCTGTGAAACAGAGTTGCCTTGTTCGTGGGTGGCTGGTCTATGCACTCCCCAAGTGTTGGTTGCGACTAGCTGGTGCTCCGACAGTAGGGTCTGGAGATCCTTAGATCCGCGATGCCCGAGTCTGCAAGCCTGGATCGTGCATGGCCCTACGTGTTTGTTGTCGGTTTTGAGCGAGGAGTTAAAATCTCCTAGCACAAGGAGAGTGTTGCGATTGGGAACAGCTCGGATGGACTTACTTAGGGAGTGAAGGGTCTGCTTCCGGGTTTCCTTATTCTGAGCGACTGTCTCCTTAGAGCGCCAAACGTATTGATAGCAGCTGAAGACGTCCAGTGAGATGCCGTTGCTCGGCACCCGGACCTGGAGAACTCTTCCTGGAACAACCTCGTTGTAGCGAAGATCCTGTGACTTGCACAGCGTGGAGTGCACCATTATGAGGACCCCGGCTCCCTTCTCCCCTGTGGAACCAGAGCTGATCACGTGCCAGCCTGACTTGCTGAATTGCCAAGAGCCCCTCCAGTGTGTTTCCTGAATTGCTACCAGCTTCACATCCTGAAATGCGGCACTTTGCAGTACGGAGAGTAACTCTTCCCAAACTGCTGTTGTGAGAGATCCTGCGTTCCAGGATAGATAGCTGAGATTCTTATCTTCTGTAAATTTCGAAGGCCGAGTCCTTCTGCCGGGATTGGTGGGCTTTACATGTGCCGGAGCAACTCCAAGCTCTGTTGACGACATCGTCCTTCCCTTGTAGACCGCACTACCTTCAAGCAGAGCTTTACGTGCTGCCCTTTGATAAGAGCGTTTACCCTTCCCTTTAGGAACGGGCTGATGCTTGGTCGAACCACTAGGCTGTTTCGCAGCACTCATGTTGAGTACGGCTCCTGTCGGCTTCGCAATACCGACAACCCTCACCTCTGGGAGATGTTAGAGAACTGTAAATCTAATACGGCGCTGACAAATGCCATGGCAAGAAAGGAAAAAAGGCAACTGTACTAGCCTGACCTTTCCTGAGCCGAGAGGCTTGCATCAACAATAGCATCATCATCAACAACAACATCAACAGCACCGCCATCACCAGCATCATCATCATCGTCGAACCACAATCATCATAACGATCACCACCGTCAACATCAACCCGCTTTCGTCATCATCAGCATCATCATCAACCCATACTACAGAGTCAAGCAGAACAAAAATGCCATCTTCGCCAACTCAGGTAGCCCTGGAAGCGTCCCGGCTCTCTTGCTGCTGCAGTCTGTCTTACTTGCGCAATCAGCTAGCAGGCGTTTGATGCTCCTCGAGCGCAGCTGGATGATGTGATTGCTGCATGCATTGTTGCTGGCTCTACCACCAATCCAGTGATTACAGTCCGCAGTTGCAACTCTTACAGCATCCCATGTTGCGATGATGTAAGTAACCTAGATTCCCGGCATGAAGTCCGAATCAAGCCCGGTCTAAAGCTGAGTGGTCGTACGCTGTGATGGCCGCTGGTCGGTTCTCGGGGATCCCCTGACATCGTTCGAACGTCAGCAGCTACGGTGCAGCATGTAGCTCCAGCGGAACCGACAATCACTTATCCTTAGATTCTCTGACGCCGCTTGACGGTAGTAACTGCCTGCAGGTAGTCGATGCCCCAGGGGAGTGGCTCGCCTCGAGAGGGGATGTGTGTCTCTGTGTTCGCGCGCGCATTCCGCGTTCATCCTGCCGAGGGACGAGAAAGGCGGAGGCCGCTGAATCAACGAAGGTACAGGGTTACAAGACCTGACTGGGCTCAAAGAAGGCGCTCAGGCCTTCGATACTTGGAATCCATGGCGACTCAATGTTCTCACGCCAGCAGCCCATGGAAACGTACTCCAATGCCGGCCTCAGCCGACAGAACACTCGAAGGCGATCAGAAAGAGCTTTGAAGTCATCATACTTCTCACAAGACGTCTTCGCTGCCACTCTTTCTGAACGACTGACGAAAGCACTCCAAATCGAATCAGCGAGCTCTCCGTTAGCATCGGCTTACTGCCGCCGTGCTGCATCATCAAGAGGCGGTTGTTGGCAGAGTCACTGAGGTAGACCAGGCCTCGCTAGGTTTCGCGCACGCTGCCGCTCGGGCTCGTTTTTGTCCAGTGCCTGCATCCGTCGCCACCCCGCTTGGCTCATTGAGCTCTGCATTGGGAGCCTCCAGCGGCGCCGCCTCCTGGCCAAAAGGGGCTAAAAAAAAAAAAGTCTCATGCCATGTTCAACAAAGCCACACCAATACGGAGAGGTCAACCCAAGGCAGCAACCACACACTTTTGGAGGAAATGCAGAGATTTGCCGCTAATTATACGCTGTGACATATTTCGCCCCTCGGGGCTCGAGCTCATCAGCCTACCGACCGAAACAACTACCCTCATCTGCAAAAGCCATGCCGGGCGTGAGACACCCGCGTGCACAGCCCAACAAAAATGTCTGCCTGGATCTCAGGTCTTGCCCGAACACCTGGGTGGATTGAACTGGCCTGGAGGTCGTTACCGCGCTGGCCAGAGCCAGCCAGCCTTAAGTGCAGTAGTTCCAATACATGCCCTCTCTCCTAGAGTCCCACAAAGGAAATGCCCAATTGTTACGAACCCTTCAAACTCATCCCGCGCCCTCGATGGACCAGGGGGCGTGTTGATCACGCCGAGATAGCTCTGAAATTCCAGTGACATGGATCGCACCTCGCGGCACGTCCATGGCAACGTTTTACTGCAGCTTGCACAACTTATCAACTGGGCAGCCGGGGATCTCGCCTGCTGGCCCATGCTTTCCGAAATGTAGACGTTGACTGGCAGCGTGCCGTCCTGTGCGGAAACCCAATCACGACCTCCGGGGTGACAGGACTAGGAAGTGCAGGGTCCTCGTTGCTGACGAAAGCGGAAGACACGGCCACCCCGGAAGGGCCCTGCATCCGCGCCAGCCAGGCCACTCCGCCATCGCCTTTGCCCTGGCTTTGCCCAGTGGAGCCACCCGCCGCCGTCAAAATCACATTGGCCTCAAACTCGTTGCTGCCTGGAGGCCACGGCACACCCCAAACATGTGGAGCTCCACGCCGTACCGGAAAGAGGCTGCTACAGCAATAAATTCATGCTGTTTCGCTGACAAATGCGTGTGAACTCTTCCAACTCGAATCGATCGTGTCGTGGCGCAGCGGCGCAGTCTCCCTTTAGCGGCTCGAGGCTAGAAAAGAGGGAGATTCTCCCGCAGTCGAATTCTGGCGGAGTAGATCTGTCAAAACAAAGACTTGCTTTTGGTGAGACTTGAAGGATGTGAGATGTATCCCGCGAGTGTGTGTGATGTGTGTGTGTGTGTCTCAGGATCGACAAGTGCCAAAGTCCCGATGAGACTGGAAGCGGCATAGACTCGGTTTTTGGGGAAGCAAGGGACGGCTTGAGATCCTCAAAGAGCTGCTTCATGTGAGTCCGGACAACTTGATGGAAGTAAGCTCTGCTTCTGCAGGCCTCAACAATGCCTACGGCTGGCTTACGCTAGGAATACAGTGCACCAACGAGGCGAGCTTGCTGCCGTGTTGTTGACTCACAAGTCTCGAAGTGTTGCCACAATCCTGTCGCATCAGACCTCCAAGCCAAGAGCTCCGAGTTATCGAGTTTGAGCACTTTGAGTTTGACAGACGTTCACGGCTCGGCACTTTGACTGTGTGATCCAACGTCCAGATGTCCCTTGAGGCGTGGGTTGAAAGTTCGGCTTGGGAGGGCTCTATGCATGCCTGGCGAGTTCGAAAGTTTCGAGAGACAAGTTCAAGGCATCGAAGGTTGAGAGTTCGAGAGGTTTGAAGTTTGCCGCCCGCTGACCCATGTCGTGTCTCGCGACCCGAAAGCCTGCCCCTACCCCAGCACAATCTGCCCATCTTGACTTGGACTTCGGACCCCAAAGCTTTGGATCTGCTGGTCACTATCACGAGCCTGGAATCCTGACCGGGATTTCCATCGACACCACACGGAGGACGTTGTTGCCACTGTCGCCTGCAAAGCCGACATCAGATGGTGTTTCTAGCCAGCATCTCTATCAAGCACTGCCAATTCCTGCTTTGCTTCGAAGGATGGGGTGGGCTGTGACTTACTTCCGACTTCTTCAAACGTGCAACGTTAGCTTCCTTTCGGAATGCTTTAAAAGACTTTATAGAGGCAGGGTCGATGCGCAAGTGGTTCACAGTGCCGCTGCACTGTGTACCTGTGTTCCTCTACGCATTCGTGCCAAGGCTGACGCGAATGCAATCGTTTCAGCCCAGATGCAAATCCAGAGCATCTGGTTCCTCGGCGCAAGAGGCAAGAAACCCACCGATCTTCCGCTGCTCTGGTATGCACTTGCTCACCATCCTTCTTATGATGTGCTTCGCTATGCTGATGAAGAATGTCCAGCAACAAAGTGCCATGCCAGGAAGACGCGGCAATTGCGAGATTATGAAACCTGAATCTCAATTACATTGCTCCCAGCTGATACGCATCGCACGTGCAAACATATGAATCTTCAAGCGCCACCTTTCGTGACATGGAAAATTGAAATGTGTCGAAGGTGCTTGCAGCCCTAGGTGTGCATGGCCGCGGCTGCAAAGGAACCTCCTACACTGACGGCAGCGGCCTGAAAGTTTTGCATCACATGGATGGTTAGTCACATGGTCCACAGACGGAGTGCAGATCGACACGACTTCGTTCAAACCGAAGAAAGGCTGGGTCCAGGACAAGTCCACAGCCACGCCGGAGGGCCCATTCAGCTGTGCCTGGTGCGGGGTCCGGCAGGGACCTCAAACTCAATACACTAAAAACTAAATTGTACTAAACCTCTGGACTTTGCTTTGGTCACCGTCAATAATAGATCAGCAACAGTCAACAGTCGCCTGCACCTGGGCCTGTAGCTTTCTGGCCAGGGCCGGCAAATCCTGGACTTCGAAACCTCACTCGCCTCTCGTGCTGGCCCGCCATCACCGGAGAAGCCACGAAAGCCGTTCCCCGCAACTGTTTCGATGATACCTGTCTGCCCCAGGTTTTGGATGGCAGAGGCCGCCCGCTGGATGCAGTCATGACCTACGTAAGATGGCCTCCTTGCGATTGATAACTGGCTGACTAGCTTCTGTGCAGTACAAGACTCCTCAAGACTTACACAACTCATGGCTTCAAGCAGTTGAGTGGACGGACAGGTCACGGATCTTGAGCATGAACTGTTTCCATCCTCCAACCCACTGTCCCTCTGAGCCAGCCTCTGTTGAGAGGGTCCTGTGTCAAGTCAATTTTGCGAACCCGATCACTGCCATAGTCCGCGATGTAGATCGACCTCTCAAAAGAAAACATGCTTCCATGCTCCCTGCGACTACGACACTTGCCATCCTGGCCACTGCGCCACCCCGCCCCTGAAATTGGTGCCCTTAACTTGACATAGTGCTGTCTTCACATAATACACCAGCAGGCAATTTCATGTCACAGTGGGCACACCTGCTGCACCGTGCAATACAAAGTGGCGACCCCGTGCACATGTCGGAAAGAACCGTGCTTGACAGCTCGCGGCACACAACAGAATCAGAGCGCATCATCAGCCTGATCAAAGTAAGAGCCTGGACAAGCACATTCAGGCTCTAAAGCAAACGCAGCTTTTCAGGTCTTGTTTCTCATTTCTTAAACCCCGACAACTTAGATTGCTATCGATGTCTTCAGAGTCAGGCATGCTCCGAGTCTTTGCCTCTCCTGATCACACACTTCGAAATGTTCTGCATCAAATCTGCTGAGCGGCGTGTGATCCCGGTCCAAAGCAAGACCGAGCGGAGTGGAGAGCTGTGCATTGAAGGCCGAACCAAAGTCCCCTGCAACCATAAGCTGCACGGGCGATAGTGGGTAGGATAGGGGGATGCCTCTGCTTCGAGCCTTTGGGCTTCGGTGCGGCTGGGTGCTCATGGGTTGCGCTTTTAAGCTTGGCGGGGCTTCGTGTGGTAGCAAACCTAGCTCTGAGATTCAATGGCATCTGTGCCACTTTCTGTTTCACCGATAGCGACGAAAGCCTAGCAACATCCCACGACGAAGGAGCCCCAAAATCTCTGCAGTATAGACCGGGCGAAGCCCTGTTGTTTCCTGTGAAGGTGCTGCCAGTCTGCTAGGGTGTTGCAGCCCCATGCTACCCAAAGCGGCACAACCGGATGATCCAATCAGAAACACGAAGAAGCACATGGCCATCCTGGCGCACCAAAGGAGGCCCCACCCCACCCCCCATAAACGCATTCAAACTCGAACACTTGAAGTTGCGCACGAACCTGCAAGAACCTGCAACCGCGACAGCTTCAAGCACCCTTCAGCCCGACAGGCCCCCGCAATGTATTGGCCTCTCACTCCTGGGAAGAACTGTCCTGCAAGAGTGTAGACCCGACCTCAGATTCGCTCCTCTAAAGTTCAACTCCTCTGCCACCATTTCGCAGAAGTCTTCTTCTACTCTTCCTTTTCATGCTATTTTGGGCTGTCTCTAGGTGGAATGCAGCCGGGAGACCCTCCTCTATGTCCAACCAGCGCAGCATGTGCGTAGCCCGCTCGGTGAAGAAGACGCGCTGGTTGGAGACGGCTATGCCTTACAGCATCTGCTGCTGGCCGGACCCTTCATAAACCAGCTGCCAGTAGCACAGGGACCACCAGCAGATCTGCGGACAAGGCTTTCCTGATGGCTTCAGCCCGTGTGCTAAAATGGCCAAAGAATCTGCGGGAAACCTGTCCCGGACCGAGCCGCCGAAAGGATCGCCGAGTGGGCTCTGGAAACCAGGCGCTCCGTCCTTGGCCACCCGCCGCACTCTGGACCCTCCTTCCTGTTGCGTTTCTTCCTCAAGCACCGTTTCGGAGGTCGGACTGCTGCATCGACATTAGGAGCTTCCAGCCTGGGGTTGCCTGGGCAAGTGTGGTTCTGACCAAAGTTTAGGTGTTGATCGGCGATGCCGCATAAGGAACCAGCCGTGATCCTAATGTGGCACCTGTGATTGCGTTTTACTATGGCAACTGACGAAGGAGTCATCGAAAGTGAGCGAGATTTGGCACTGAACTGACATAACTCGCTTGCACCTTACCGCCTGACCCCAGGAAGACAAGCAGGATGCAAATGCAACGGACAACGAGGACTGCTACTGCTAATGTCCTGCACTGAGGATACAACGTAGTACTATCGATGCCTGCTATTGCCCCAAATTCTCCAGGTCAGGTGCTGCCGTGTTTCAACCATGTCGGTCGTTCTGTTCGGCGCCCTCCCATCGCCCACGACCGTCAACATGATTCCATTGATGATCAGGGTAGCCACATGCATTGCGAAGTGCTCGTCAGCTGAGCAGTCTCCATCACCACCACACCAACAAACTTTGTAGATGCCCATTCCTGATCACAGTGTTGCAGTTTTGTCTGTCGCAGTGGATTTGCACGCTGCAAGTGAGAACTCTTCTGCAGAACTGCTGTTTAGCACAGCGTCGATTAATTTGGATGTTCTCCCAGGTTTCCGACCGAAAGTCTCCATGAGCACCTTGGAGCAAAGATACAGGCTGCTGCACCGCGCCATGAAAGGGACGCCGCCCAAGAGCAAGTCTGACTCTGAGCCGGTGTGCGCTGCCCCATCGGCGCAGTCAATGCCAGAACGGCATCATGCATGGTGGCACTGCCTACAGAGTGAGCATTCATGAGGCCCTCTCCACAACATGTTCACATTCCGTGTCCAGCCCTGATGAGATCCCAAGTTCCGCAGATATTGTGAAATCGCATCGCCCTGCCTTCAAGTCCACAAAGCACGGTGTCCGCCACGATGCGAATTCGGTCATGCGAAGCAAGCGCGACGCCTCAGGGTCTGCTGCTTGACGTGCAGCTCGAAGCTTACGACCTGCTTTCTCATCTGTGAATTCGCTACGCGTGCACGGGGCAATTGCCGATGAAGTCAGGGCGACTTCTACTTCGGATGCCTTGCAGCTGCAGAGGCCACATACCGCCCGCGGTCTGTAGAATATGTCGATTTCCGGAGGGCCCCTGTGCACAAAGAGTCCGAATCTTGCTCGAAAAACACACAGAGAAGCAGCAAATTCGGCTTGATACGTCTTCTTTCGCACCCCGCCTTCGGGGTGACCTCAACTTCGCAGACCGAGAGAGGCGCAACCATCGTCCCAGACACACGTAGGACAAGCCAGAGATGGCGGCCTGCGACACTACAAGGACCACTGGCTGCAGGGCTCATGGCAGAGATCAAGGCAACCGGCGCAAAACTGCAGGTACCATGCTGCCGTGATCTTCCGTTTTCAACACAGCCAGATAGATGCAGCACATCATCCCGTACGCCCAACCCGCCTGAAGCCAAACAATTGAATGAGTTGGGCTGCTGGAGTCTATCCAGCGTCACAGCTTCCGCACAAACTAGGTTTTCACGCCACGTGAGAATCTCGTTGCCCAGGCGGATGTCCAAAGGACCTCGAGGCTGGGAGCATTGATGCTTCATGCATGTGACTTCAACACGAGCACACGGAATGTCAGTCATGCTTTGCAGGAGACACTCCGCTGAAAATCAAAGCAATCATCCGAGCACACGGCCTAAGCCTGTATCAACACTGTCACTGCGCGTGATGATGCGCACGACGGCCACGGGGACCTACAGTAGAGCGACACAGCAAAGCGCCGCACTGCCGAATTTGGCACACGTGCGTCTTGAAGGTCATGCTGGCACCCGTTCTTGCTTCACAGCGGGCGAACTGAAGTTTATCCAGGCTTGACCGAGCCCTAGCTAGACGATCCCGGCCATTCGCAATACGCTTGCCGTGCGAAGTTCTTACTCACGTGTCTTGATTGGATATCCTACCAGAAGACGACCTCGAAGGGAGGCTCGGGCACTCGAGACTTTGAGAATCAACTGGCATCCGCGGACCCCGCTTTTCGGCCGTGCCGCCGTTACATGCGAGGTTGGCCCTCGCCGGAGACCCACCCCCTCCAACGCACGGTTGGGGTCGAGATTTGTATGCAGGGTCGAGACGTGTACTGCCCCCACCGCTCATGTGACTCACGAAAGGGTTTTGTCTAGATTTGCATCTTGTTCTGACACGCCTACCACCCTCTGCGGCCCACAATGGCCAACCGCAAATAAGTCGTAGTTTTGTCTGGGCAAACGATCCTGCGACGAAGTGTTCGGTGCCTGCATGATTCCGACGTGATGTGCCACATGCTGGCGCCTGTTTGGCACAAATTGCGCCCCCGATGATCGGCTTGGTAGGCGAGCTTTGTGCTGGCTGAAGCAAGAAAAAGAGAAAAAGAGAGAAAGAGAGAGAGAGAGAGAGAGAGAGAGATAGATGGCATACACTCGCACAGATGTCACCACTGTCGAGTTTCCTACATATGAGGAATGCCAGCCAGCGCAAATGACACAAATGCATCTGGAGATGTACCGCCCATGATCCGTCTCGTGAGTAGACGTCGACACTCGTCACTCCTCCTTGGGTTAGGTTTTTCCATCACTTCCTGGGTCCGCAGGTCTAATGGCTTAGACCCCCCCAGTCTGTTCAGGATGTAGAGGGTTTGCACAAACTGAATCTCGCATCACCCCTGCTCCCCATGCAGTCCCGTATCGTGGCTAGACACAGGAGGCGTAACCACCAATCTGTACACAGAACTATTGAGCAAGGCAAAAAGGATGAGAAGCAGTCAACAACTGACGAGAGCTTTCGAGAAGCCACATCCGCAAAACTAGCACTTATCAGACTCCAAAACTTCACGAAGTCTCATACAAAGTTGGGCAGAAGAAGAAAAGTCATCCTCCGCCCTCCGCCCCGTCCCGGCGCCTCGCGACCGAGGTCCACGCGCAGCCAAGGATTCGGCTCCACCTGGCAGCAGAGCAAACACTGTTCAGACGGACGCGCATCAATGCCCGTGCCATGCCCCAGAAACCCTACTGGGCCTAGTGTGCCGGGTTTGACGCAGCAAGCCGGGGGCCCAAGCCCTGTACTAGGCTTCCTCAAAGGCCAAACCCTCAACCCTAGACCTCGGTGCAAGCAGGGCTATCCTAAGGATAGACGACTCAATGACCAACCTGATATAGGGGCCACGAACCCGAATGCAGACACGCGTAACGCAGATATCGCATCCCCTAAGGAAAATAGCCCGCGCGCGACACGCGCGTTCTGTGGAGTTCCCCATTAGGGGATACCCCTTAGCTTGACGGATCCATTAACAGCGCGAGCGTCCTGTAGAGTTCCCCCTTAGCTTGACGGATTCAATACGCCGTCGGGACGCTGCCGGAACACGGCTCCTGTGAAGTGACACGCGCGTGGAACACGCCTCCTGTGGAGTTCCCCCTTAGCTTGACGGATTCTGAGCGACACCTCTGGGGTTACCCCTTAGCTTCACGGATTCAGAACACGCGCGACACCTCTGGGGTTACCCCTGAGCTTGACGGATTCAAAACGCCGTCGGGACGGATTCAAAACGCGCGCGACACCCGCGTTCTGCGGAGTTCCCCATTCTTAGCCTGACGGATTCAGCTGCCGGAACACGCCTCCTGTGGAGATCCCCATTCTTAGCTTGACGGATTCAGCTGCCGGAACACGCCTCCTCTGGAGTTCCCCCTTAGCTTGACGGATTCAGAACGCCGTCGGGACGCGCCACCGCCGGGCTTGACAGATTCAGAACGCCGTCGGGATGCTGCCGGGACGCTGCCGGAACACGCGTCCTGTGGAGTTCCCCCTTAGCTTGACGGATTCAGAACACCGTCGGGACGCGCGTTCTGTGGAGTTCCCCATTATAACAGCTGCCGGAACACGCCTCCTGTGGAGTTCCTCCTTAGCTTGACGGATTCAGAACGCCGTCGGGACGCACCGCCGTCGGGCTTGACGGATTCAGAACGCCGTCGGGACGCTGCCGGTACGCCTTTGGAGTTCCCCCTTAGCTTGACGGATTCAGAACGCCGTCGGGACGCGCGTTCTGTGGAGTTCCCCCTTAACAGCGCTGCGCGACACGCCTCGCGTCACACGCGGACGCTTTGCGGACGCTTGCGAACGCTTGCGAACGCTTTGCGGACGCTTTAACCGCTTTAACAACGATCGCTGGTCACCTGCTGGACCCCTGCATGGACCCCAACCTTTAAAACGGGAACCCTTCTGCACAGCATTCGGGAAACATCATGACAAACATGAACCTTGTATCATCAGCCATGCCGGCGATGCAGTACACTCACGGGATCCGTGTAATGTTTAATTTTCGTGCATCTCGTGCAATCGTTGTGATACGATTCTCGTGCTGCCCTGATTCTTTCTCCGGGTATTTTCTAGGGGATGCGATATCTGCCGTCGGGACGCGCGTTCGGTGGAGCTCCCCATTCAGAACGCCCTGGAGACGGTGCCGGAACACGCCTCCCGTGGAGTTCCCGCTTAGCTTGACGGATTCAGAACTCGCGCGACACGCGCCTTCTGTGGAGTTACCCATTAACAGCCTCTGGAATTCCCCTTTAGCTTCACGGATTCGGGACGCGCGTTCTGTGGAGTTCCCCATTAACAGCGCGAGCGTCCTGTGGAGTTCCCCCTTAGCTTGACGGATGCAGAACGCCGTCGGGACGCGCGACATGCTGCCACACCACGCCTCCTGTGGAGTTCCCTCTTAGCTTGACTGTGCGACAGGCCTCTCGTCACACGCGGACGCACGCCTCCTGTGGAGTTCCCCATGTCGGGACGCGGGTTCTGTGGAGTTTCACACGCCTCCTGTGGAGTTCCCCCTTAGCTTGACGGATTCAGAACGCAGTCGGGACGCGCGTTCTGTGGAGTTTCCCCTCTTGGCGGATTCAGAACGCAGTCGGGACGCACGTTCTGTGGAGTTCCCCGTTAACAGCGCTGCGCGACACACCTCGCGTCACACGCGGGCGCTTGCGAACGCTTGCGGACGCTTCGCGAACGCTTGCGGACGCTTCGCGAACGCTTTAACCACGATCGCTGGTCACCTGCTGGACCCCTGGACCCCAACCTTTTAAACGGGAACCCTTCTGCAGAACATTCGGGAAAAACCACAGCTGCAGCACGAATGCATGGGCTTACGAAGTAAACTTGCCCTCGACTTAGGTACTGACGGAAGGGAACCCTGCACCTCGAAGCAGGGCTCGTTTGGGGCTGTCAACAGAACTTGCAGAACAGAAGCAGACAGCGCAATGGCAATTCAAGCAGAAAGCTCGCTGACAGCTTAAGGAAGAAAACTGGAAGGACCTTGGAGAGCGCAAAGCAAGCAATGGAAGCAACAAGGCAAACTGCAAGATCAGGCAAAGGGAAGAGCTTTGTAGGCGACGGGCAAAATGTCCAACGGAAACTCACAACAACCACAAAACGAAGTTAAAACAACAGCAACAGAGGTAGCGGAAAGCCGAAAACACCATCGGAAACTGTACGGACGCATCGATGAGGTGGTCAGAAACATGTCGAAACACAAAACCTTTCCAAGTCTATGCAGACATGACCCGTTTGAACCCAGGTGTTATCCACCCGTGTTCAATCCTTGACTGAGTCTCTTCACCTGACAGGACTGAGTGAAGGTTGCACAGGCTTGTGCCTGAGTTTCTGCGCAGCCCAGGCCGAAGAAAAAAGCAGTGCCGAAGTCCCCATCCGTGGCACGGAAGCCGTCACCAGTCCAGGTCTCTGTCCCATCGTCGGACACGAACCTGATGTTGAAGAGAGTCTCTGCAAGACTGCAGTAGGGTCATTGGATGCAAATCATACACGATGATGCAAACAACGGCATGCAATGAGCTCCGTCCCGATTCCTCGATTGCAGCAGAAGCCACTGGGCCGTCGATGATAAGTCAACTTTCTGCCCGAGAGCCAGATTCGGCGCCAGTCGTGTGGCTAGCTGCCTAAGGGCACAAGGCACGTCCGTTCACCAATCAGATCTGACTTGACATCAAGGAAGTGCTGGGCTCCCTCCGATAAGGATTGCCATTTTTTCAGCTGGAACGGAACAATCTCAACTCGCCTCTGTTCTTCGGCAGCACATAAAGCCAAAAACGTCCAACAGCTCCAAAGCCTGCCAATCGAGAAAGAAGGGGCTACATGCATGCTCCGAATGGTACCACCAAATCTCACACGAAATCTTCCGGCCTTCGCATGCTGCGGCTTAGCCGGCACGGCATGCACCAGGCATCGCCACAAGGCTTGACTTTTGCGTTGTGATTTCTTTGTGTGACGTTTTACATAATTCTGCCATTCGGCCGCTTCGCCCTCACAACTAGGTGGGCTCCGAAGCGTTGGTTCGCTAGACTGAAAATGCCTTGCAAGGTTGAAGCCCTAAACTCTAAACCCTGCTCTTCTTCGATGGTGCTTCTCTTGCTAAACCACTACCCGACTACCCCTCGGTGAACTGGGCCAGAAGAATCCAGTATTGGCCTGAGTGCAGCTGCTCTGTCCTCCTAGCCTCGCCTATGCCATGGGCAGAATGTCAAGTCAGCTGCGAACTCATCCAGTAGCTACTGTGGTGCCGCCATTCCCCCAATTTTCATTCGGCATCCACGCGCGATCTGACGCGCGCGCAGGCCTGGAGTCCACCACAGTCACAGCACGGGTACTTTAAGCTGTCAAGCCCTCTGTGTCAACTCTTGTATCCTTTTGTGACGAGTCTGCGCTGCCTGATGCTCGAAGCGAGTTGCACCTCACATCTTGGCAGCAGACACAGGAAACTCGCCAAAACCATCAGAATCAAGCAAACGCTTGCTTCACCCATTCAACCAAATTTTCTGCCTTAAAGAACCTCGCCAGCCAGCAAAAAGAAATTGCCCAGCAGCTCCAGATTTCGATCGCGTCATGGAGCCCGAGTCATTGAAAGTGCTACTGGTACAATTTTGAGCTACGCAAGGCATGCCCAAAGTCCCAGCAGGGCCAATCCGGCCTCCCGGGCTCGTGCATGTGGTCCCTCAATGAAGTTGCTGTGTTCGTTTGCCTGGAGAACGACTTTGAGCGCGGTGCCTTCCAAAAACTACAGGTTCTGGAGCGTTGTCGCCCTTCCGCCGCCCGAAGTCGGTGATGAGGGTTGCTCACATTTCTTCACGGCGGCTGCTCACATTTCTAAAGCTCACCCCCAGGCGATGGCGGTGAATCTCCATCAACTTTAAACTGCCCTCTCATCAGGCGATGTCAGCCTGAGGACTGTGCCGGAGCTTCTTTGCAAGCAAAGGGGGGTACAATCCCGCGCCACTTCCTGCATCGCATTATAATTGGCATCTGTCATTGTGCGATGGGGGCTGATTTGAGCCCCCACCCCCTTCATTAGGTGGCCGTTCATCGCGTGTTTTCAACTCGCCGCCTCATTCGGCGATGGCGGTCCATCCCATTCCTCAAAACCGCCCGCGCAGTAGGCGACTGTGTGGTGGCGGTACCACCTAACCCGAGAGCGCCAAGACAAGCTTGAGCTTCAACCATTCCCATGTTGGCCGACTGCCGTCTCGGACATTGCAGGCAGCAGCTTCGCTCTGCAGCACACTCTTGCGAGCCGGATTGTAAACGGGGCTCAGTTGTGACTATCGTGAAGTGAAGAAGCCTGTGACATCTGCTCTCGCAAAACAAGTGGCAGTGCAAGTATCAATCCAGATTTGTTTAACTCCGCTCCGTTCCTGTTTAAGCCAAGCAGAACAAGCTTTTTTGCTGTGATTATCTCCGCTGTCCAGGACCGTTGAGGGAGCCATCAAGTGCTCATGGCCAAGTGCCACGATCCGGAGACATTTCCGACAGCTGCACTTGGGCGCCGGTTCCCGACTAGAAAAGAAGTGCACTCTGCCTGGAAGGAATTTCCAACCAGGCGTTCAAAGGAATGCCCGGTGGTGCAAGAGTCCCGCTGGGATCCGAAAACTCAAAGGATGTTTTCTGGAAGCTGCCTCGGGTGACGAGATATAGCGAAGTGCAGTCACCAGCAAATGCACTGCAATTGGCACAATTCAAAGAACACAGCACTACGGACGCATGTCTTGTCTTGCAACCCACTTTCGGCCAGTCACTCTGCAAGCCCCCACAAGCACCAAGCCACTTCTGGGCAAGACATCTGCTCGAGACGGGATGCTGGACTGAAGGTGCCAGAGCTTTAGCTCCAAAGGCACAGGCGGCGGAGAGGGTTTGCCTCCAGCTGCACAACAGCTTGCGGTGGTTGGAGGCAGTGGTGCGCCAGCGCAACTAGTCACTATATGGGGCTGGGACTGCTACACCAACAACAAAAGACTTGAAACTAGACAGGCAGACCCACTGAGGCATAAGTATTAAAATGATGCAAAATGTCTAAAGCTTCGAAAACCAATCAGACAACCGCGCCGGTAATCCCCGTGACCGCAGCACTACTGTCCAATCAGGCAGCTTCCACCATTGCCCTGTTCCGGAACAGGCCCCACCCAGTTGCGGGATGCACGATGTCCCTTTGAACAGTAAATTGAATACTCATCAACTTTGGTGCACCCATGCTCTTCCCCTCAGCGTGAACAATGTTGCCGACCAGAGCTCCAAACACAGGGCTCAAGGCCATTGAAACATCAAAAAATTCACAGGAAAAAATACCGGCGCAAAAACGGCAGGGGCTCTAGAAACACGTGACATGGCAAACAAAATGCTTATAAACTCATGCCGCATGCCTCAAACAAGTTTACACGGACGAGAGGCACTGGTGCTCTGTCTGCACATTGTGGCTTGGGTCTCACGGCACTCTTAGCAAGCAAGGGTGGCAATCAGACCATGTATATACATGTCACTACGCGAGCGCATCGTCCTCTGTACCAGGCAGGCTCAGGCATGAAGTGCAGGGCAAGCGACGTTGAAGAGCAGGATCCCGGATGAGCAAAGCAAATCACGAGAAATTACCAACAGATCGATAAGTGACCGAGGCATGAGGATGGTTGTCGTCAAATCCGCGGAAGCATCCGTGCATCCGTGCATCCAAAATCCATACACTTAGTCCCCGGTGGAATGCAGAATCACAGGAAAGGGATATTGTAAGGACTGACAGGCACCAGTTATTATGAAGTGGCCGAGGGTAACCTCTTCACTTGGTTCATGTCTCCTGTCATGATGCTCTCGAGAGGCCGGAGAGTGCGAAAGGTCAAGGCCAGTTCCTCTTATCATTTTGTTGATTGACGGCGGGTCATTCGAAACGACGACTAACGAGGATCGGTCGCCTGGCGCCATTTTGCTCAGCTTCAGTAAGCGACGGCATGACTGTTGGCTGCAACACGCAAGGACACCTACCTCAGAGCGAGGTGGCAGACCATAGCAACCCCGTGTAGGTCAGAGTTGGGCTCGCGGGCAATGAGTGCAACTTTGCAGGCGGGACGCACTCCTGACAACCCGTGCATTCCGTCACCTGAAGGAGAGGACATTCAACAAGGGCAGTCACCATCAACCTTCTTCCAATGCTGACGTGACTTTTGAATGACCTGTGAACAGCTGTGCCTGGGTCAAAACGTGGGGGACTGGGTCCGATATTTCAACAAGGCACAAAGGGCGAGCTGAATATCGCACTAGTCACATGAGAGCTGTACAGCGGCTCAACTTAAATGCAGGAGCCTGGCACGTTGAAGTCCACTTCGGCAGTGCAACGGTCGTCCACATCGGCAATAACAACCTTCCGCTTGCACACTACACCACGCATCAGGAGGCATGCACAGGCATCCAGCAAGCCTTTACGACCACCTCTCGCTTGGACCGACTGCACTCTTTCAAGGCTCCGGCCCATGTCTGATTGTTTCCGCTAGGTCGGATGGTCATCTTGCCTTCCTTGATGTCCACGGCCTGGACTGGGCTGGCATCTCTTGCTGCTTGGACAAAGTGAGAACTGCCTTCTTGTCACCGTCGTGCATGTCTGCATAGACTGCCTTCAAGCTTTCCTGAATGAACGACAACATCTACGGAAGCAGCAGGCGAAGTCAAGCCTAAGCCCATTCCATCATTGCTGATGAGGCTTCCAGTTTTGTGTTACATAGCTAAAAGGGCTGGCAGCGCAACGATACATCGCTCTCCTCGCAAAATGAGCAGACCTTTACCCCTCGAGTGGCTGTGGCAAAATGTGCCAATACAGGATAGTCCAACTAGAAACGGATATGACTCTTTGCACGAAGATGCCCTGAGGTGAACTCAACTGCTGTCAAACTCCAGGAATTGTCAGGAAGTCTCCGACCCGAATCCCTAAGTTGGTCCATGGCTCTGGGCAGGAGATTGCCTTGACCTTAGTACTCTGCAGTGGCAGGACAACGCAAAACTACAAGGGAGTCCTGAACGACCAGCACTTGAGGCGAAGCAAAGGCTCCGTTCGTAATGGTTGGACTTCGTGCCGCAGTCTTGAAACTCAGGCAACCTTTCGGTCGGCCCTCCATCTCGTCATGCCGTGCAGCAGAAGCGAAGGAGGAAATGGTACAGTGCCGGTGGTAGAGGCAGTGGTTGGAGCAGGAGAAGAGGTGGTAGTAGTAGTAGTCGTCGTCGTCGTCTTCGTCGTCGTCGTAGTGGTCGTAGTGGTCGCAGTGGTCGTGGTGGTGGTAGTGGTAGTGGTAATAGTAGTGGTAGTAGTCGTCGTCGTCGCAGAAGTAGTAGCAGTAGTAGCTAGTATCCGCCGACGCTAGAGGCCCAGGCGTCTTGATGGTTTCCTCAGGTTCCCTCCACCTAATCCTCCTCCCTGCAGTCGGGACACCCGTTTTTTGCGTTCGTTTGCCACCCCCTTGTCCGGCTTCCGTTCATTTTACCTGATTTGTCGGCCTCCCCCCTCCCAGGGCCCCTCCCCCCCTTCCCCACCCCACATCCCCCTCTCCCCCTCTCCCCCCTCCCTCCACCCCCCCTTGCCCCCCGTTTTCCTCGCACTTGGGTAGCAACAACCGTGTAAAGGTTGGGGTTGAGAGGCCCCCCTAGCATGTATACAACATCGACTGCCCCCTCGCCCTGCCGCTAAACAGCCGAGGCGGGCGGCGTAGCGTTAAAATTAGTATTTGTTGTCTTCGTAGTAACGGTACAAGCAGTTGTAGTATACAGTAGTAGCAGCATGCAAAGGTCTTGAAGCTTGGGTATCACAATTTTGGCATTCCACAGGCAAACGAGCATAAAGACACGGACTGGGACTCCCTGTAGACTGCGGAGATGCTCCGAGATGTTTCGAGATCTTTCCCTCATTTCCACCCTTACAGCTTGGGCAGCCGTGGACGGAACATGCTGGCTGTCGGTGCTCCCCAGTTCTGACGACGCCCGTACCATCCAGCACCGCTCAAAGACCATCCAAGACCTCTGAGACCGGGGCGACCTGTGGCGTACCCAAGGAAAGCCAAGAGTTCAGCGGCATGTGCGGCGAAGCCAACCTGCTCGTTGTTCGCCGGGGGCGGGGAAAGCAACTGCGCTCGACCCGGCAGGTCTGGGGCCCTTGCTTGCCACTGGGATCTGTAAACTCGAAGGTTGCTTTCGCTTGTCCGGCAGAGGCTTCGTCACTCGTGGCTAGCCTGAAACAGCGTGCCAGCCGCTAGCAGCTAGCAGTCTGGCTCTGCTCGTGACGATGCTCGCGAGAAAAATGACTGTCTGAGTCGAAAGCCAAAGCGTCATCAACAAATTCACGGGAGGTGGATTTGGCTTTCCTTAGGTTGCGTGACACAGTCGATATTTGTGGGAGTTTTCACATCCAAGCATAGTAAGCATATTTGCATGTTGACATGTTGCTCCCAAGCCCGCAGTGCAGGCGCTAGGTTTCCTGCGGTTCTACACTGCCTGCCTGTACCTTCGGTCGTTCAGAGGCCGAGGGTCCGGGGACGTTGAAGTCGATCGTCGCCTGGCAAGACTCGGTGTCCAGCTCAGCTTTCCTCGGGGCGTCGCTGTGACTGGCTTGTGACGCCACCAGGGTGAGGCACTGAAAGCTCGAATCTGACGAGAGTCACGACCCATGACTGTGAGTTTCCACTGGGCTTGATGGTCAGGGAAGTCCCAGCGATCGTCACCTAACAGCTAGCAGCAGCCAGCTGGCAGCTAGCAGCTCGGGCCGAAAGACCGGCCTGCTTCTTGTCACCATCGTGCATGTCTGCGAAGACCGCATGAAGTTCCTAACGCCGTCACAGTCCCACAATGTCCCCCAGAACCACGGCTTTCCCCTCATTTATTGCACCGTCCTGGGGGCAGTTTCGGCCAAGTACCGACACCGCCAATAACCCCAGCAGCCTGAGCAAAGGCTTTGCGTCGTCACCGCAGGAACAGCTCCATGGAAAGCTGTGAACCAACAACAGTATACAACTAGAAGCTCTCAGGATAAGCCACGTCTGCTTGCAGCACGAGAGGCATTGTGATCTGCATTCTCGGTATCGAAAAGGGCTCAGGCGCCAAGCCTTCGAGCCAATCGCCTTTTGGAAAGTGCACCACTGCAGGGAGGGCGGAGGGAGGGTTCGGCTTGCTGAAGTTGAGGCCTGCATCGGTCTTTTTGCCCATGCAGGTGACAACGGTGATGAAATAGCCGGCGGTCATTTCTAGGAGGGGGCTTTGCGAGGTCAAGAAATGACCGCCTCGAGGACTGCCATGTATGGCACCCGTCCATCTGACACTAACATGCACAGGCAAGGTCTTCTTGCCGATCACGCAAACTTGCAGCGAAATTCGACGAAGCCATGCAGCTGCTAGCAGTTGGCAACCTGACAGCCACAACACCTGCACCATCCTGCACCCTTCGACCCTGGTGTGGACACAAAGAGACCCAAGCCTCACCCGGCGCCCGGAACCCCTCGGCCAATCGGACCAGCTCTTCACACCTCAGCAGACACAGTTTGGCCGCAGGCTCGGATGTCCTTCACCACAAGTCCCCCACAGGCGCGGGTGCGCGCTTTTCGCAGAAGCGGTTTGAGCCTCCTTAAGGAACGTTGCCGTATCCTGCGGGACAAGACACATCTGGATGCACTGCGATAATGGATTTTCAAGATGAAGCAATGCCTGGGGAGCAGCTGCTTGAAGCACCGCATAGATGCCCTGCTGAATCTGCGGCAGCGGGATGAATCAACCGTCTCAGCCAAGCCGAGGCTCATCGCCAAGTGTCTGAAAATGGCCTCTGGGTTAGGATCATCCAAGTGGACGAAGAGATTGCGGAGGATGTACCTGCAAAGGGTCTGCACTGCAAGCGTGAGGACGAAGCCGCGTTGTAAGTACAGTAGGGCACTCGTACAAAGTGCGGCTCCAATTTTGTGGAAGGCATTTGAAGAATACGTCCAGCGCCTGCAGCAGCTGCGGCAGCAGCTCAGAGCCCCATGCAGCCACAACTGCCGAAACCAAGTAGATGCCTCGCACACTGCAACCCGGATCTTGTCGTTCGAGTCATCCAGCCGCTTCAGAAGTTCTGGGTAGACCTTTTCGAAAAAGAAAGCTCTCACTCTGGAACACAGTCAGCAGCACAACCAAAGGACCTCCAAACCCAAACACATAGCCCAGCAGGATTGCTGGCATCTAGGTCAACTTACCTAGCACGACTAGCGTCCAGCCATACTCACTCATTTCCTTGATTCCGACATCCCTCCTCACCCGTGCCCGCGCCTCTCGGAGTTGCTCTCCGTTGATCTCGGCCTGAAACTCGGAGCTTGACCGTGCGGGGCGCTCGTGTGCGCTCGGGCAGCACTGGTAAAGTCGCGGTTTTGAGGACATGTGGAGACACGTCTAGACATTCTTGGTAACTAGGGCCAGGCAGGACCGGGATTCAGATTTCGGCCTGCAAGTCTGCAAGGGTGCACGAGAGCACCAAGCAGGCGATCATGCGGTTGTCTGGCGACCTGGCTGCAAATGGTGGCAACACTTGCAGCCTTACCAATTTCCCTCTGAGTCAAGCGCCAGCTGTCGTCAAGGCAGCCCTTGAGGATTGGCATCAAGTCAACGAAGACCTGGCGCAAAGGGGCCATGGCCAGCAGAAACAGCCTGCAGCATTGCAGCATGCGCCTCGTTGAGAACTGCAGAAGGCACAAGATGGCGTCGGAGAAGTGAATGGACACAAACCTAAAAGCTGACCGGTATCTGCTGTCAACGGCAAGCTCTGCCTGAGCGCCTCACCATGGCACCTCTTCGAATTTTACCGTTGGACTGTCCAGGCCTTATTGACATAAGGTCTCAAATCAGCATCAAAACCAGAGCCGACGTTCCTCACACGCGCCCCCAAATTATCCACAGCCTCCAAGAGCAGTTTGGCAGCAAGACGCCTGAGGCTGCAAATCCACCAAATGGCTGGACGTTCGACTTCCATGCAGAGCTGCCGGCCGTCGAGCAACGGTAGAGCATGTGCTTTGAGGGCGCTAGCCAGAGCTTCGTCCTGCGGAGATGCATTCGAAATTTCAGCCGGTCGGGAACTCGCGCTGTGCCGATGCATTGACATGAGGGCAACGATCTGGCATACTACGAAAGCTCATCGCACTTGATGGTGCGTTGTGCAGATGCTTGCATGCAGAACTTTCTTGTCCAGACGGCTAGACACTTCAGTTGCTCGCACTGTCATTGTACATGACATTAACTGACGGCATATGCACTCCTATTCTTAGATCATGAATTGCATTCTTGCTAACGCACCAAACTGCACGACGTGAACCATGAATCGAAGTCACAAGTTCAAGATTATGGAACATGAAACTCTAAAAAAAAAACACTGAAGGCACATTGGTGTTCAAGTACCTCATGTGGCCTCTTCGTTCACCAGGAAGTGGACCAAGCCCAAAAGGTCGACGCGAGCCGTAGCGCTGGCATCCTTGAAATTTGTTCACATACGTTCCCATCGCAGCCATGGCACGTCGACATACGTCGACGCCATCAGCAGACAAGGACACAGTTGGCTGACCAGCACCATGCCGCAGTGCCTCCGGGCTCGCCTGACGTGCCAGCACTGGCACCAGGCCCCCAACCTTAGCTCGCACTCCATTGCAGGCTTGGGCGGCTTGGGCTCAGGGGCTAGGCTCTGAAATCCAAAATCGCTTGGGCATGTAAGTGGTGTGGCCCAGCACTCTGACCATTCAGCTTGCTTCAACCCATGTTCTGCACGTGTACGCACAGCATCTTCGGCATCTGCTGTCAAGTCAGAAGCTCAGCGTCTTGCATGATCCGCAACTGCTGGACCAGCATTTCTGAGCCTGGGTTTTGAATTGAAGGTGCCCATCAAATGCATCGATCAAGACTTTCTGTCACGAGAGAAGCACAAGGTTGTAGGGGATGATGAAGCTGATTTACGGTTCTTGCCAGCATGTTTCTGAGTGCAGCAGAGTCGCAAGGTCTCCAAGACGTGACGGTTTGGGCTTGCGTCCTACAGCGCAGAGAGCTTTTACTTCTGCTCCTTATGGGAGCACGATATGCTGTTATCATCGATGCTGCACAATCCTGACCCTCGACATATCTTGACACATGCTGCCGATGTTGCAATCTGCATTAGTACTTGCGCACCAGCTCTTTCTTGTCTTACAGTTCTTCTTGGACGATTCTGTTCGCCACGTCGGCTCGTATACTTCCGTTTTCAACATAGCAAGACACAGCGATGCTGCGCTTGTCAAGAGCACGCACTGCACATCCTTTCCGAACCCTGAACCGACTGCTGTCCTCCCACAACACGGCCTCTCCTCCCTGCAGAAGGTCGGCGAGACGAGTCCTGCGAAAGAACACGCACAAAACCGCGGCACAAAACAATTTTTGAGCTCCACTGCCTGCCGTCGTCAGCACGCAGCCCCGATGTACCACTCGTACCCCAGTGTACCCACCCCTTTTGTTCTTCCCGACAACCCTGACTACAGGGGAGACTTGCTGTGCAGGCGGGGGCCTCAGATGCTCCTCGTAAAGCTGCCGGCGCGACCTGCAGGGAGAAAATGCGCCAGGCCGGTTCCGATTTTCATTCGGGCGCCCTGGGCCCTTCCTCAGGCCTTAGCCTTAGACCGGCCCTTGCACATGCCGAGCCTACCCAGGAGCTGCGACAAGTGCTCAATGTTTGCATCCACGATCTGCGCATTGCACTCCTCGAAAACTCAAGTTCCGGCGCCGATAGGACCGACAGATGCAATTCGTCCTCACTGCTCTTCATCCGCAGGAGCAGGTCGAAAATCCGTGGCCAGTCTTCTATGCACGCCTCCCTGCCTGCGCTGCTGAAATTAAGACACCGGATGACTCTCGGAAAATCAAGTCAGCGCTGTTGACAACTTTATCGACCTGCCTGCTTTCAGCAAGGATTCCGTGGCACCAAGTACAGATGTCAGCAACTCGCTGTGAATGCCCTCCTCACGACGCCAGGTACGTGGCAGAAGCTGAGCATCTCGGGCATGAAACCATGAGAATGTTGTGAGAATGGGTGCTTCGCCGAATTCGCAGGAACCGCGCCTCTCGAGTCACTACCCACCCCATGCAAGGCATTCAGGCACGCACAGCCCAAAAATCCTCCAAGAAGCGCAGGGCCAGCTTGACTTCCTTGGGCTTCAGGCGACGGCAGAAATCGTCAGTGCCAGTGCACCTCAGCTTTCTCAGCTTTGATCTTCTTGCCAGCGCTCGCCCGCGATGCTCCACGTTGGATGTATGCGACAGGTACAAACTACCAGATCCGGTGTTCGTTCTGAATTCCGGCTCCCTCAGTCTCGGGGATCGACGGATGTATCAACCTCGCGAGCACCATGAAAACTTGCCGTCGCGACTCGGCCTGACCAGTCGCAGCAGCTGGAAAAACAAATGGCATCACAATGCGCAGGTTCTGGGGCCGCCACAGTCATCGCAGCAAAGTTCTTGACCCCTGCCAGTACGTCCTGTAGCGCGACACAAGAGGCTGCTTCAGAGTGTTCGAGCTGTCGGAAACTTCTCCTGAACCGTTCGCGTCGTTTGGCCTTGAAACGTGCCAAAAAGCTCGCAAGATCTATGACTTCGTAAGAGCCTGAGCCGATGGCGACCTTGCTTGTCTTGCGGCCACAGCTCGTCAAAGGATGTGCCCTTGCGCTGTCCGCCTGGACACCCGCCGCCGGCCCCAGGTTCAACATGCGCAAGTCTAAGTCCTAAGTGGCAACTTCGCGATTTTGTCGGCCAGCCTTCGTGTTTGAGGCCCAGGTGCCTGCCCACTACTTCCAGTACCTAGGAGGCAGCAGCCAGCGCAAGAACAACCCACGTCAGTCTCTTGCACGGGTTCCGACCAGCTCCGCATCAATGAAGACACCAACCATGCTCGCGCCTTCAGGCAAGGCGCAGCAAGGCGCAGCAAGGCGCGGCCGTGCCCAGAGCCCGCGACCAGGAGGCCGGGGTCCGCACTCAGCAGCGCGGCCTTGGCCACTTTCTGATCATCGTCAGCCTGGGCCTGGCAGTCCCCTCCAATACGTGGCCCCACGCACATTGTGAAGGCGCACTGTGCCTTGTACAAGTGCACCAGCACACCATCCAGAAAAGGCGCAACTTGCTGATTGGTGATGACCTTGCTGCTGGAGAATCTGGAAAAGCGCAGCAGCCGCAACGAGAAACACTCAACAAGCGAAGCTGTGGTGTCCACCAGCAGCACTTGCAGTAGTCTGGCCTCAATCAAAGAGAGTCAGGCTTGCACTGGGTGGCACTGAGGCAGCCGCCTTTGTGAGTGCTTCGGTCGTTATCCCACTTTAGCCATCGCCGGCAGAAGTCACAGACGAGGTAAGAGCGATGCTTGTTCGAGGCTTGGCATCCGGCCGCTGCTTCCCGGATATCTGTTGTCCACTGCGTCAGGTTCGCCAACACCTCGCAGGCACAGAAACATCAGCCCTGCGCTTCCTGATGCTTCTGGTCTTGCAGTGCCTTCCGCATGAACAACTAATTCGAACATGCCCTGCCCCTTTGCTTATGCAGCCTGAGGAAGGACGCTTGCCAGATGATATCTCACCTGCAGAGGACTCCACTCGAAACTAAATAGATCGCCTTCAAGCACGGATGTCTTTGCATGAAGCAGTAGATGCATTTAGGCGGTGCTACATGACTGCAGCACTCTGAAGCACTCTGAGCCTGATCTGTGTTGCGAGTATCCCAAGTAAGCTGCCAGCATAGGTGGTGGTCAAAGCTGCTGGCAGCCGTCCGGCTGCGAATGGCTGTGGCCTACAGCAGCACGCGCATTAGTCAGGAATCGGCACCCAATCCAATGCTCCTGGCTCAAGTCAATCCATGCAATGCCATGCCATGCCATACCAGACCATCATCTTTGCCATTGGCCAACAATAGGTCTTCTGGGGAGATGGCAGAAGTGGCAACACAGAAGTATAGTCAAAGGCGGGTGCGACCTGCCACACCACAGTTCGAAAAGAAGTCGCAAGTGGTAGTCGTTCTAGAATCTACGAGTAACATGTTACGGACTGAGCATACCTGCGAAGGTTGCAGAGCAAGTCCGGGCAGCGGTGCAAGGAAACAAACAGAAAGTGCACCGATGCTGCATCGGTGCTGTTGCCCGGGCAGGGCCAAAAGTTCGAAGCATCGCAAGAGTTGAAGGGGGGGAGGAAATACCCTCAATATGGACTGTGAGGTCTAGCCGTCTAGCCATCTCTCTCGGGCCGTAGCCGTAGCCGGGCTCTGACTCGATTGCACCTCGGGGTCTTTGCACTTCTGGTTGACCTTCTCCTGCATCGCTGGGGTGAGCTGGCTGCACTTTCTGGGAGATTGCAACATCCTCCAGGACCGTGGTGTTGTCGGGATCCTCGCTGTAGCCAGCCTCCATGAATACAGGTTCTAGTTCTCCATGCAAAATCCAAATCATCTCGAAGTTGGAATCAGCAAGTCTGCCGTGCGTGTCTGGGAATCAAGCAGCTTCAGGCATGGGTGCCTTGTTCTCCCTTGCCTCCTTCGCTTTTTGCTTGGCTTCCTCCACTGCATCAACATTACATTCACAACAGTAATGCCACCTGCTGGTGGAGAATGTCCTCCCGCTCTCGCTCTCTCTGCGCCCGCTTGAGCAGCACCTGTCAGAAATATCGCCACAAGGCAACGGAGTGCAACGAGGTGCTTCCATGTCCTCTTGTGTCCCGCCTCGTGCTTTAACGCAGCCACGCGCTCAAGACCACCAAAAGCAACTGCACCAACCTGTGATACGAGGGACCGGACGAGAACGCAGACTCAAAGTCGATACGCCAAAGCCGGGGCGCCAAAGCACAAGTGAGGGCAACAGTAGCAACTTCTGCACTCGCGGCCTGTTCAGCCTCTTCATCCGAACAAACGCCTTCGTCAAGCAGTTGCAGACCACAGGCGTGGATCCCGGTTCCACACTGGGCAGACCTAGTAGGAGAAGAAGCAACCGTGGTTCGAACTTGTCGAAACCTTCCGGCCTCAAAAGCAGATGGTGAACAAACGTAACGCTGTCGGCGATTCCCGGTGCATCGAATGATGTGAGTAAGGTGCAGGCCCATCATCATTCAAGTTGCTGACCAATGGAGCTCGAAAGCTCAAGCCTTTCAGCAGCCACCTGCGAGCGAAGTCTCAAAATTAACAATCCCAAGCACCAAAACACGGGAAAGGGATCCAAGGGATTCCCGTCCTTTCCAGAGTTTCTGCGAGGCTTTGCCGGACGCCAGGTGTCCTCGCATGCACTCAAGAACTTCCAAAGACTCTCGCATGAGTGCTCCATCCTGTCGCCAAGAAGTGCATTGAGATGTGGGAGTATGTCCTCCACGTGTGGCACAAAGTGCGCAGCAAAGTCCAGCATGTCCAGCACTCTCACTCAGTGTACTGTTCGCTCCCACATTGCAGAGCTATCAGAAAGGTGTCGAGGCTTGTGCAACAACTGAAACGCAAGCCTTAACTTCACATTGACATGTGGCACGGATGCTACAGAGGCAACGAAAAATGTGTCAAAACCGCGAATGGGTTGCGGCAAGCCTCCATGTGGTCCATCATTGGAGCTTCTTGCAAAAGCAAGGCACCGATGCTCTCAAGCGTTGCTCTTCTCACCTGACCAGCTCAGGCTATCCGTCACGGCAGAGGCTATGATGGGAGCGTCATCGGGCGGTGCAGAGATTGTCGGAATTTCTTTCTGTTGGGGAGAATGGCACTGGTGTCTCCTGATATGTCCGAAAGCTGGCTCATATCGGCCTCATTCGTGCCTTGTCTACCTTCTCGCGAAACTCCGAAGGCCAATGGTGTGTGACAGTGTGGGTTGCCCGAGTTGATCTTTCGTGTGCCATCTTCCATGCTGATTTTCCTGAGGCTGACAACGCCCCCACCCCCTGCCAGCGATGCTTTACTGGGACCTTCTCACCCGACCTGAACGAGATCGAAACTGGCTAGGCTGCTAGGGCTGTGATGGTCAGCGGAAACTTATAAAAAGGCAGTCGGAAACACTCGGCCAGCCGAGAACACGGTTCGACACTTCAGCACCGGACTCCTAATGCAGCATCTGTTGCACCGTAAAACGAAAAGAGTCGAAGGTATACACCTTGCGAGTGTGATGACAGATGTTCGTCGCTCGGTGTCCTGTAGCCTTATCCAACGGAACAAGGGTAACAACATGAACTGCTGTACCCAAAAGCACGTCGTGCATCATCGAACTCCAAATCCATGGTACAACATCGAAAACAACAAAAGACCTTGTCTTGAGCGCACACGCAGCTTCGAAAGGGCGGACTCTGAAGAAGGGATGCAGCCTTCCACTGCTGATGTTTCAGGTTGGCCAGAAGCGACCCCACCTTGGCTTTGTTCACAATCTTCACGTGGCTCTACGCCCTCACATGTCACAGCGTTTGTCTGTTCACTGCTTAGGGCTTATGGACTTCCATGCTGAAATTGGAAGCTGCCTACGACAGCCAGGGACGAGGCAAGAGGACCACATGCACGGCTGACTCGCTCTGCCTCAAAGTACTGGCTCACCTGCTTTGGTGGCACGGTCGGGGGGTGCTCAACATGGGAAGCTCCCGGCTGCCTTCTTAGTGATCTCGCAGCACTCCTTCTTTGCGTCAGGGCAGGTGTCCGTCAAAGCCTGACACGCGCAGGAGAATAGGATTGCAGCGGCTCGCCGAAGCAAAGAACATCTGAGCATCCGCATCTGCAAAGAACCATGCGAGGCGGAGCCTTTGAGAGTGCATCCAGGACGTCGCTCGCAAAAGGACTGAGCCGCTCCTGAAGTCGGGAACACCCGGAACACCCGCATCCACTCCAGACGGAGGGTGTTCAACGTTTGTCGGAGCTCCTTGCAGAGATCGAAGAGGTGGCTCAGAAGTCGCAACGCCTCACAAGGGTGCTGGATGCTGCTAGGCTGGGCATCGTGGGCTGCAGCACGTCCTCGAGCCGCAACTCTTCGCTCTGCTCAGGAAAAGGGTGGCCTGGGCACAAGGCAATCCAACTACATGAAGTCCAGCAGCAAAAGCCCTCGAAAGGTGCAGTGATGCAGCCAGGCTTCTTCTAAATCTGCCTAGCAGAGCCGCCAGCAACAGCCTGGAAGGACTCTGACTCTCCGATCAAAGTCGACAAAACAACCACCCTGCACGCATTGCACGCTGCACGCCCTTACCATTATCCTCAGCAGCCAGCGGGAGAACATTCTCCAGATCTTGCACCTGGTGTACACAAGTACTTGCTGACAAACTGCTTCCATCAGAGATACGACCGCACGACCAGGGCAGCAACCGGCAACAGATCTGCAAAGCGTAGCGTCATTGACAGCGAAACTTCGCGACACTTCTCACCCTGATCGGCGAACCTGGCGCATGAAACCAAACCGCTTGCTGAACCACCGCCACCTGTATGAATACAGCTCTTCCTAACTTATGCTCTGCACTTATGTGACTTATCGCTCATGGCGCTTGCACTCGCTCTTTCGTGTGAGTCACCAATCAAGCCGCTGCCGCATTCTGAATAGAGGCTTGTGCAGCTCCTCCAGAAAGACTCTTCTGACATACTCTGGCGAGGCCTTGCTGCCTCAAGGTTCACCCCACCACAAGTAGAATTGCCCAGATCAGTGAAGACAAGATCACAATGAAGAGACGGGTAAGCGCACGACTGCTCAGCAGTGCCTTGTCCTTACCGAGGCTGTATTCGACCCAACTGTCTTGCAGCTTCAACACCATTTCCTCCTCATGAAGTCTAGCCCTGGCCGGCTGGCCTAAGCCTTCGAGCTATGCGGAACAAGTTCTGAGCAGTGGAGTCAGTTTTGGACAAGCAAGTCTTGGCCAGAACACAACCACCAGGTGTGCAAAGACCGAGTAGTTCTGCACAGGTGACAAAACGTAGTCTGCACTTCGGAATTCTGCCGAGGCCGGAACGAGCTTGACTATGGCTCCTCTTCTGACTGCCCGGTCGTTGTCTGTGAGACCTGCAGCGAGTTACTGCTCCCGACTGAAAGTAGGACTTTGACTTTGACATGCTCAAGTTGCTGGACATCTGCCTGATGCATCTCGACCATGCAAAACGAGGCCCAAACAGTTTATGTCTCTCCGAACAGTAAGCAGGAATTCCTGCACAAGATGATTCACAATCAGAAGCAGAGCTGATTTTCCGAACAGTTGAGGAACACGGAGTAGAGTAAAGTGGTCCTTGAATGAGCTTGAAGTGTGACGTCGTGCAGGGTCGGGTCGAACGTTGTGAAATGGCCCAGGTTGGTGTGTGGTGGGAGGGTGGTGAAGTGCCGTTGAATGAAGTGCCGTTGAGCCATCGGTGTCCTCAGCTAATCCATGAGGGAGGCCGACCGGAGCCTTGAACAGCCTGCAGGGACCTTGGAGGGGGCCTTGGGTGGCAAAGATACTTTGCGGATCGTATCGTGCCGCAAGGATTTGAAGCTCTTGTGCAATATACTGTGCTGGCTAACTGTATGTCATTCAAAAGCCCTACGAGTATGTGGAACTCATAGTAAGTCCGAGAAGGCCCGTTGACAAAAACTAGCGGCCCTTGGATAATCAGCGAGTAGATAACCAGTCAGCTCTAGTGTGTAGTGATGTAGCACACGCTAACCATTGCTGAAACCGCCAGAAATACTGACCATACAACAAGCGAACATGTGCGTGTGCATGTGTCTCTGTGTGTGTGTGTGACAAACACCACTGGAGTGACTCTCTGGCGAAGATCCAACATATTCCAACATGAGCGACTATGCCACTGCTCACCAACAAAGGGACCCCTGACAGCTCAGTGCGTTGTCTAGGCAAACGTCCTGGTAGCCGTCCATGCTTCGGCAGCCAAACCTTTATGGCAAGCGGAACGTAAGGGACTTGTAGATGCACACATGCTTCCTGCTGCATGCCATAACCACTCGCCAACTTGCTAAGGCAAGCGCTGCTGCACCGAACAACGAATCTGCGAATTCTTTGTTAAAACTCCAGCTAGTGGTATACGCGCGAGTGTGTTGAAGCTTCTACAGCCGCTGGGTATGGGGTGGCTTGCTAGCGCCGGACGCTTGACGATAAAATCCGACAAATGCTGAAGAACGTCTGAGACATGGCTATTTGTCGTTCGTATTGGTGTTGCGAGATGATACCAAAAGTCTGTCTCTGAACGGACGTGTGCGTGCGGGTGCGTTGCAGTGACCCTTACCTTATGTCTGGTAACATGGATGCGCATGTGTCGCTGTAAGCTGGGGAAGTGGAAAAAACAGGGTGGGCATTCTGGAAGACATCCCGACATCATCGGTGACAAAGGCTTTGACCACGCCCAAAGCGTTTGGTTTTGCGAGACCTTGGCTCTGAGCCTCGAAGTCTTGTCTGGCGCTTTGTGGCACTTTGGCCTGCGACTAAAGTGGGCGAAAGAAGACCTCCGCCTTGATGTTGTTGACGAATCGGAAGGGAAGCCTCGACTCTCTACTTCCATGCAAAGTCACAACAGAATCCATGCAAAGTGGCACAGCCAGGCGGCCAGGATCTGTACAAGTCTGTTCCGACGTCCACCAGCAGCACACCAGCTAGGCTGTAACCATTGCGCTCCTCGGTTGGGCTTCGTGCGCGGGCCCGGGGCCCCGAATACCACAGCATACCACAGCAGAGGGAAGCCAGGGAGTCGAACGCTTGTAAGGAGCAGCTGAGGCTCCATTAATTCTATGAGCTGCTGCGTGTGGTCCTTCTGTGCACCTTCGGTTGTACCCGCAGATGCTCGCAAGATGTCGATTGGATGTTTCGGGGCTGTCAAGCTGCCAGCACTTGGGTTCTCTGTCGTTGAATTCTAGGATTGCGAATCCCATCTTGGCGGCCTGGGCATTGAGCACTTCACTCATTGACCAGGTTCCATCCTATCTAGTTTTTTAAACATCAGAGGAGCAGGACCAGTGCCACGATCTCCACGAGACCAAGTTTCGGCGCAGATCTGCTGCGAACTTGCACCTTCAGGTGCCAAACCCGGGGTCTGTTTGCAGAACCCGTCATTCAACCAACGATCAACTTAGGATGTTGTTGGCTCTCAATCTTCAAATTCCGCTTACCCTTTTCCAGAGAGGATTGGGTCAGGTAGTTTGACACCTGAAGGGAATCTAGCAGTCGAAGGACGCAAAGCGTCTACAGATTCCTGGAAGTCAACCTTGGCCCAGCTGCCGAAACCCACATGTCTTGCAAAACATGGAACACGAGCTGGTGGACGTATGCTACATGCTACAACTTCGGTGTTGCGAGGACTCGCCTGAAAAACACTACAGCCTGGGTGCAGATGCTTTTCGGCCTTGATTGGTAAGTTCCCACTTGAACCAGGTCGACGTCCACGTCTTTGAAAGGAAGCTGCGCCAGAACCTCTGTGAGCTGTAGAATATCAGGGAATTCTGTAAGCAGGAGTCACATCAGCGCAGTCGCGTGATGTGGGGCCACAGGCCCAGGTGTCTTGGGGGTTAGCCCAGGTACCTAATCTTCGTCCCTGCAACCCGAAAGTTTGGGTTTTGCTCCCCCTGCCCCGCCCCCCCCTGCCTCCCCCGCATCCCCTGCACCTCCTCCCTCCCGCTTCTGCAACCGCACTGCTCTTTCACATCGCAGAGCAAGTCGATGAGTTCTGTCACAGTGCTGGTCTCCGGCAAGCCGAGGCGGGCGGCGTAGTGCTAAAATTGGAATTGTACAAGTAGGATGTTTATTGGATTGTGTATGGGATTTGCCGATATTTGTAAGACTTTCAGGATATTAAGGATACTTTATCAATACTACATAGTTTGATTGTCTTGTTCAGGGTTTTAAGGGTTTAGGATACAGGAGTACTGGGTTCAGGAACCCAAAACCTGCTGCACTTGGGCCTGAGCTGAGTCCAAGAGGCTCTCAGGAACGCCTGACAGGCCGTGACTCTCACTGCTGACAACATGCTTGACAAGCGACATGACACGCTCCCTACACCGCAGCCTAACAGCATCAAGTTCCACGCGCCCGTGACCTTCCTTTTACAAGAATGCACACTGGTCGCAGGCAGGCGGCGCAACGAGGTCGCAACTTCTAAGCTGCTGGCCTCGTGCACCCCACCTGCTAGACGTCTTCGAAGCTTGGAAAAGAATTGGGTGGCGAGGGTGGGCTTTCAAAAGGCAGGCACCCCCCTGCCCAACCCTAGCTTGCGCGGCTGCGGAAGCGGTCGCAGCCGTGTCATTACGTGCACACGTGCACTACAAGACACGCTCCCTACACCGCAGCCTAACAGCATCAAGTTCCACGCGCCCGTGACCTTCCTTTTACAAGAATGCACACTGGTCGCAGGCAGGCGGCGCAACGAGGTCGCAACTTCTAAGCTGCTGGCCTCGTGCACCCAAAGGTGCGACGACTGCGGCCCTCAACCATAAAATTCGCACCTGAGGCCCTCAGCCCACAGACTTAGCATGGGCAAACGAGGGGACCTTCCTGCACGGCTCTCAGTAGGGCATGAAAGACGGCGTCCCAATCCTGCTGCAGCCACGTCCAACCTTGTCGTTCGGCTTCTGAGAAATCGAAGCGGCTCACTTTGTCGCTGATGTTGGCTGAGGAAGCCACGCGTTGCCACTCTGGCCGGAACTCTGCCTCCTCGAAAAATCGCCAAGCCACCTGCATCAACTTGTTCACGTTGATGTCCTTGCCGTAGCCCTTGACGAGGGCTCGTCGAGAAGGCTCGTTGTCCATGAACATGAGAAGCTGCTTCGGCAAGTGAGCCTTCAACACGAAGACGGGCAGGATCTGCGCTATCGCTTCCAGAATGAAGATGTATGCTCGTTTGGAACAGAAATGTCTCGTGAACCAGTACGGCACGCTGCCAGCTGCATACCACGTGTGTTGCTTGGTTTTGACCACGAAGCCGAAGCCATTGTAGAAGGCTGCCGGGTTGCTGTCGCCCCAATCATGGCCGGCCTCCGCATCTGCGATCTTGATCACCTGGCCATTCAGTTGGAAGAAGGCGTCCGCATAGATGATGGCTCGATCCGCTGCTGCAAACGGGATCTTCCGTGGTTTTTGCGTAGCAAGTGCGAAACGAAGGAACTCAAGTGCACTTCTCAGTCCAGGGCTGAGCTTCCATCCAACCTGAGACGACTTGTAGTACGCTGCAGCTGCTCGTTGGTGTAGAGGGCGAAGTGACGCTCTGCTGGATTGCCCAAACAATGACTGTGCCACAAACTGTAGTTTCCCCGCCAGTGTCGCTGCTTGCGACGGTGTCAATCTGTCTTCAACAAGGGCCTCTGCGATCTGGTTGTCCAAGCGGGTGACCCTCTCCTTCGTCGCCTGCACCAAGACGTGGTCCTGATAGGCTGTCAACTCCACGCCTTGTAGTTGCTGAGTCTGGGCCGGCGGCTGAGCTTTGGATGACTTGAAACGGAAGCCCAAATCAGAGCCCACGCTTTGCACGCTGACAAAACTGGCGCATGCTTCTTGCTGCGTTTCCGAGGCACCAAAGTCATCTACAAAGTGAAGCGCCGGGGACAGGAGCATGCAGCGAGTAGCCCATGCAATCCAATCGGCTACACGACAGTAGCCCCACACGCTTGCCACTGAACCAAACATCAGAACCCGGTGCCTCCATAACGTGGGCCCCCTCGGCGTTTGCAATACAACATATGTGTCATCGGGTCGCTGTACTGGAAGCTGACGGTAGGCCGACTCGTGATCCAGCCCCCACGTCGCTATGACTCCGTGCTGTCCTTGCCGTCGAAGTGCCCGTATGACCGCGATGAAAGCCTCGATGCTGTGGTATGCTGGCGTGTCCGGCACATTGATGGTTTTGTTGCCGCCAGAGCGTCTCCAATCTTCCGCTCGGCGGACTTTGCGACGTCCGTCTGATCCGACCTGCTGAACCGAAAAAGCAAAGCAGGTGTGCTCATGACATGCTGGGGCCGGCAGGAGGTCGCTTGTGTGGGCGTAGTCTGGTAAAGCAACCGTTGCCTTGTTCCATGACGACGGTGCCGCGAAAGGGCCTTCCATCCTGCCGGCTTTCACCTCCGCTGCAATCTCTTCGGCCATGACCTGCCAAAAGGGATCTACCCTAGCTCGCTTCAACTTCTGCTGCACGTAGTGGAAGTTGTCTGTGAGGAGCGTCTCAAGGTCGATCGGGTCGTTATACTTGTTGTCTTTGCGAAGGCGCCACCCCAGCCCCGGGTTGATGCGCCCTAGAACTGGGAAACCGCTCGTCATTTCCTGAAAAAGAGAACCGTCTTGCCAACCAAACATGCCAGCCAGCTTCGCGATGACGGGGACCTGGACAGTGCATGCACCTGTTTTTGAGCTATACGCAAGCCGCACATGAGGCTCCAGGCTGTTGAACCAGTCGTCCACTTCCGGCTGCATGTTTTCCACGAGCTCCTTGATGTCGGCTGCCACCTGCTGTCTCATTTCTGTTAAGTACGGCTTCCAATGCAACCACAACGGTAGCCATTGAGCTAGGCCTGGCTCGAGAAGAGGCTGAGATTGATCGGAGTGTAAGGCAAACTCGGCAGCGGCCCAATGCTCGTTTGCGTCTTCGATGGCAGAGAGATCCAATGCTTCAGCAAGTACTGGAACTCCAGGTCCCGTCAACAACGGCGCCGACTCCCAAAGCCGGGCCATGCCCTCCAAAGCACTTGGCCCCAACAATGAAAGCTCTCGACACGGCGACGCAGAAGTCCCATTAGGTGTTGCCGCAAAGATCCCGAGGACGAAGAACCATCTAGCTATCCCAATGTGCCACGCGTTAGCTACTGTGCGGTGTCGCTGCTTATCTTGAAGTGAAGCGGTCCAGCCTCTGGGAAAGTGCTGCAACTGCTCTTTCACTTCTGCCGGGGCAATCACCAGCGAATTCGTTGTGGATTCCACGAACAGGTTCCCGTCCTCGTAGTGCCATGGCGCATATTGACGATTGTCATTCAGCCACCTTGCTTGCGTCTGGGAGTCCACGCGTCCTTTACAGCTTCTGGGAGCCTCTCGTCCACGTGGATCTTCTGCAGGAGTCGTCAAGCACGGCAACGTTTTGCCAAGCGCAAGGTTGCTTGGCCACTGTAGATTCCCCAGCACATATTCGTTGAGGTCGTCCTTGGTCACGTCGAAGCTTGCTCGTGGAATCCCTTGGTACGTCGACCATCGGACGCCGGTCGGGCAATCGCGCCTGTTGGACAACTCTTGCCAAGGGACACGTGTCCACCAGAGACGAGGCCGCGAGATGACCCCGAAGTCAGCTGCATCGGCCACCACGGCAGACGCGGAGAGCTTGGTCTCGAGTACTCGCACGTCCTGCTTGTTCTGCGGCACCACATTCTCGACAACCAAGATGGCCTGCGGGTAGTCCCAGGTTGCCTCGAGCTTGCGCACGAACTCTGCAAAGCGCACGGCCTTGGATCCTTCTTCACCTCGAGCTCCTGGAGCATTATGCCGTATGCGTGAATGGTCATGACAGGGCGGGCCTCCGGCGATCACAATCTTGGACTCGTGGCGTGGGTCCAACTGCTGCAGTCTTCCTATGACTTTGCTCACGTCCTCATGATCGAAGTCCCCTCTGTGCTCCAGGCTCTTGAAACGCTGAGTGGTCAACTTCACGAGGTCCTCTTCCGTCTCCCAAGCAAGAGCGTGCCATTTCCAATTTTTCTGACGACATATGTCCTCGCAGATGAGCAGCGCTGAACCGATTCCATCGAAGAAGCTCAGGAGGATGAGGTCGTACTTGTCACCTGCAAACTCGCTCTCCTTTCCACGGCGCATCCTCTTCAAAACTGACCGTGAACGTGGGCGATCTCGCGGTTGCTTTTGCACGGCCTCTTGTTCAGCCAACCACCTTTCACTGGGTTTCAAGGTGATGCTCTGCTCCTGGCAAACGCCCCCGGGTCCACCCACGTGGGTAGGTGGCCCGCGCTGTCCCTACTCCTGGTTCTGCTGCTGTCGGTGGTAGTAGGCGCCGTACTGGTTGTTGCCGCCGAAGCCGAAGCCAGTTGGTTGGCACTGCTGCTGCCAAGAGGGACTCCACGAACCATAACCAGCTCCGGAGTTGTTGTATGGTCGCCATCGTGCGTCCCGGTTGTCGTCGAAGCGGCGCCACCTGCCCTTGCCTTTGCCCTTCCCTTTTCCTTTCTCGCTCGTTTCGAAGGCCTTGCCGAACGTCTTGTCGCCATTGAGCTTGAAGGGCTTCTTGGTTGGCTTGTCCGGCACGATCTCTCGTGCCACAGCTTCCTGGAGTGCTTGAGTGTCCTGCATGAGCTCGGCAACGACAGTCGCGAACGGTTTCTTTGTGCGCAGTGCGATGGCCACTCTCCACGACGTAGCTTCCCAATACAAGCGTAGCTGCTCCAGCTTCTGTGGACGGTTGCGAACTTGTTTGACCCACCAATCTATGTAGGACGTGATGGCCTGCTCACTCCCAATGCCCACTAACAAGTACGCGTAGCGGATGGACTCGAGGCAATCAATGAAGGCCAGCACGCTGCGCGGATGCCACGGCGTCTCCGGCTCGGCTTCCAGTTGGTTGTCCTCATTGACGGTCAGGACCGTGAGGCTTTGCCTGTTTTTCTTTCGCGCCGAATTGAGGGAATTCGGCTCCCCGCCCGCGTTGAAGAAACGGGCCTGCACAAACTCTTGCAAGCCAACAGCCGTATGCTGCATAGTCTTCATCTCGTGAACCAATCTGGCCAGCACAGACTCAGCGCCTAGGAGAACTTCTTGAGGAAATGTCCTGCACTCGCCGGCAACGACCACTGCCTCGTACTGGGCGATCTTCTGCTGCCACCATCCAGGAGGTAGTTCCTTGGAACTCTTGGAGGAGCCCGAAGAAGACGTTGCAGAGCCCGTCATCGCTGTCGCCCCTGTCAGTGTTGCACAGGGGGCAGGCGCCATGCCTTCGACTTTGACGCACTCGCGCCAGAGCACTCTGAACTTGGCTCGCACGATTGGAAGATCCAGCGGGTCGACCTTCACGATTTGGCCGGCCCCCACTTCGAAGCCTGTCAGCAAGGGCGCAACGATGGCATCGTGGAGCTCCTCAGGTTTGTCGGCTAAAGCTGCAAAGAGCGCTGTCGAATTGATGCCCCTCACCTTGAGATACTGCTGGATGTCGTCGGACAAGCCTGCGTCCTCCATCAGCTTCTGAAAGTCTCTCCTGACTGACATGGCTGTGGGTGTCACAGGATATCAACGGCGGTCTATCCCTTGCAGCTACTCAATGTTCGCGCGGGCCCAAATCCACCACGAAGAACAACTGACACAGGCTGACGTGGATAGGGCTGTAACGCTCTGCAACGGCTCCACACCTGGCACACAAGAAAGACTGCGAAAGTTCCTATTGCAACACGCAGATTCCTCAAATTCACAAGCACGAATCAGGTAAAAATCAGGCCGCATTTAGCGAGTTGTAAATTTGATGCTGCTGGTTCGCGCGACCGCAGCCGTTATATGTCCTCCACAAAACACGCGCTGCCGAACAATACACAGACTGCTGCCACCTTGCAAACGTGTCTAATGTGCTCAACTGCATCCACCGTTATAAAGCAAGTACCCAGCATGCATACCACGCAGCTGTTCTGAGATAGCCTCTGTAAGCATTAGCTCAAGCTAAATCCTGCATGGATTTTCTTGCCCGATAGGCGGTCAGCGCGACTGCCCCAAGTCTGCTCTCGACAGCTCACCACCCTAGCACGGGTGGGCTTAGCGGCACTGCCTGACACGGCTAGTGACTTGCTTATTTGCCACGCGCGGGCTTCTAGTTTGCTTTGCTCGATGCCGATGAGCTGGAAGAGCTGGTGCTCACGGCTCCAGACTCGCTCGATGACTCATCTTCGGTGACTTCTGGGTCTACGAAGATATCTTCGGGGAAGCAACGCTTGCACTTCATCCAACCGTCCGTACTGGCACACCGAGTGAAGGTTGATGCTCCATAGGGCCAACCGCAACCTTGGGCTCGCCACTGCAGCGGGAGTTTGTTGACCTCGTTCTCATCTCTGCAGTGCACCTTCTTTGCTGCAACGAATGCTGGGCGCCTTTGCATCTCCTCGACAGACTGGGCCAGCTTCTTTACTTGTTCACGCAACTCCTTGATGATGTGATCACTGGGTGCGCTACTTCCACCGCTGCTGCCATCTCGGCCGCTGTCTTGGCGCAGCGGTTGAGGCTTCTGCATGACAATGTCAAAGCTATCCAGAGCAGCATCTTGCACGTAACGTTCGATTGCCCCACTACCCCAGCGGCCAATGAGCATCACCGTCGGCAGTGGGACGTGTAGACGGGTCAGAAACTGCGAGCCAGCCACACGGAGTACATGCCCACCGAAACGCTGCACCTGGCCTGACCCGTGCGGTCCCGGCCTGGTCAGTGCTACGCCATGCTTGCGCAACACACGCCTAATGATTTCCACGGTTTCGTTCTTCTCCAACTCCACTCCTGGAACTTTCGCGAAGAGCGGGTCGTCAAGGTCTCCTTTGAAGTTCTTGATGAAAGCGGCGGCGGTATGATACGGACAAATTCCGGCGTGCAACACTCCACAGCAGCATCTATGTGTCCTGGTAACCAAGCTCCCCACCGTGTCGGTCTTGGAAGCCCACAAGGTTAACGAGACCTGTTGCTTGTCGTGGTCGATGATGAGATGGCCTCGACGGAGTGCGGCTAACTCGATTTCTCGCATTAGGAACCAGGATCCGAGCACCACGATGGCCTGCTCGAGGTTTCCGCAGCTTTCTAGCTCCAGGAAGAGACTCTCCAACTGGAAAGAATCCTTTAGCGGCGTGCCGCCTATACCTCGCTCCACCGAACGAATAGCATCCTTCAAAGCTAACTCAGCCTCGGCTGAGAGAGCGGTGCGAGTTGCTTCAACATGAGCTCTACGCAGGCGGCTCAAGTACTGTCGGGCTGACCGGTACCCCCCAGCTTTGAGGCCGGCCGCGATCTGATGCACGACATCCTTGGTCACAGGCGTGAGGCTAATCTTCCACGCGGCTGCCAACGACTCTAAAGTGCGAAGACGAGCACCTTGGGATGCCCTCGCACTGTTGGCCCAGATGTCTCTCTTGTACTTGGCCATGGTGTTCTCTTGGTTTTCAGGCTGTAAGGCTGCAAGCGCACGCTGCAAAGATCCCCCTGCTGACGGCTGGGGACGCGGCATGTCTTCACGCAGCTTCTTTCGTGGCCTATGCACATCTCCATCTTTGGCACCATCGGAATGTCGTTGCGCCACGGAGCCCACGAACTGCTTCCCAAACGCGACAATCATGATTGCCTCTGCATTGGTTGTAAAGTCTGATCTCTCGTCGCTCGCCATCCAAGCAACCTTGAGCTCGGCAAGCGACATGACCCCTGCTTTCTCAAATTCCTCGATTGTGACGGCACTGAGCCCGGCATCCAGGGCTGCTTTCACAAATCCTGCGAACGTGTTCTGATAGTTGGTGTCCATGGCGAGCGGTGCTAAGGTTTCCTGACCGACCGATGTTCTCTGCTTGCCTGACGACACTGCTGAAGATGCACCTGTTGGCTGGCACAACATACAGTAGCCCACTCATGCACAGACAGTCCACACGACCAATGCACACCAGACAACTTGAAGAACGCACCTAATGCAACAGTCCCTCTCACAGCTACTGCGTCACGCAAAACTTTCGGCACTGCCAGCACACGGTTTGCAATTGCGAGAGACCAGCCAAGCAGACAGGCATCTGCCTACCTCCACTAAGCTATTCACAACACTTCACCCAAGTATCTCATTCAAGGACGCTCATGAAGAGGGAGGCAACGCGAGCTCCACCGATGAGCAAGGGGTCAGGCAAACGTCGAAGACACCGCCCGGGATCAGCTTGGCATGCTCGAGCACCGTTGTTGGCAGCTGCCGCGCAACAGCCATGGCACGAAGCAGGGAGTTGGCATGGCTTTCAAAAGGCAGGCACCCCCCTGCCCAACCCTAGCTTGCGCGGCTGCGGAAGCGGTCGCAGCCGTGTCATTACGTGCACACGTGCACTACAAGTCCTTAAGGCTTATGGTTGTCACAAGTCTCTCGGAGACAACAGCTTGCTGGCATTCGTATGCAACGTGAGGAAGCTGCGCGAGCAGCCATGACGGCTCCGTGTAGCAGTGTCAGCACTTCCCGCCGGGCCCCGGGAGCCTCGAGCTCGGATCCCCCCAAATTCGCCACGAGGTAGTTCACACGGTGCCGGTGCAGTCCTCCCTCCTCCAATGTTAGACCCCCCAAAGCCAACATGGCCATCTGTCTTCACTGCCGGCAGATCTAAACGCTAAGCAAGGTCTGGCAAGGTCATAGGACTTGTGCGGTCATGTGCCTCGAACTCATGTCTGTGCCAGTAGCTACAAGACATGCAGCCTCCCACGAGAACCTCGAAGTCAAAACATGCACCGCCACGACATATGTGTGCGCTGCAGCGAATCTAAAAGCTGCACAAACGGCAGCAGTGTTGCAGCCCAGCATATTGATACTCGAGATCCCTCAGAACTCTACAGACTGGTCCCTTCAATTGTGCGGGCCACAATGCTTCTCCGTAGATGTCTTTCAAACCAGCCGAAAAGGGGAGTGGGGGCAATGTTGGAGCATGGACGTTGCAGATGAACTTAAAGCTGATGTTGCAGGTCTGCTGACTCCTGAAGCAGCTGCTGCAGAGAGCGGCACGGAGGGTCTGCTGCCGCTGCATTCTGGCCGCAGAGAACCCCTTGAAGGCTCACACTCCTTGGTCGGGGTCAACTGCGGCAAGTTCAGATGTCACAGAGCTAGTTGCGTTGAAACGGCAAGCCGCCAGCCGTGCACAGGCCCTCACCTCCTTGGGCACCTTTCCAATGCTTCGAGATTCTTTGGGCGGTTGGCCGTCAACTGCGCGATTTGAGCTTCGGAAGACTCGGGGAGGATCTGGATGCCATGCCAGCCGAGCTCCTTCTCCAAGAAGTAGGTGCTGGTGTTCGTCAAACCGTCTGAGGCTCCCAGCTCCACAAACTTCCCAGAACGTGGCATCGGTCCACTGGAAAGCGCATCCGACTGGAAAAAGTTCTTCAGAACCCAAAGATCTTCTCCATTCGGAGCTCGTACGCTCGGATGCGTGAACACAGAGGGCCTCGAGAACTGCTGTCCACGGAAAGCCGAGAACCATGCAGCACATTGCTCTTGAGGATCTTTGCCACTGGCTTTCAGCTGTCGGTTGATCACATTGATGCTGAAATCTTGCCGATCCTCCGGCGTCGAAGGGCCATCTTGGGCAGAAAAGAAGCCGGCATTGATCAGATATGGAGTGTTCCCCTTACTCAAGAGATGGCCGCCAAACCACACGTCGTCATGCACCGCGCAGCCATCTGGCGCATCAGCAAAGTTGAAGACGGTCTCGTCAAAAAACCAGCGCTTGAATAGCACCCCTGCAAAGCCACCGCACCATCCGTGCACAGTGCCCTCTGTTGCATCGGACATGATTTCAAGAGTCTGCCATTGGATTTGATCGGAAGCGACACCGGTGGCTCGTGCCTCCTCGCACCAGAAACCTGGAGCGGCATGGCTCGGCAAGGCACTTGCAGCTAAGACCAAAGCCAAGACAGTGTCCTGATGATATGTCGTGTCGTCGTCCACGGTGATGAGCCAGGTGTTTGGGTCCTCCTCGACCTTCAGCGCCGCCAGAAGCTTCGTGCCGGGACCCCAGTCCTCGTCGGTAAAGCGGACGATAACGCGGTCGCTCAAATCACGGAGGGACTCCAACGCCTCGGTCGTGTCCACACCATCACCGTGGCCACCGAAGCCTGCGCCGGTGCGTTTTGTCCGAGGCCTTCGGCTCAGGAAGATGTAAATTGCGTCAGGCATGCAGCTCTGAGCTGACAGGGATGCTACCGTCCCCTTCAGCCTTCCCAGGCGTCCCTCGAAAGTTGAAAGTGTCACAACAACGCGGGTGGGCTTAGGACAGTGTCCTCCCGATGCCAAAGAAGAAGTGGCAGAGGCAATCAGCTGTGCCAGCGGCTCTTTGGATAAACTTTCCCGTTTCGGTATGGCCCGCACCTGAAACTCTTGCCAGGCGCTGGAAAGAGGAAGCCAAGACAGTAACACTGGGAGGGCCACAAATACAGCGAATGTGGAAAGCCTCCACCATGCCATGCGAGATGCGGCCATTACGAGTTTCGCAGAGGTCGAGACGAAAAGAACCTTGAGATTTTGGGGTGCAGGTTATCTGGGTAAAGGCACCATTTCCTGAAGCGGACAAGGCTGTAGTCTTACGACTCCGATGTCAGAAAACTCCCAGTGTGCAGCTTTATGCAACCTGAGGGGCAAGAAGATCTGGAATGCCCTCCGGATTTTTCTGTCAGGCTAGCCTAGTCAGAATGCAAGACACGTCCTTGCAAAACTGGTCTTTGTATAATGCAGCGGGTCAATGTGAAAGAGCAGCAGGAAGCTGGCCATCGATATCTTCAAGCACACCGAATTACTTTGGGCTTCGTTTGCCGCCGAACCTACACATTTTCAACGCAAGCCTTGAAGCTACAAGCGGACTTGAGTCTCTGCAGCATCCGCAACCCTACTGTAAGCACACATCCTTGCCAGGAGAAGCGGGCTGCCATGCTGGGTTCTTTTGCTTCCGCATAGCCACACATAGCTACACTTCGCATGATTCTGGTTTCACCGGCCACGGCCTCGCATATACCGCTGGCAAATGTGTGGGCAAGTGCGGTAAGGCAACGGCAGATGCTGGCCTGCAAGAGCCTCTTGATCGCATCCCGCACCTGTCTGTGCAGTGCATTGAACATTCCGCTTCTCGGCCGAAGTGTAGTGAGCTCCGCTGGTATGAACGAAGCTTTCAACAGGCATCCTAAGCACCGCCCTTCAACAACCCCAAGCGAAACGTCAACCCAAATGCATCTGAGCAGCCAGACGCAGAAGGCAAGGACAACAGCACACACATCCACCGTCACAAGGCCACCTTGCAAGCTTGGAGCCAATTTTCAACTGACTGATGCATCAAAACTCTGATACCCCCAACCTCGGGAAGTTGCTCTTGGAAGGAAATGCTAACAGTGGGTCGGCTCGAGCACTCTCAGCCAAACAGCGTCCCTGCCGCCATTTCAACGCCTAAAAAAGGCCCTCGCAACAGTGGTGGTCGTCGTGGTCGTCGTAGTCGTCGTAGTCGTCGTTATGGTCATTATGGTCGTCGGCATGGTCGTCGGTGTGCCGGTAGTTTCGGGGTTTTAGTTTCGGATCCTCTGCCGGGGTTTCGGATCAAAGAAGGTTCTGGGTTCGAAGTCCGCAGCTTCAGTCCGCAAAGCTCTGTTTTCTCCGCACTCCACATGCGACTAAACCTTTCCTTCTCCAATCCCTCCAGCGCATGGCACAGCCTTCATTGTGTTTGTGGTTGCGGTTGTAGTACGAGTAGCAGTAGCAGTAGCAGTAGCGGTAGGCAGAAGCAGTAGCAGTAGCAGTAGTAGCAGCAGCTGTAGTAGTAGTAGTAGCAGTAGTAGTAGTAGCAGCTGTTGTTGCTGTAGTTGCTGTTGCTGTTGTTTCTGTAGTTGTAGTTGTAGCTTTAGCTGCAGTTGTAGTTGTTGTTGGTGTTTGTCTTGCTGTTGTCGCTGTTGTTGTTGTTGCTGTTGTTGTTGTTGTTGTTGTTGATTTTGTTGTTGTCTCTCACGATGTCGATGCTGATGCCGATGGTGCTGTTGTTGCTGTTGCTGCTGCTGTTGCTGCCAAGAGAGCAGCAGCGGCAGCAGCAGAGGTCACCCGCAACTGCATGTCCGATCATCATACTCATCGTCTTCGTCATCATCCTCGGACTGATACCACCGTGATTTTGCCGGAAGATCAACATCCGCTGCAAGAAACAGAAGAGCTAGCAGAATGCTTTTATGCAACGCAGGTGCAACACACACACACACACACACCGACTACAACAACACAACCCAACCACCACCAAGACCAACAACAACAAGAACAACAACACAGCAGCAGCAGCAGCAGCTGCAGCAGCTGCAACAGCAACAGCGACAGCAACAGCGACAGCAACAACAAAAACAACAGCAGCCACCACCAAAACCCTCTGCAACTAGCACCACGAGCACCATCAGCACCACTTCACTAGCACCACTAACACAAACTCACCAACAGACCAACCAAGCACAGCAGTGCCGGCTCAGCGGCCATACTGGGCTGGCACAGAAACAACAAAGCAACTTCGGTGATTTTCCCTGGGCTGACCGTGGCAATTCAAAAATTAATACGCTGGCAAGTTACAGATCATGTGCTCGCGATCCTTCATCTTGTCCCTCAGATGATTTCTCAGACCAGCTTAGATGGCAACTCCTCGACTCGGCCACCGCACCATAACTTACGAGCAATATCGAGCAAAACCAAGCATCATTAAGAGGGCAATGTCAGCTCCGGTAATGGACTCAGTGTACAGTCCCTACATGGCTAAGTGTGGCGGTCGTCAACAGGTCGAGGCGGGGTTCGCACCCGACTGAGACGTTGGGATGACACGACTCCAAGTACTGTGGACATCACCTCGAGTGAATCGAGTGGGCAAAACCATACAGGGAATCCCACAAGGAGCTGGGCGGGATGTCTTATTGCATGGAAAGCCTCTGCAAGGTAGCCAAGCTCACGACTAATGACTAATGCTGCTCGCAGATTCAAGCTGCACTTCCCTTTCAAATTTGATCCCTGAGGTCCGCAAGCCCATCCTGACTAATTACAGTGTGCAAAGGAACACAAGTGCAGACATTTTCTGCACGTGGATGTAATCGTCGCGGGTCCATCGCCAGAGCCGCCTTAGCACGCATGCTGCAGCTGGAACGGCTCTGTCACATGACTCGCTGCAATGGGCGGCATGCACTCAAGTACTGCTCATGTCTGGTCCCCATTCTATCACCACAAGCCGATTCAGCTGGACTAGCCGATGACCCGACATGTCGACATGTTCAGACTGGTTGGCCGCTACAGTATTTATTTGCTTCATGGAGTCGACGAGGAATCCCGCTCAAGCTGCAACAGCATGTGCAAAAGTCCGATAGCTACCCGCCGAGGCGAGAATGCCGCCCCTTGGAACGGAACGAGAAGTCAACTACTTCATGCTCATGGAAAAACATCAGGAAAAGCTTGGGCACAGCCCTGCTACTTCATGTTCTTTTCTGCCTTTATCTCAAAACCCACCCAGAAATGTGCAGCATGTCCTGCCAAGGGTGAAACCCAACATTGGGCGGAAAAGATGCAACATGCTCCTTGGCGCCAGGCGAAGTGTCCACGTCGTCGAAGCTACTCTGCAGAGAGCGGAGCTGCCAGCCCTCGATTGCAAAAATCTGCCACGCTCTACCATCCTGCGTTGTTGCGGACACCTCACATAGCCTTGTACTTTGAGGTATCTGCGACATGATCAACCGGACCGGCAAAGCGTCCTAGCTTCTTGGGATTGGCAAGAAAAGCGTTTGCTTGTTGGGTCTGCCGGTTGGCTCGTGTGATTTAAACAAGCAGTAGCTGCATCATCCTTGCGGTGCACATGCCCTGATGGAGCGAAGGTTCAAAGCTTCACATACAAGTACAGACCAGATTCAGAACACGATGATGATGCGTGTAGCGTCGGTAAGATAAACATGTGAGTGTGACTGCGAGGTTCGTGTCTCGATCCTCCAGAGATTTCATCCAACGCATCTTAAAACATTGGGACATCCAGCCTCGTAGGCATCTGGCAGAAAGAGGCGAACAACTTCAAACGGTAGAGATCCTTGGCAGCAGATCTGTTCAAGCTCCACCTGTGCCAAAACCCCCAAAACCAATGACAGAGAGCCAGGCGACAGCCAGACAAGAGAAGCGAAGACAGACTGAATCTCGAGTGGATCACTACAATCCTGCATTTTGTAGAATCTCGACTGTTTGGCTGCCTTGCAGCCATACCTGAAGCCACGACGAAGAAAGAGCCAGGCGAGACGTACTTGTACCGCCGACATCCCCTTCACTTAGGAATGAATGCTTGACCAGTGTCGATGGCACTCTAGCCAAGGCCGGCCAGGGCAAGTCGTTACTTTGCCGAACTTGCCTCCGGGAGGGACGGTGGGTGCGCCTAACAGCGTTCCTAAGGTTGGCTGCGATTGGATTCTTTGGAATGAACTGAAGTCTGAAGTGCGAGATCTGGGCACAACACTTAGCCCAGGCCTGGTCCAGGAAAGTGGAGCACGATCGGACGCGATTTCGTCAGCCTGTGACGAGATGCGGCGAGAGAATAGAAAAGCCGTATGCCTCAGATCTTAGCCTTTAGACAACGAAGTCTAGGCGATGAAACTCAAAGCCATGGGGCTCTCGGGCAGTGTTCTCAGGAAAGTTGGTTATCTTGCTGCCTGCATGTCACCTTACCGGGGCCTTGACCTTCAGCTTCCAAGTGCATCTGCAGCCTGTCACCGCATAACAACCTCCTCAGCCCTAAACTTCCTAAACCCTGCAGTCTCGAGTCTCGAGCAAGAAATGCAGCCAAACAGCCAAACAGAACTTCCCAACTGCACCACGAAGCGGCGCGCGGGCCTGGCCTGTTTTCGATCCAACGGCTGCCTTCGGCCTGTACAGCAGCTCAGCACGTATCCGCAAGCCATCCGCAAGCTCTGGCAAAACGTGCGGTGTCCTCCGTCCTCCGCCGTCCCCGGCAGTCCAAGCCTCCACTAAGACGACAGATCCTGCTGGCTGCAGCAACTCCTCAAGCACTTGTTGCACAGACACGGAGCTGGAAGGAAAAGCTCGAACTCGTCGATGTGCACACATGTCACACATCGTGGGGGCGGGCTGCAACCAAAGGAACAGCCCGTCCCCACGTCAAAGGAGCAGAAAATTCCATGACTCTTTCCACGGCAATTCCCTCAAAACTCCTCTGCCCACGGTCCGTCCAGGATGCCCTCGATGCCTGGTGGGGGCAAAGCATACGAGAGCTGTCTAGCACGAAGTCAGAGTCTTCGTGTGTCTTCCTCTGCCCCTTCACAGTCACGGGTGAGGGTCGTTTCCAGGCTCCTAATGCAGGCTCGGAGCCGTATGCATTCAAGAACAGCTCGCTGCGGTAGTCCTTGACAGGGAAAGGCTTCAAGCTCAATTTCACAGCTGTTCCAATTGAGGTCCAGCATTGCTTTGAATGTCTGCCACACCACGCTGATCTCAAAATGCCGGGACAACCGAAAAATGTCCATCGTCCCAATTCAAAAATGCAGCAGTGCAGCGATGTCTCACCCTATTGTCTGTACTGTGTCCCTTCCAAGTGGTTCAACAACTACGTTTCTTCATCAGATGCGACGTATGCTTCGAGCATGGGCTTGCGAAGCTTTTGACGGTTGAGTTCTTGGCTCCGAAACGGCTATCAAACCTCTAACTGGAGAAAAACACTTGTCGCAGACGGAAATCTCTGCCACATTCTCCACACATATCAAATCCCTCAGCCCCCGAAACGGCGCTGTCCAGGCTGGCCAACTGGGGCTTGTGGTACAACATGACCTCGGTGACGAAAACCTGCGAACATTCAAGGAAGTCTAATCAGCTATGGTCCAGTAAGACTCTCGACTCCTTGAAGTGCAGTGGCACTCTCAGACTTGCGTCCCTTTGAGATTCGGAGCCCAAGGGCCGGCCTGGTCGTTAGCGTCTTGTTGAATGGGCACCTCGGCAAGCGGTTCAGGCGAGACCTGTATAGGGGCTGGAAACATCGAAAGAAAGTCTCACTCTGCCAGCTTCTGCCAAGGTGCGGAGAGGAAGTCTCGCAGGGCCCAGACCCTGCCAGCCATGAGCCCCGCGTTAAGGAAGCGCCAAGGGCCATCTGGGCTGCTGAGCATTTTCGGGTCTTGCTACAGTAACCGTGGCGTTCGAGGGTCCAGAGATCTTCGGAAGAACACAGCTTCTGTTTTTCGGCATGACATGCTTACACGGCAGAGAGAATCCCGAAGACGCTACGTACGTCGACCTGGGCCGCAAAATGCCACAGGGTCGCCTTGCACATCCTGAAACCTGGCCGGCCTGTGGAACTATCCGAGAGGTCGAGGCACTCGCGTTCATTTGCTTGGCGCGGGCCTCTTGCTCCTTTGACCGTCGGCAACAGTCGAGGAATCAAACTGGTTTGCCTGTTTGCGCGAGAAAAGTCGCCTTGGAGTCCCTCCATCCCCCAAGCTGGGGACACTTCTTGCCTGGCTCCTCAAACAACCCCAAGCCGCCCAAGCCAGCGCTGACAAGCCACCTCCACCTGAGCTTCGGAGTTGCATGCATGACCTCGCACCTGCAAATGAAAGCTCTGAGGTTCGCAACAAGACATCGGACAAGCAAATGCAGAGATGAGCAGTGAAGCCTTTGTTCAAGTGCCCCCCAACTCAAATTCTCCGAGTTGCAAGGTCCCCTTTCCAGGTCTCAGCACCGAAGAAGACCGACCGCCCAGAGTCGGCCTCCAGGCGCCTCAGAGGCTTCCGAGGGGCCAGGCCGCTGGGCCACCGGTGAAGCAGGCACCATGGTGCAGGCAACCAAGCTGCTCCAGCCGCACACAAATGTCTGCCTCCTTGCCGATGATGACACTGTCCTCGACTTCTGACGCGGGACGGTTCCAGCCAGACCGCGAAGAGACCCACGCCGACAAGAACCCTTCCCTGATGCAAATAAAGCCCAGGCGCATAGCAGTCCACGAAGACAACCCAGTCACACTGCTGTGCAGGCAGCATCTGGCTGAGGTATCGGTTCAGCGCATGGAGCCTCCCACAGATGCTGGTTCAATGGAGCCTGTTCACTTGGCGAGGCTGAATGCACGTGATTCGTGCCCTGTCGTCGAGAAGTCAACGCCCAATGGCTGGTGGTCAAGCGCCTGATTGTGAGGTTCCCCCAATTGGCGCCCAGGCCGTAGTCCAGAAGCATCACCTGCGCAAAACGTTCGGTCGACAGGCTGACAGTCTGGACGTGCGCTTGAAGGCTCCGAGAAAGTGGAAAGTGGGGACATACGCTTCTGTGTTGACACAGTGTACTCTCTGGAGCAGGGTTCAACAGCCGCCATGCCCCGTCACCTGGTGTCAAGCAAGTTTCATATTACCTGGAAAGCCTTACCAGACCTGTTTCTGCTTACACCATGCTTCGGCTACCTTTTCGGAACTGACTCTGCCTGGCCAATCGTCGCAGCCGCCGACGCGAAGAAAGAGGACCTGTTGACAGTGTGTTCACTCATCCAAACACACCAAACACACATGTCGCATGCACACGCACACATCCTCACGCGCGCGCAAACACACGTATATACACATCCTTCCATGCACCCTTCAAGTCGCTTCAATGTCGTTCATCGCTACCTGTTTGATTTTCGTTTCGAAGTTCGTTGAATGTCCGCTACCTGTTGCTTGTTGGGGTTGGGCGGCCTTCTCGAGGCTCAACCTATGGGGAAAGTAGCTCCAGCTGCAAGGCTGCACATGCCGCATGCCCATCCAAGGCACATCCCCAGATCGAGCTGACTGGCGAATGTCGCCACATGCACTCGAGCGCCTGAGCCTGCACCTGAGTTCAGGAAAGTTCGCAAGTTTCACAGGACATTGACTGACGAAGTTCTATATCCAGATGCCGGGGAGTTTCGCACAAGTTCCGATTCCAGCCGGAGGGATCAAGCTGCAAGAAGGTAAACATGCACGGATCTTCAACAAGCATTGAAACTAGCAGCTTGAGGGCATCCCGGCACCAGATGTGGTATGGCACATACGGCATAGACTCCACGCTCTCCACATGCTGAAGTCGAACTCTAGGCGAAACAAGTTCCGAAATCCGGCACGGTTTTTGACTAGTGACTAGGAGTATACGTATGCCCAGTCTTTTGAACACATACCGGTGCATCTCAGGCATCTTGCCTCAATGTTGTACATGCAATGCAAGATCTGGTCAAACCATCGCAAGAAAAGTCAGTCTAGCCGTGTCTGTCAGTCACTGTCGCTGGAAACCCACAGAAGGACAGGCATACCAAGCCAATCCATGATCGAAGCCACTTTTGAAGTGGACAACGCAAGCACTGGTATGAAGACAAAGGCTACTGAGGCTGGCGGAAGACAGGCTCGTACACCCACGACGCTTGCAGCCCAGCTGAGCATCCGACAGGGCGGTGCAGCACCTTCACCTGGAACTCACATTAAATTGCAAGCTCTTCCCGTCGCTTGAATGCGTCATGTTTCCACACTGTTCCCTTCTCTTCTGTTCGTGTGCTTCCCGTTTGACGCTGGTGGTGACACTGAAGCTTGCCCTCTGGAATGACAATGTAAGCACTGAAATCAGCGATGCCCTGCAACCGGTATGCCGAAGCCATTAGATTCATGGGACAGTAAACCGACATCACATGATGTGCCGTACATCCCGTCTGATGTTACATCTCTGCTTCCAGGGTTCAAGCCTCATCTTTCCGAACAACTGGACAACTGGAAAGGGTTGCAGTGAGGAGTGGCATCTGTAGTTGTGGAAACCTGAAACCTCAATGCCTACAAGCCTCGGCGTGCGATGCACCATTAAGTTAAGGCCTTACGACATCCTTGGAGCCGTAGTGCGGCACACACAGGTGCAGAAGGACACGAAGCCATGGATTTTAGAAATCGGCAAGTGGTGATTCTGCGCGAACCGCATAGGCTTTAGAACCTTAAGGAGAATAGAGATTTGCGCCAGGCCAGGTTGCGCATTCACAGACCTCCGATGTAAGCAAGACTTTCACATCCAAAATGCTGTTCCCCAACCCTCCACTGTTCGTGACTCATTGCTTCGTTCGACATGCTCGGCGAAGCCTCTAGCATGTTGAAGCAGCAAGAAAGCGCCATGCAGAGCCAGCGACAGGCCCATCTGAAAGATTACAGTACAACCGCAGACAGATGTCGAAAGGTTCGGCTGTTTCGTGTCTCCCCGGAACCGCGGCTTACCCTTTTGTTGAACCGTGAATGCGACTTGCCGTGTCAAACGACAACCTGCCTCAAGGATATGTGCTTTCTAACCTACGGCTACCAAATTCCGCTTCGTGTTCCAGCAGACCGATGTCATTCACCCACAAGTTGGCAGGAGCAGACGAAAAACACACATGTTCAGCACGTAACTTGAAGTCTACGTGAACTTCTGAGAACAAAATCTGCTTGCAGGATTTTTCCAACTACCGACGCCTGAAACCATAGCAGTCTTGTGCAAGTAGTTTGTCGAAGAGCCATCTGCAAATGGCCATCTTGGATGGTGTTTGTGTGCAAGCAACCAATCGGCACGATAAGCATCTGGCCCAAATAACAACACTCGCCTTGTCATCTTGCCGAAACTCCAAATACTGGAGACTTGAAAGGGAAAGAAAGGTTTGATCAAAAACGGCCAACATGCTGCAGCACCCTACCTTCCTTTCGGCGGAAATGTTAAAGAACGGGCTTCACTAAGGGTTCCTACCCACAAAGACTGTCGGACACTTTTGTTCCTGGGCACGGTGTGTCCTGGGGTCTCGAGCCTGCACGTCGCGTGTGCGTGACGGCTGTTCCTGTACATTAACTGTACTGCACTAGCTGTGTTACTGTTCCTGGCAGAATGTTTAACACCCCGCCTTCGGAGTTAGCGAAAGTTCCTCGACTGAGGTGACTCCGACTTTTCCTTGACAAACAGTAAACACGCTGCAGTTCCTTTTCACTTGCAAAACAAACACTGTTCCTCATCGCAAACGTATGCGCACGTTCACTCGCAATCCTCTCCAAGGTTGCTCGACTGTACAAAAGACGTTCCTGCACTTTACCTAGATCACCACAGAAACAAAAAGGGCTGTGCCACGGTTCCTGTGTCCTGCTGCTTCTTTCCTCGGCTCTCTGGCCTCAGTACTGCTCGCGGTTCCTTTGCTTCACTGGAAGGTTACTTTGCCTTCCTCTTCGCTGTCTTTAGCTTCCTCTTGGTCGTGAAGCTGTTCCTTTAGCCACTCTTCTTTCATCTTTGCTTGCGCTTTGCACTTTTCTTTTCCTTGCTTGTCCTTTGACGCTGCTTTCCAACCTGTTTCCTTTGATCCTGAATACCAGTACCACTGTGCCTTGGCTTCGTTCCACTTCCACTGGTATTTCCTGTTCTGGAAACTGTAGACTGCAAACCAGTTTCCTTCAAACTCTCCTTTTCCTTTTCCTTTCATGAACGATGCTTCGTTCACTGGTCCTTTGGCGGACAGTTCTGGGTCGTCCTTGTCTTCTTCCTTCTGCTTGTGCTGTGTGACGTTCGGTGGCTCCTTTCCTGTTGCTTTTCCTGTTCCTTTTGCTTCTGGCTTCTCCTCTTCCTTTGCTGGTGTTGTGTCTGGCTCTGTGGGTGCCTGCGACCCGGCTGCTGATCCTCTGCTCTCAAGCTCCTGTGTAAGGCTTGCAATCCTTTCTTTATCCTCTTTGCGTTCCTTCATCATCTCCTTCATCATCTCTTCAAGCTTCTGGATCCTGTCTCCTTCACCTGATCCTGTTGCTGTTGTTGCTGCTGCCTTCTTTTCTGCTTCCTTCTTGGCAATGTACGCTGACGCTGCCTTTTGATCTTCCTCTCTTTTCTTCCTGGCTTCCTTCTCCTTTCTTTTCTTCTCCTGCTCCTTTCTTTCCTTTTCCTCTTTGGCTGCTGCGGCTGCTGCTTTCTCCTCTGCCTCCTTTGCTGCTGCCGCTTCGGTCTCCTCCTTTTCCTTTGCTTCTCTCTCTGCTTTGGCTTTGGCTGCTGCTTCTACCTCTCGCCTTCTCTCGGCGGCTGCGGCTGCTTCCTGCCTTGCTGCTTCCTTGTCTCTCTTCTCCTGTTCTTCTGCTGCCGCTTCCAGAATCAACCTTGCTTTGGCAATCTGCTCCTCTTTTGCCTTCTTCTCCTCTTCTGCTTTTGCTTTTGCTTCTCTTTGTTCCTTTGAGATCCTGTCCTGTTCTTCCCAGTATTTGCGATCATCTTCATCTCGAGGTCGAAATCCTGTGCTTTCTGCTCTTGCCTTTGGCTTTCCTTTTCCTTTTCCTTCCTTCTTTCCTTTTGTTCCTTTCTCGTGCTTGTACGTGTAGTCCTTGTCGACCCACTGCTTTTCTCCTGTAACTCTGTGTTGCCTGTAGATCTCGCCGTTCTCGGAGTATTCCTTCCATTCGCTGGCGTAGTCGTAGGGGTACGGAAAAAGCTTCTTCTCCTCTTCCTTTTCCTTGAGCCTTTGCTTGCTTTTGGCGTTGATCTCCGCGATCTTCTTCTTCCTTCTCTCTTCCTTTGCTTCCTCACTTTCTTCTTCCTCTGCTGCTGCTGCTGTTCCTTCATCGGGGTACTCCCCGGGATCTTCTCCTCCAACGTAGCTGTTGACGTAGGCCTCGTTCTCGTTGCCGGCTTCCTGCTCTCGTTCCTGGATGCCCTCGAAGTAGCCTCGGTCCGAATATTCCTTCCTTTCCTGGGACGTAGGTGACGTAGCTCTCGACGGTGCTGTTCCTTGTCCGTGTCCTTCACGACGTAGTTCACCTTCTAGTTCTCGGTCCTTGGCTTCTCTTTTCCTTTGTTCTTCTTCGTCTTCTTCCTCTTCTTCTTGTTCCTCTTGCTGCTGCTCGTAGAAGTCCTGCATCATCTGGTTCAGCTGTTCCTTTACGGCGTCACATGTACCTAGGACGAAGGCCATGTGTTCCTTGACTTGTTGCCGGTCTCTGTCGTTCTGTTCGGCCATTTCCTGAACCTGGTGCTTGACGTCGTAGATTTGTCCTGTCAAGGACTCCACACAACCAGCCACGTGTTCCTGGCTTTTGCGCAAACGCGCAGCTTCCTCTGTGTTCTTCCTGATCGACTCCGCGATCAAGTTCCTTTCATCAGAAGCGTTCCTTAAGGCTGTCGCCGCTTCCTTCAAAATTTCCAGTTCCTTGAAAACTTCCGCTGTGTTCTTGCTCGAACTCGCGCTTGCTTCCATGGCTGCTAAGGTTCCTTGGCTCTGTCGTTCTAAGGTTCCTTGACCTTCTGCTACCGGGCGAACTAGTTCCTGGATACCTGAGCGTTCCGCGAGTGTTCCGCAGAGTTCCTTGAGCTGCGAAGGCATCTCACAACATGTTGTTCCATGCGCTGTTCCTGCAGACGTTCCTAGCTCACATGCACTCATGTCACTGCACATGCCGTCCTGCTCACATGCACTTGCACAACAGAAAACATGTTCCTGAAAGTCTGGCTGAAACTCTTCTTCCTGAACACAACTCTCAAAACACTGTTCCTTGAAACTCTGAATCTGAAGACTGTCTGAAATACCTGAAATTC